GTCATAGCAAATATTGTTAAACTGACTTGTTTCACGTGTTGGGCTTGTAGATGCTGGAAAAACCAAGAAAACCAATCATGTTCTTGTAGTCTGGTTCCCTGACTCCACTTAAGATGAAACGGAGCAATTTAATAGACTTTGGGAAATTGTAAGGTATAGAATCAGTCTAGCAGGCTTGTACCCCTTTACAGGTGTGTGATCAATTGCAAAGAAAATGCGGAAAAACTAAAAGTTTTTGGAAAAAAGCCAGTTTTTTCCAATGCTATTTTTCTATTTTTTTTCTTGAAAATGTCAGCACACCAGGAGCCACGATTTTACAGGATGCTTTAGACTGTCATTCCCCAACAATCCAGTAAGGTATTTTGTGATAATTTGATCATTTTGTTTTTCGATGTTTGCAAATGTTGTATCTTCCCTTTAAGTTCTGAGCAATTTTTTTTTTTTGTGGTGCTGGAATTTTCTTTTCAACTTGTTTGCATTCAAGGAAATGGACATATTCCTTGAATCACTGGAGCCAGTCAAATAGAAAATATTGTTATCTGAACTACACCAATTTGTGTGCTTCCTTTTTTATACCCATGTATTTTCCGAAAAACAAAATTAAGTATTTTGTGTTTGTAAGAATATTGGACTGCCTCGGACATAATTACATATTTGACTTTGTATCTAAATAGAAGTGTGTAAATAAATACTCAAATGCATCTGTATTGGAGGTTTTTCTATTTTTTGTGTTCTTAAAAACAAGTCAAATTTTGTGCATTTTTAAACGACCTCCAATTTCGTAAGAGTTGCGATGAACCCCCCACCCAAGGATCACTCCATCAAATGTAGACAAAGGTACATTTGAAGCATATTTGAACAATGACCTCTAATGACCCCTACATGACCTTTGACCTCAGTAATCTGATGAAGAATTGTGTCTTCTCACCCAAGGGTCACTGCATCCAAGTTTCATCAAAATCCATAAAAGCATGTTAGAAGTTAAAACAAAAATTCAAAACTTTATCATACGGCTCCATGGTCATACAGAATTTAGGGACTGGTTCATGTCTCCCATAACTTTGTTTAGGCGACACAAATTAATAACAGTAAATTTGCAATAATTTTGCCAATGATAAAAACCTTTTCAAAAGAAGAGCAAATTTGGAAGCAAGTGTTTTTGGTCATTTTTCAACATATAAACAGACGTTTTTATTTGGTGGTTCGGACATTTCTACATATCTTGCATGACACTTTTGTGAAATTATGAGTAGGACTGCCGTACAAAATACAAGCTAATTTCTAAATAAATTTACTTATTTCAAACTCAAAACCAGTCAAAGGGGTCCTATATGACAGGATTTTTAATTGAAAACTATTTATTTTTTTTACAGCCAAAACAAATTTATTACAGGTAATACAGGAGATTCTTGTTAAAATTCTTGTAAAGGCAAAGATATCATGAATATTGCACATGAAGACTTCCATTTTAATTTTTCCCCAAATTTGTATATATGAATAAAACACAATGAGATGTAATCTAAGCTTTAAACCAGGTTAAACAGTCAAATTTGATTCAACAGTCAAATTCCCAAATTTGCATATGAATAAAACAATGAGATTTAATCTATGCTTTAAACCAGATTCAACAGTCAAATTTTAACGCATAATTTTTGTAATATTGGAATCAATGTATCCCTGATTTGTTGATGTATTAAAATTACTCAAGATATTGTGATGACAAAAACATAACCAACAGGGTAAAAAAAAAGAAAAAGGAAACCCAAATGGCGCCCCCTATTTAAAAAAAAAAAGTTCTGCATGTAGCACTTTTCAGATCTAGTATGTGAAAGCCTAATTAATAAGCTTTCTTTTAGTAAAAGAATCATTGAAATCACTCATGTCCTTTTCCGTTGACAGAATTTTGAACACAAACACAGTTTTAAAACGGATCACATTTAAGGTACGTGAAATTTCAGCAAAATGAAACCATGTCGTATCATGAACACGATATCAGAATACACGTAATCCCATCAGTCTCTGGGGTAGCCAAGTAGCAGGCAGGGCAGGACAAAAATCCCTTGACATTTTGCTGAAATATCTTTGTGATCCGTGCACAACATATTAAAACTGTATTTGTGTTTAAAAGTCCACAACTGGAAAAAGTACACACGTCATTTGAATGGTTCTTTTACTCAAAGAATGCTTATTATTTGGGCTTTCACATTCTAGATCTGAAAAGTGCGGCTACATGCAGATCTTTAAGAGATAGGGGGCGCTATTTTCTTTTTCCTGTTTTCTTGACTCGCTCTTTTACAGCCAAATTTCTGGCTATGTCACTTTCACCCACAGGACTGAAAAAGTACCGCAGGATTGAGATCTTTTATTTTACCTGAACAGAACCCAATAGTAATCTAAGAAATTAACTCAAGAAACCCTGTACACAGATAATAAAATGCATCACGGAGAGTAGTCTACGTTCAAGTTGGTCTAATCAGATAAATTGACACACATTCTTACTAAGATGTGGAATAAACATACATGTACATGTATGTCACGTAGTGTTTTGTTCAGTCCACATAACAATAATGCATTACAAATCCAAGGTGAAATCTGTTCACAAAAGGTGCAACTAATTTTCAAAAACGGGAAATTAATTTCAGAATCTGTTACAAAATACCAAACAAAGTGGTCCGAGGAAAGGGAAAGAAATGTCAATTAGGGCTTGGCATCCGCAGCACAGAAAAGGCACAAATAGAAGGATTTTTGAATTCCACAAATGATAGATTTTGACAAGTTTTGGTTGATGTATGATCTGGAAAGAGCATTTTAGCAATTTAGGGATTGAAAGTCTCATACTCTATCAACACAGTTTTCAGCTTATCAATTGGCATTCTTCCACAACCAAACGATCTTTGCTCAAAACATGTTAGAGTCAAGATGCCGAATGCTACAACAGTAACTCATATTTCCTAAACTTCCTAATCATTCACACAGATATAACATTCAGTACACATTCTATGTTCAACTCCAAATACATCCCACAGATATTAAAAACTAAATTTCATTTATAAATATTTTTTTTTTTATAAATTCCATTTAGAAGTCTAATTCTTCAGTACTGGTTTCCACACACGACCAAACTTTTTCCCAACTAAGTCTTGATTAAAAAACCAAAAAAATCCAAAAAATTGCCACACTCTACCCACTCTCTCTTCCAATCCAATTTCATAAACTGATAAGAAGAGAAATTCATTGTAAGAAACACTCTACTTGCATTCTATAAAAATGTTCACACCAATAGTGCGATACAAGAAAACGTCCATCTTGACATATAACGTCGGTAAGTCTGTTCTAACTTGGGTCAGTCTCGGCAGGACTATACTTGCACCAAATGTTTTTCGCATTGGTTTGTGAATTTTAAAGAGGTTGTGGAATGCTCGAAGACATTTCCGTCATTTTTCGGGTATATGTAGCCTGAGGTGTGATGAAATCAAAACGACTATTGTGTCTGTCATGAAATGAGTACAAAAGGTACTTTTGAGAGCTGTCTTTCAGGTCCTGTTTCGACCTGAACGTGCAATTTGTGTAAAAGTCGTCATTGGGGGCAGCAAACAAAACATAGTAAATCGTGACGTAATAAACAGGACTCGTTTATACTACGCTGCATCGGGAGTCCTGTTTATTACGTCACGATTTACTATGTTTTGTTTGCTGCCCCCAACGACGACTTTTACAAAACAGCTCTCAAAAGTACCTTTTGTACTCATTTCATGACAGACACAATAGTCGTTTTTATTTCATCACACCTTAGGCTACATATACCCCCAAAATGACGGAAATGTCTTCAAGCATTCCACAACCTCTTTAACACAGACCATCACAGGTGGTTGATCTGCCTGCAAATGCTCTTTTGCAAAAGAGTACTGTCTGGTGAGGACACAATGCGAGGGTTTTACTCATTTCGTGCGGAGTCAAAACTCTAACTTTCTTTTTGTCGCACTGGTATCATACATCAAAATAACCCTCTACTGGCCCAATTCACGGCCCTGCTAAGCACACGATTTTCTGCTAACAGAGCCTCCGTCTATTTCGTGGAGACCGTAAGCATAAGCACAGCAAAAGGCACGCTTACTTCAGAGGAAAGATTTGCTTAACGTAGTGACGTAACAATAGAAATCTCCATGCACGCGCGACCGTTAGCACGTCCACGCCGTGAAATAGTGCTTAAGGTTAGCAAATTTTTCTGCTATGCTAAACACAACTTTTCTGCTAACTGTTAAGCAGCACCGTGCAATTAGGCCCTGTTGTGATGTGGAACATGCGAATAGCCCTGCACGCTCCACATGTACGCAAGAACATTTGCGTCTTCCCAATCACTGCATGTCCAGCGCATAATGAATACGTGAACTCACATCTAACTTTTGTCACACATCAAGTTGTCAGGCATGCAACTTGGAAATCACAAAAAAAGAGGAAATTCAAATTTTTCCCAGACTTTGTACAGTGTTTTTCTGTTTTCAATGGCACACATGGGAAGTAAAAAAAGAGGAAAGCAGCTGATCCGAGGAAAAGTTGCACGCCTGAGTTGTGCAGTCACGGCTGTCATTCGTCAAGATATCACGGTGCGAGGCTTAACAGATTGGTCTGTAGTTTTAACGTGCAGTTGATCTTGCTTACTTCAAAACTGAAGTTGTCTTTTTTTTTAAATTTGCGTTCCCCGTGCTATTTTTCGATTTTTCATCCTGAAAAATAGATTCCTTTTCTAAATTGCTATTTTTCTAGCAAAACAAGTTGAATTGAATGTGACACTGACCAAAATAAATCGGTCCACGTTTAGTTATTGAAATATTACTTTACTATTTCGAATTGTTGGCTGCCAGAAAATAATTTCGTTCTGGCGGGGTAGGCTAGTTCCTGCCCCACAATCAGTTTCGATGATCTACAGACCGGGAACCAGTCTGCTTGCTAAGTGGATCTGTTTGTGCCCGCAAAAAAAACCATATTTTTTCAGAGGGTTTCAGACGTCCCCCCGAAAAACGAAAAACAAACAGGAAAAAGGAGGTTTTGTGTTGGTGTAAAACTTACAAGTTGAAAATTTATCAACAGAAAAACAAATTTGAATTGGTTGAAGAGCCCTGGGAACGCAACTTTAAGATGCATTGTAAGGAGTGAATGCTACGATAAAATCCTAACCCTACTCTGACTTGATGTGACCGCTACCGTCGTCCAGCTCGGTAATCTTCTCTTCGTCAATCTCTGGCCCGTCTTTCTCTTCTTCGTCTTCGTCTTCGCTGTCCGGGGGCAGATTGTCCTCATCGTAAGGATCGGCCGACCAGATGCTGTAGCAGATGAAGATGACGAGGAAGGACGGAACCACGAGCAGACCGGTGGTCAAGATAGGGTTGGCCATCCAGAGAGACTTTTGCAGGAGGTAAAAAAAACACCAAAAACTTATTTCATGAATGAAGAATTTAATCCTTTCTCTACTGGGTGTATCATTGTGGATGGCCCACAGGGATGTGCAATGTTTGGTATATGGGACATTCTATAAATTGAGGGTCCAAAGTATGACATTTTTCCTGTCCCTGTTACCTTGATACTTTGTAATTTGCCTCTCAATGATTACATAGAAGCTGTCAAGCGATTTCGGGCTCACACCTTTGAGCGTGAGATATTTGAACTTCGTCTCGTTGCTTATCCACAAGTCACGTTTACTCACCACTAAACTCTGGACAACTTCGTAGATGACCCTGTAGATTTTCCTGTACCAACTGTTTCCTCCGTGGGCCTGTTGAGAGAAAATATAACGTCAATCTCTGAGGCGAAGATGAAAGACTCAACTACAACACTGTTGCATCAATGATAAGGGGCCGATCCATGTAAGCCCCGCAGCCGCCCCAATGATGTTTAGACCAATCATTGTGGTGAATACTGTCCGAAATGCGTGCACACATGCACGTAAGCGCGCCATGCATGCAACTGTGTATGACACTTGCAGCTAGAACTTGCAGTGTGGCATTGCTGGGGTGCATGTCTTGCATGTCATGTCATGTTCTTGCAGTGGGCTGGGCTTAAGGCCAAATGAAAAAGAAGTCAGTTTCTCATCCCTGCCCCGATCCTTTTTCCTGCCGCATCAAATTTTTTGTTGTTAATTTTCACTTTTTTAAATGGCGAAATCTGCCGTCTTTTCTGATATTTTCAAAATCAGAAATATCCCGTTTCTTGGTAGTTGTTTCCAACAGGAATGAGTAGCCATTTTGAGGTTAAAAAGCTAGTCTTAGAAAAGTGATGGCCATTTTTGAGAAAAATAGCATTCGTCCTCTTGAGAAAAAACACTGATCGATCAATGGAAATTTTCTTTTAAAATTCGGACGAGAAAGTATTTTTTTATTTTAATTTTGGCCTTTTGGATCTGTTCATTCTTCCAGGAAAGGCATAAAAAGAAACATGAGACATTCCTACCTCAACGGTACCAAGCACAACGCCGTCAAGGAACTCAGCCAGCGACTCCTCAGTCACTTCTATGGGATTCTCATACAGGTAGTACAGGTAGCTCTTGGGATCAACTACCAGGATACTGGGCAGTTCTAATCGACTGTGAAAAAAAAACAACCCAGTGATGAAGCAATTATGAACATGTAGTTGGTGATATCATGTTGTGTTGGAAGCAGGGATTTTTTGGATACGGCTATGACTACGAATAGGTCGTGTGTTCATCTACCAGAATAGTTTGGAGCCAAGTTCACGCAAGGACCATAGTTGACCAATGGTTAACTAACGTTTGCCCGAACTCTGTCTAGTCGACGGTGGTTGACTACGCTAGTCGACTATTTGGAACCAGCCTACTGGGGTTGGTTGCTTCGCTGGTAACCAATAGCAGCGCGCATTCATAACGCAAGCAGAGAGCCAGGATCCAGAAGTTTCCAGAATAGCAGGCGTTTCTCAGATCTGGTTCGTTAGTGTGACGTCACCTCCAGCACTTTCTGCTCGATTGGAACCGGAAGTTAACGCAGCTCGAGCGTTTGTAGTAATCAGTGGTGGGTGCGCGTGAATGACGTTTTTACTAAAGAACCGGATATGGCTGTGAAGGAAATTACGAACATGCAGTTGGTGATGTAAATCCGTGCCTGAATTTGCGGCTATGTCTTCGTATTTTTTTTTTTTACTACTGTTGGGCTATAGTGCATAGCCGTAGTCATAGACACTAATGCTCCTAAGAAGAAACTGTTGCTATGTGAAATTAAATGCTTAGCTTAAATCAGCTAGGAATTGCAAAGCTGCCCAATAACTTTGTTTCGTAGTCCTACGCTTGGCTCAAGCTGCGCACTTTTTTTTTTGAAATCGGCTACTGGTGTTTCTTGTTATAAAAATGAAATGATTAATTTTCTGAGGAATTCGTCCTATGTATTTGCTTCTAACTGACATATACTAGCAAGTCTATAGAAAAAAAAAACTCACCTCAGAGTGATATCATTGGCAATGTCAGGCGTTTCCATAAACCCAAACTGAAACTTCCTGCAGTTGGGAAAAAAATTCAAAAAAGAGAAAACCTATTTCGTTAGAAAGGTATTTCTTCCCCAAAACTCTACATCTATATTTCTAAATATCAAATATCTTTATAAATACATTTTTTTCACTCTCATGTGGTCGTCAACACAGATGTTCTTATAATGGAGACTTCTCATTACTTTGATTTCTCTTAACAAAGTGTTTTGCAAAAACAAAGTTTTTGAAGGAAAATGCCCACAATATTCAACCAAATGCCAGAAATGTTGAAAGTAAAGGAAGCAGTAACCCAAATACATACAAGGGAAAGCCTGGATGATATAATAAGGTGATGAATGCTGGTATTTTGCCTGAAGTGAAAACAGTTAATCATCTTACTCGTGATACGTGTCTCGCTGCTCTAAGGAGAATCGTCGGACGGTGTCCTTCATGAGGTAGTGAGGATGCTTCTTGTGGTTATCCACACTAGGATTGACTAGCGCCAACATCAAGAACTTATCTGGAACAAACAAATGGACATAAAAATAATCCAATGAATGGTATGCCAACTGTTACACGAAACCAACGATGGATATAAAGGAAGTACTTAAATAATAATTTGGGAGGCTAATCATCCTTACTCGCAGCTGGTGTGCTGAATTGCGAAGGACGCAGCTACAGCGTGGTCGGGCCGCTGGCACGTAAAGGCGCCTATGGCTGCCGGCCACATCGACCCATATATGACCACGGAGCACAGCCTGAGATCGAAAGTGTTTGATTTTTCCGGAGGGAGGAAAAACGGAGGGCCCGGAGAAAAACCCTCGTGGCACAGGAGAGAACAAACGCACAACTCTACTCACATGTGATCCATGGCCAGGATTGGAACCGTGGTCACCTTGGTGAGAGGCGAGCACTTTACGCACAAGCCACCCATAATCTATCAACGAACTGGCGATTGCTGAATGATATTTCATTAACTGAGTGTTAACGACAACTGACTGAATGACTGATGAATACATTGTTGGTGGTAATTTTAGAATTGGTGGATGACTGCGCGGTTGGTGGAAAGACTGATTGACTATTTGATTGGTATATTGATTACTTTGCTTAATTTGGACGATAAACTGACTGATTGAGTCATTAATTGATAAATTGATTAACTGGCTAACTGGTTCTGCTTACTAAAAGACAGATTCATTGTCTGAGTGAGTGAGCTAGGCCCGTTCTATGCCTTGCTGCTGCTAGGCCAAACTTCATTGAAATGAGTGCCGCAATAGCTTGTCTACAGCACAGCAGTTGCTCTGAATGCCGAACTTAACAGTCGAACCTTAATGCACCTGGAGTAACTGGCCAGGTAAAAGCAATTCAATGAACTTTCAGCGCGATCAAAATATTCACTCCCCGTGATTGTGAGCATACGCATTCCTAAAATGTTTGCCCCAACTTGGAATTGAATTGAGTTCGGCACGGCAATGGCACGGCATTTAGAACAGTGCTGTGCTACTGTTGTTCGGAATGACCATAGCGCGGCAGCCCTGTCGAGCCAAAGAATGGTGCCGTGCCGAACTCAATTCGCCGAGCCAATGTTCTAAACGCCGTGCTATCACCATGCCAAATTTTAAAAAAAAAGTTGATTAATTGAGTTTGGCACAGCAGTAGCACGGCATCTAAAACCGGCCATAGTGACTGACAGATGTTCAAAAATTGATTGATAAATTAATTGATTAAACAATTTTTCGATTAATTGATTGACAGATTGATAGATTGACTGATTGATCAAAGTATCAATGCCCTGACTGACTGACTGAATTAACTGAGCGATTTACTAATTGTTTAACTAATTGATTGATTAATTGTACGATTGCCTTACCTAACTGGGCAAGCAAATTAATGTTGTTGTTCTCAATCAGCGGGAATGACTGGAACCTCTCGTCCATCACCCACTTGGTTATACTCTCTTCAGTTATACCATCCTCTGGGACTACGGAGAACGAACAAGAAAACACAATCAAGTATCCAGTTTTGATCTTAAATTTGAGTAAAATGCCTCATTTCTAGGATTTAGGCACTACAGATTGAAGTAATTTATAGATATAATAATTATCATTCAAGACATAATTTATCATTCAAGTTTTTTTTTATTCCAGAACACCAGGTTAGAGGCCATATTTTTCTGGCAAATTTGCTGCCGTAACCACACCATTATCTGGATACAAACGAATAATCGCATTTATGAAAGCAGTTTATTAAATAAACTTAAAGCTCGAAAAGAAATTGTAAAAATGTGACTTTTGAGCTGCTGCAATATGTAAACTTATATCAATAACCTTCAATTCTGTTTTTGCCTCCAAAATTACGTTGTTGGGGGAGTGTGGCCTAGTGGTTAGGGTCCGTGACTCCTGATCAGAGGGTCAGGGGTTCGAATCCAGCTGCTGGCCACATGTTGTGTCCTTGGGCAAGCCACTTCAGCCTCACTTGCCTCTCTCCACCCAGGAGTACAAATGGGTACCAGCATTCTCAGTCGTTTCATGCCAAGGAAACCGGAAATAAACGCTGGCCTGATGAGCCACATTGGCTCGTGACAGACTTTACTCACAGGCGCCCTCATTTGGTCAAGAAGAAGGCCTTGGACTTGGAAATATATATACAGACACACAGCCCAACAGAACTACAAACAGACAGACAGACAAAAAAACTGCCGATAAGTCAAACACACCTTCATATTTGTAGCGTTTCTTATCTTTGAATACCATCAAGGCAGGCAGGTCTTTGTCCTCTAACCGCTGGTCGGCTGGCAATACTTTGTTGGGACCCTGGAAATAGTAGCTCTCTAGGATTTTATTCTCTGCGACCGTGCTAAAAAGTTTCTGCAACAGAGGAAACAAACGTCAGTCATTAAAATGAAAGCAACTAATGCATCGCTACAAAATAGCAACTTGTCTAAAATATTAAAGTAGCGAATAAATAACAGTAAGAGTTCCTAAAAATATCTGCTTAATATCTATCTAAATATCACTCGAGTCGTTAAAAAATTCTGAGAGTTGCATCTTGAGTAATTTATTCAAGTTAAATTTTTTGGAATTTGGTGAGGGGGTCATGAGTTCAAGTCCAACTTAAAGGGAAGATAAAACATTTGCAAACATCAAAAAACGAAATGATCAAATTATCACGAAATACCTTACTGGATTGTAAGGGAATGACAGTCTAAAGCATCCTGTAAAATCATGTCTCCTGGTGTGCAGACATTTTCAAGAAAATTAATATTTTTCCAACGCTGGTCAGCCGACCAGCATTGGAGAAAACTGGCTTTCTTCAAAAACCGCTCAGAATGGTTCATAACAGTTGTTCCGCATTTTCTTTGCAATTGATTACACACCTGTGAAGGGGTACAATGCTGCCAGATTGATTCTCTGACCTTACGATTCCCCAAAGTCTATGCATTTCTCTGTTTCATCTTAAATGGGGTCAGGGAACCAGACTACAAGAACATGATTGGTTTTCTTGGTTTTTCCAGCATCTACAAGCCCAAAATGCGAAACAAGTCAGTTTAACAATATTTGCTATAACATACTAATCCTCCAAATCCATTTATTTCTGAAAATTACAGCAAAAGCAAATGTTGTACATTCCCTTTAAGCAAACATGAAGTTTTTCTCAAACACCCCTGAAAAGCACAGAACACACAAAACTTAATGTGTCTATGAGAGGCAAAAATCCTGGTATTTAAAATCCGTAGAATCATAGTTTTTGCTAAAAACAGCCATTTTTTATTCGTTTATTTTTACATGAAAAAGCAGTGTATTTTAAACTTGATTTTTGATTTTTGATTTTTTGTTGAGGCTTTACAAGTTGGTGTTCAAACTTACTGCTAACTCTGATTCTTGATTCTCTTGATCAGTGACTAGGAGGAAGAAGACCTTGCGATCCTTCAATGCTTTATTGAACTCTGTGGCTTTGGTCATCTTTCGGACGGCTGGCCTGAATGCATGCAGAGATCCAAAAACAAAACAAAATTAATGGAAGTTTGCGGTTGCAGCACACGACAGGAAATCTTTGATGTGAAGGAAACTCAACGCTTCAGGCAGTATACTCTGCCCACTGGTTTTAAAAAGTTTTTCTTAAAACTATACAAACACAAAAAGGATATTAAACATGGAATTCATGTGTACTTACACTGTTCTTCAAAGTGCAAACCTTTGAATCTTAACCCTAACCATCCCAACTCCGTCAAAATCCATCCCCCATTTTGATGGATTTTGGGGGACTTGGTCCAGAAGGCCTGGCGTGACTAAATATTGATGGAGTATGATGGACTTGGGCCTAATAGCCTGAAGCAGTGCTAGGGGTATCTGATTGATTTTGCCTAGCTTCCTGTACTGCTATTGTGATAAAAGCCATGTGTAGCAAGTCCAAGAATGTCATCCAGTGCGTCAGTGGTGGATTCCATTATGTCATGTATGTACAGTTTTGTATTAGACACACAGTGATTGATGGATTTTGATGGAATTGGTCCAGTTCCTAGTAAAAGACGCTAGGGAGTTGGGGTTAATAGAGAAAAAAAACTTATTTGAGCCAAGACTTCTGCATATTCGGGAGTGATATTTTAGTGAATTGGACTCAGACTCATTCACAAAAAACATGGAAATTGAATTGGAGGACAGCCTTAACTAATGTGGCTTTCAACTTTAAATTGAGGATGCAGGATTCGCATGCAAGTCTACTGAAATCACAGACCAAGAACTATTTACCTGTAATTCAACATTCTTCCCCAACACGCCCTGCAAAATGGCCTTAAAGTGACAACCAAAAACAGTAAAATTTTGCTTACTTTGCCCCCCAAGGAAATGCCGTTAACTCACCCGTGTGCTTTTAAAGCAAAGTCCATGATGTCCTGTGTCGTTCTGCCCCCTCTATGAGTGTAGACTTTCTCGCCACTTATACTGAAATAAAAACAGACATGGCAATTTAGCTCATGTTTACCATTAACCCTCCTGCTGTCTGAGCAGTCACAGACAGTCAAAACATCAGTTTATCTTCCCCTGCCATGCCTTTTACACAGGCTAATCACAAACAGTCAGATCATATTTCAAGCAAGCACTCAGACAAGTCAAATTCAGTCAAGAGACAAAAGCAGGCAAGTGGTAGGCACAGCTGTCTTATCAATTACCTACAGTCAAAACACAGCTACCAAGTTACATAAACAGTCACAGCCAGTCAATCCTACTTTATGTAGGCTGGGAGCTCTTAACTGTTGAAAACAGTCATCTGATTGATTTTGACTAAAAGAACAAGTTTGCATAGAGTGCATGTTTGCATAGGAGGGTTAATCACTATTTCATTCTCAATATCCGATATTGATTAAATCAGAAATGGTGAGTCTAACAAGTGTTTGAGTTTTAGAAATTTGGTTGTCAACTTACTATTTTATAGTCGGGAACCCTCTAACTTCAAATTTATCCATTACACCTGTAGGAGTGAAAAAGGAGACAAGACAAGAGATGCATTATGAATATGTGTTAGGCTAACAAATGGTATTGTTTTGTTTCCTGAAAGTGCACGATTAAAACATTTTTACGACATATTCAATTAAAAAAATATCAGCAAGTTTTATGTTTTACCCTAACTTTTTAAAATGTTCCCAAATCAAATGAAACCCAACAACAGCTCAAATTTGTTTATAGCTTTCCAAATGGCACACACATACTTTCCACACGTAGGTTTGAACCCACAATCTCAAACTTACAAGTAAACTTTAACGGAGAACAGGGATGAGATTGCCAATTTAAAAAAAAAAATCTGAAAAATGGATGAAAGGTCTGAAAGATGTATCTCTTTCTACACTGTCTTTCTCTAAGATTCAAAAAGTCTGATTTCAGACAAAGGTCTGAAAAATGACTGGGAGAAACAAAAACCAACTCTGAATCAGCCAAAAAACCTGGAACAATTTGGCTGATGACAGGAGGAGATACAGGGGTTTGTATATAAAGAATCACAACTGTGTGAATTACTTATTCCTTGGGCACTGCATACCATCATATTTTTTACTGATATTGTGTCTCAAGATGTGTTTTTTAGCCAAAAAAAATTTGTTTAAAACATTTTGTTTTTGCTTTTGTGACAGTTATGGCTTAAGTCTTTTCAAAAATTGTAATTAAAAACTTGTCCCTTGGTAAGTGTCATGAGAACACATTGTTTTATCCTTAAACAACCAGACACCTAGTTTTATAAGCCAGTTGGAAGAATTTTGTGTGTTGAAAGTAAGTACATTATTTTGTACAACACTAACATGACAGACCCAAATAAATTTCTTTCTAAATACCTGCAGGGCGAAAAAAACCCCCATATTATTGAATCAGGAAATTACACGTGTATACATGTATATGATTAAAGGTCAAGTGTTCTGTGGGCCACAATGCACAAAACCGATCATGCAAGCATGCAGAGCCTACATGTATTAATAACTAAATGATGCAATAACTACTTTTAGACCTTATAACCATTGCACAATTCTTACCCGATGATAACAGAAATAAAGTATATATTATACTGTACATGTATATTTCAGTTTGAACCCAAACTGCATCAAATCTGCCCCAATCCATCAAGTGGTTTGGGTTGATTTCAATGGAAAAAAGGACTCTTTTGCCCTTTTGATGGATTGAGTTGGGGTCAAAGTTATAATCTCAACTTTTTTTCAGCTCAACAACAGACACTTATGCGGTAGAGCTAGGAAGCATTAAGGAAATGGCAGAATCTATGGATCAGAAACAACAGGTAAATCGGCTTATTTTCTCTGTTAATGCAACAAAACCAACACAGCATTCACTACAGGTGCACACAACTTGCCAAACAGCTTAAAATCTGTTTGACAAAAAGTAATTGTATACTTATTATGCGCCTATCAAATGTCCCCCCCCCCCCCTGCCCCAGGTCCGATGTCGGGATTTGGTCATGTTTTTCATGCCCCAGGGTGGGGATTTTGGTCACTCAAATTACATTGTTAACATTGGCGTATTGCATGGAAAGGCAAGTGCGCCCAACGTATGTATGTCGGGGCATGGTCGGGGATTGTTACTTCAATTTTGCCCGAGGGGTGGGGATTTTGTCACTTCAAAAGTAATAATCCCTACGTCTTGGGTGGGGCAGCCCGGGGAGGGGGTTGGGGGAAACAATTGATAGATGGGCAAATTCTGTTGGATCTTGTTAAGCTTGGCTATAAACAAAAGATGTTTACTTTTAGGCATTGGCTTCCGTTGGATACAGGAGACTTTCACGTTACTGTTGATGGGTTCTCAGCAGACTCCTTCCTTGCTTTCATTTGCTTCTGCTAGAGTTCCAGAGAAAGCATCAGAGTTTTATCGGAAACTGTTTTTTTTTACTGATCCATTTTGTCAACAGCAGGAACTAGCAACCAGAAGCATGCTGCGGTCGGCTCTAGCCAAGATCAGCAAGAATCATCTTGAGTGCGGCATCTGCCATGAGCGATACAAGACCCCTAAGACACTGGACTGCCTACACAGCTTCTGCGGAGAGTGTCTGGAGAAGTATCTGCTCCAACGCCGGTCGAACCTGCGCAATATGATTCCCTGTCCCTTGTGTCAACAAAAAATGACGCTTTTGGTAGGTATTGGTGGACTCAGGACAAACTTTGATTTGATGGGACTGGTGGAGGAGGTCTCGCTGCAAGAGAAGATGGCGGCATCCGTGGAGAAGTTGATGTATCCGGTAGGTGATCAGAACATTTGTGATGCGATCAAGCTAAATGAGTCATTTGTTGACCCTGGTCAATTACTGTTTTTTTTTTACAAATTTGAAAAGAGCACAATCTCAGCATACAAAAATACAAAATCCTATTTTATTCATGTACTGCTTCCTAAAAAAAAAAAAATGCCTTTTTAATCATGTACTATTCTGCTACAGGGCGCTTTTTTATATTCAAATGTGCAAATCTTTATTCATTTTTTTAATGTACTGTATTCTGATATTTGTATGTATGATGGTAAAAGGTTTAGTAAATTTGTATTTCTGATTTTGTTTTTTTAATTTGTACGCATTGTGACAATTTAGCCTCTGGCTACAAACACAATGTTTCAATAAACCATAATAATAATAATAATTACCGCTGTGAAAACCGCGTGCTGATACCATCTTTAGTTAAAAAATTATGGAAGTCGGAACACCAAGAGATGTTATGAAGTGATGTGATGAAGTGGCCCTATTTTGGCCTGAATCTCCAAATGAAAATTCCTGACAAACGACTCATTTAGCCTGATCGCATCACATTTGTATGTGCTGCACGTGTAAGCAAGGGGTCTTGGGTTCGAGTCCCATCTGGGCAAGCTTGAGATTTGTGTTTCCTCATACGCTCTCAGACAGTGTCGAGTATACATTGCTTTTAGTAAATTACGTCACTGAATGAAGACACCCAACATTAAAGAACAATTTTGCTAAGAGTATCACATGCCAATGTCAGGTTTTGTTTTGTTTTGAAAACTGCAGATATGTTTTCTCAAACATTGGAGGTGATAGGATTTCACTGAAAAATAGTCCTTGCACAGGCCTATTGGAAGTCATAATTTTTGACATTGTGGTTAACAAAAGTGCCTATGTCAGTCGTCAGTTAGAGATTATAAGAGTGTTGTAGACGGGTCCATCACAAGTCCATCACAAGTCCATCACAAGTCCATCACAAGTCCATCACAAGTCCATCACAAGTCCATCATAACTCCATCACAAGTCCATCACAAGTCCATCACAAGTCCATCACAAGTCCTCCAGTCCCAAGTCAAGTCACAAGCTATTCAAATGAACCACGACAAAGGCATTTCTTTGTTACATATGTCTACCGGCCATCCCCTGTTACTTGTTACAGGAAACTTTGATGCACTTCACCAACATTTAGTTAATAACCTAAACCTTTCGGTCATTTTGTCATTTTACATCAGGATCAACATGAGAAGACCGGTGAGTTAGATCATGATGATGAGGAACATGAAGAAGTAGGAAAAAGAGGATATGCAGCCACAGAGGATAGTCCCAGAAACCATGCTGTTGCTGTACCAAGACGGTCCAAATCGCTGCCCGATCTTGTCTCAAGCCACGACCGGGAACAGCTGCTACCGAGTCACCAGAGCGACTCTCAAAGGACCTTTGGTCGAAGCACAACGGGCCGGAGGAAGTGGCTCTTGTTTCGAGAGTTAGCCCGAACTGAAGGCAGTGGTCTGGGGAAACATGTCTGGGCTCGGAGTATTGCGACCCTCAACGACAACGAGATTGCAGTGGCTGATAGCAACAACCAACAGGTTTATGTGATGAGCATTGAGGGACAACACAGGGCCACCATTCCTATTGGAGGGTGTAAATGTAGTAAGAATGTGACTTTGCGTTCAATTTTGTGAACATTCAAAAAACGTTTAAATGTGTAGCCATATCACAAAGGCTGATCTTGCCAATCACAGGTTTCTTCTGTCCATGTACAAAGTCAATTGAGGCCATCACAAAATCCAACATGGCGGCGCCCACATAACGAAAAAGTTATGGAAAGTTAATACTGAGCCCCGGCATTTATTACAACTTGGTAACGCCGGCGTATTGAAACCAACAGATTGGCAAGGACCTGATGATCCAGGGGCCGATTTTACGAAAGTCTAAGATGCATCTTCAACACGTCCCAACTTCCTCAGCCACGCGGCTGAACTCAACTCAACTAAAAATCGGTTGGAGGGTTGTCCTTTCTCATTAATGCGTGCGTTAATTTATATAATAATCTGGAAATCAATGCAATATTAAAGAAAAATAATGGCCTAGAGTTATAGTTTCAAGGAAGAAAACTGCTGTAGACACAGATTTGATAAGATCTGTGATATGTGGGTAGATTTAATAAAAATACTTTATTTACAAAATTAATTATCCGCCAACTAGTAGTCGACTTTTTAAAACAGAATGATGAAACGGGGAGCAAGAATGACTCCTACCTTGCGTGTAAAATTTATTGAGTAGAGTAATTTTTCTGGCTACAGTTTGAAAACTGGTTTTGCGTGTTTCTTTTCAACGACTGTTTCGTCAAGCGGTAAAAACAAACATGAAACAGCCATCAAATTGGTACTTTTGATGAGTCTTGCTTGAGATGGGTTTAGTGAAATCGATCTTAGAACGCGTCTTAGCTAAGATCGATCTTAGAGCGGGGACTCGTCTTAAGTCTTAAGACGAGTCGCAAGATAAAACGAGTTTCGTGTAATCGGCCCTAGGCCATACCAAATCTACTTGTCTAATCACAAGTCAGTCACAAGTCTGGTCACAAGACCAGTCACAAGTCTGGTCACAAGTAAAATTCAAGTGATGGAATTGTGATGGCTTATGATTTACTTGTGATGACCAGTGCTCCACCACCTGAACCTCAACCACAATGCTGGCCTACTGATGGTATGGGTTTAAAATTTCGCAGAGGGGCTTGGGGAGGGAACATGTTAAACAGGAGCAATTCATATCAAAATGTGCAACCAAGCTCTGCCTTTGCTGCAATTGCTCCAAACCTAACTACATATATACTGTTTATTCTTCTCCAGGTCTACTTCGAGTTGCACGTGTGGGTCCCCCTAATCTGTTTGCAGTGGTGGATGACAGTGATTACATCAAAGTGTACAACAAGAAGGGCGAGCTAGCTTTTCAGTTTCTGCCAGTCCAGTCAAATCTTTTCAGCATGGACACTGTGACGGCTTTCTTTGATACAGCTGCAAATTGGTTTAAGTCGTCGCCAACAATTAGGAGAAAGCACGACCTGAGAGGGTTAGCAGTCAAGGAGGATGGTACTATCTTAGTGGGCGATGCTGACAGAAATGTTTTGACTGAGCACAGCTCTACGAACGGTGATCTTCTTCAAACCTTTCCGTTACGGTTAAGACCATGGTACTTGGCCCTTGACGGAAATGGCAGAATGGCCGTCAGCAGCTGCTATAAGGAAGTGGATATCGTAGATGCAAGTGGTACTACGCTAACTACCATTGCGCCTCACATCTTGGGGGAACCGGTTAAGTCTTGCCATGGGGTTTGCTTTGATCAGTCAGACTTGTACATCGCTTTGGACAACTATGCGCTCAGCCATGTGCATCGCTACGACAACGGGGGCAGGTTTCTCGAATGTGTCGCCACGGGTTTTAACCACGCGATGCAAATCGCGTTCACGGCTGATGGTGCGATGGCCGTGGCTGACTGGTCGTCGGTCAAGGTGTTTTACAAGGTGTGATCTGACATCAAGCAGGATGCCGATTGGCTTTCTTCCTAGAACCACTCCCTAATCTTATACATTTTATCTTAATCTACACAATTTATTGCATGGACTTTAACTTCCAACTGTACGACACTTGGATTTAGTCATAAAATGAAATTTATCTAATTTTCTATAAATTGACACTGGTTATCACAAATCAGTACTTCTCCTTGTTTGGCCAGGGCCCAATAGGTCTCGTTCAAATGACGTCATTTCCTACAGATCGTCCATGTGCATCGGCATTTTGAGCGTCCACTTGCATAACGCGCATCGGCTGTGTCGTATTTCGAACATATTTCGAGCAACAAGCGCGCATGTTTGGAAAATTTTCAACACTGCGCAATGCGTGCTTGATTACGTAAAATACGCAGTTCTCCTACACAGAGATGGCCGTCACTGAGCGAGCCCTATATCCTACAGCAGCTGAACAGAAAATACTGCTTAGTAAATTTTTGTGCTAAGCAGAAGTCAGCTGAGTACCAGTCACAAGCAATATTAACTGCATGACATTTTGGCGGGTAACCCATTTTTGCTTAGCAAATATTTTCTGTGCTTAGCAAAAGATCTGTGCTTAGCAGCTACATGATTGTCACTGTCTTAACTTGTATATATGGACAGTAACATGTCAAATTTGCTCAATACAAAGTCTACTTACTAGAGTATCTGGTGCCGTCTAGCTTAGCGACTTTTATATGAGGGTTACTGCGACTCATCTTGGAGCCCACATCACCCCACACCGGTGCCAGTTTCTGACAGTGGCCGCACCATGGTGCATAGAACTAGGAAATGACAAATGTTTTATGCTCGTGAAAATGTCATAGAACATGGAACTAGAAAATGATAAAAAAAAAAATTAACTGATTTACAAACTCCTTGAAACTCCGTAATACCCTAAAACGTTTACTAAATATTGAAAAAAAAAAATCCTTGACAATTGACAAATGAATTCTTCAAGTAAATGACAAAACTACAAAAGTAACTACTGACTTGTTTTCAACAAACAAACAAAACAATTTAAAAGAAAAATATAACAGTTCACTGTAGCACAGAACATTTGATCAATTAATGGATAATTTCATCAATTATTAATGGACTTGCCTACAATAAATATATTCTCAATTAATAGATTTTCAAGAAAAAAAATCCAATCCAATCATTCTATCATTTTCATAAATATTCATGAACTGTGCATTTCCACACAAATTCCACAGAAGATGCATAACCTATTCTAGCCAATGACCTTGGTCCTCAGCATGCAGAAAACTCATTCATCAAATGCACAGAAAAATCTACCAATCAAATCATTCCATCATTCATGAATATTCATGAACTCCACAGAAATTCCATAGAGATTTATGAATATGCATTACCTCAACCAGCCAATGGCCTTGGTCTTTGGCCTGCAGAAACCTGCAGAGAAGGGAATGAGAATTATGCAGTCATAATCACCATAACGTGTCAGACATGTACAAGTGTATTTGCACTGTCTCGCTTAATATATTTTGTAAGTGTATGCCAAGGACAACACAAGCCACAGAGGAAATTGATGGTTTTTTCCCCTGAAAAAGCAGTGATATATACAATGTACATGTAAAATGAAGACGTTACAAAATTCCAATTTTTGGTGACATACATATCAGTGCAATATCTGCAAATCAATGATTCTAATTGTTTTGGTATTTTGTCAATTTCAGTTTTAAATATTATATCTAAATTTGCATCAGTTTTTTTTTTTTTTTAACTTGTGCACAGTTGAATCTTTTGATTTTCAATAAAGATTTGTTTTAAATTTTATTAGTATATTGTTAATTTTGTGTTATTATATTTCTTCTACATAACCAATTTAAATGAAGAATCAATCACGAGAAGGATAGGTCCTGTGAAAGAATTTGTTTTGTAAACAAACTAGCGTTATTCCTTTCTTTATAATTTCCAGCATTTTGGGATGTAAAATGTCATAAAATGAAATAATTGAAAGAAAGTTAGAAAATATTATTTTTTTTTAAAAGAAATACAAAAATATAAGGGACATGCAACATTTATACATGACATGTGAGAATACAATTTTAATTTTATTTTTCTTGTTAAAAAAATGGCAGACAAATTAATAAATTCATTAGAAAATATATAAATGTTTTGCTTAGTCCAAAAATATTTCACAAGTCCACTTTTTGCATTTATTTTGTAAACCTGCATTGCCCAGCACAAGTCTTTTGCATAGTTATTCAATATATATTCTGCTGGTATTTCATATGCGCATTGTTACTTATTATCAATTCTCATGGCTGTTAATTTGTTTAACCAGTATGTACATTTTAATACAAATGACGTGAAATTTGACGTCTTTTCTGATCGGCCACTTATCATAACCAATTTTCATAAATTATTTCCGCAGGTGTGGAGACGTGATTGGTAACTGAGGCACTGTGGGATACTCATTATCATATGGGGTTTGCTCTTTCAAAATGAGGAATAAAATGCAGGTCCTTTTTTAACTCTATGTTTGAATGGGTTGAAAACAGCAAAGCTAATTTTGAAATTCTGGGCCTTTTATTGGAGTGTATCACTTTTTAGGTAGGACGTATAAATGCATCTTCCAAAGTTTCCGACTTTCTGTCAATGATCTTGAGAATCTGCTTAAAAATTACGAAAAAGGAGTAAAACTGGAATTGCAGCTTACCTATCATCCAATTCTATTACATTTGCTCCGACACCAACAGCTAAGGCTAGGAAACCTGCCACAAAAAAAGGAGAAAAGAATAACACAATAAATAAAAATGTAACTTGAGCTTATTTCTCAATAAAAATTAGATGAAAATATTTGTTCAATTAAAAACAAATTGTGACTCAAGACAAATGTATCCAATGCAGCGGCCTTCCAGTACTTTATTTCACATGATAAAACAGGAAAGAAATTTTCTTGAACACTTTTTATGACTCAAAACGTAATTTACGATCTGCTGAAATTGAAAATAGTCCTCTTTGAACCAGAAAATCATTGGCCGTAATTATCATTTGATGTTGGCAGAACGATTTAGAATTCATGAGACATTCCAAATAAGAATCGTAGCGAAATTAAAGAAAAGTTCTATTTCTGAAGTAAATGCAAAATTTTGCCTTTGTTTTTACGGCCCCATTATCTGTAGGTGTGCACAAAAAGGTTCGCACAAAAGTTGGAGCATTCAAAACATCTTAAACCATCTCCCATTGAATTCATGCAAAATTGTGGTTTCTGCAACAGAAACCACAATTTTGCATGAATTCAATGGGAGATGGTTTAAGATGTTTTGAATGCTCCAACTTTTGTGCGAACAAAAGTATCCATCTTCTTTTTGATTAGAAGAGCATTGCATCCAAGCGAGGAATCCCTGGCTGGAGGACACATTTGTGTTGGAAAAGGTTCAGAGAAGAGCAACCAAGTTGGTACCTGAATTGAGAGATCTACCTTACGAGTTACGAGCAACGTCTCCAAACCCTGGACCTCTACTCGCTAGAACAAAGACGAGTAAGAGACCATATATGTTATACAAACTTTAAGCTGCTAATGGGATTCGAAAACATCAGCAATAGGAAACTTTTCAAGACAGCGACAAGCATAGCCCCATAAATGTGCCCAAATTACTGGACTACCTCCGTAAATAAAGGCCACACTTCCACCATGTACAAAAACATGTAGAACTTGTATAAACTACAAACTAAGCCTAAATGTGAAAATCAAAATTTGACAAAGTTCGACATGTTTTTGTACATGGTGGAAGTGTGGTCTTTATCTACGGAGGTAGTCTAGTAAATTGGCCACATTTATGGGGCTACGACAAGCACTGCACCAGCACAAGAGGTCACACTCTGAAGATCTTCAAACCAGCGTTAAACAAGAATATTGGCTGTAGGAAATACTTCTTCTCCCAATGAGTCATAATGTGTGGAATGCTCTCCCACAGAAAGTAGTGAATGCTAGAACCAGAGATGCCACCAATATATCAATAAAAAGCCTGAAACACTACTAAAAACCTGAAACTACCCTTACCCTCTTTCAAAAATGTGTTTTCTGGATGTTTCAGACCAAATCCAGCATTTTTAATTTGTCACATTTAAAAAAAACACACCTGAATTCAGGTTAAAACCTGAAAAGTGGCATCTCTGTAGAACTGTGCTAGTCCGAGTAACTAGGACTCTACAAATCGCCTTTTATAACATTTGGACATCGCCCGACCATGTCCAAATGTTTAAAAAGTCGATTCGTAGAGTCCTACTAGTTACTCGGACTAGAACTGTGCCAGCATTTAAGAAAGAGCTTGACTCACATTGGAAAAGAACAAATATATGATTATGGGTTCACAAAGGCTAGTGCCTAAATACATGTAAATTACCTATTAAACTGTCAGTAAATAAGTAAAATCACACATGTACCACCATATGCAAAATGCTCACAAGCTAAGTTCAAGTCACATTTTATACCTTTAATTAATCCCCTTTATGTAAATTTATTTTTAATTTTTTTTGAATACATTATTGTTTGTGTTTACGGATGAAATACATTCATAATTAAAGCACTCGCCAATATTATAAACCTCATAGCTTTGTAGACAATAGTCAATTAGTTGACAATCACATGTTTTCCCCAATAACATCAAATTCACTGTGAATGTGATTGATGATTCTGCAAAAACACACAAAGCCAACGACTACGAGAAATGAACTTATTTTATATTCCATATTTATTTGCAATTTACCACTCAAAATATTCATATAATTGTTGACAAAATAAACAAAACAAGTACTGTTTATACATTACCAGAAAGACAAAGCCAAAGCACGCCTAGAAAGTCCATTGTTTCGCAGCATTCAACAAGGAAATAAATGCCACAGATTTCCTTCGCCGGCCGGGAAAACAATTTTGTGTGTGAAGAAAAAAGATAAATCGCGCGGATGTGCATTTCAATAGCGCCCTCTGTTGAATTTACAAATCAAAATGGCTGCGCCCGTGGCTCTCCACAACACATCGGTAGGCAAGAAAAATTTGTATTTTTCTGGCGTATTTTTAGCCTTAAAAACATTGTTCTGATTGTTGTTTTGTAGAATATAATATGTGTGTTCTGTAAATGTGACGAGGAGGGATGCTGACACATGAAAAGTCGTTTAATATGAACTCCAAAATTGGCTTTTTCATTTATGATTGACATTCCTTTTCACTACACACATTCATTCACTGCTCAATGTGTGAGGGCGCTGTTCGCAACAACCATAGGGTAGCAGACCAGCAGTAAATTATAAATAAACTTCCATAGAACCCAATGGTAAATGCTCCCACTTCAAAAATTCGGGGAAAATACTCACAACTCTCCAAGGTGTTCGAGACACACATCAAATTAAAGCTTATTTCGGTAATCCTTACTTTTAGGACACCTCTATTTTTTACGAGTTCTGTTCAAAACTGACTTTTACAGATGACTGTCCATTACCAAAGTGACTTTTGCAGGCTAAAGCAGTCTTTTTTCCTTCATATAAACTCATATTAGTTGTAATTTTGAAAGCACTTTCAAAGAAAATGTGACTTTCCTACCTTTTTTCGCAGTCAGATGTGCATGTTGTAGTTCTCACAACACAGTGAAAGCCCTACATAATGAAAGCCCAATGCTGATTGGCTGCTAAAAAAAATAAATAAGATGTTTATTTTTTATCAGCCAATCAGCAACATTCATTCATTGCATCGAGCTTTCACGTTTGCCATCTTGGTTTTTGAGTCTGTTTTCTGGTTGTCATCGTCGTCTTTTACCCCTGAATTTCCCTCATAAATCAAAGCCCTGCCCTCTTTCCACAAAATTAAACCTGCTGATATTGAAGAAGGTGTCATTGCCAATTGTTCAGATGTGCCAAGAAGTATCAGAATGTCAATTTTGAGTGTCATTTAGTCAACAACTGTTTTGGTAAGTCTTTCCCTTCCTATATAGGAACGGGGTCCTAAAAGTAAGGATTACCCTTATTTCATCATCTTTCATTTTCTTTTCAATTTTCGGGGGCTTAACTGATGACATTTCCATCTGAAGATGATCACCCCTGAAAGTAGTCCTGAAGCCCATCGCCATTTTGAAAAACGACGCCTACACTCCATTGCACAATAGAGCGCTTTTAGGGTCCAAATTACATCCAAATTACACAGAACTGCAAGCTCCCAGTCCTGTGCACGGCTTCCACCCATATTTTTTATAAACCCTCAAGTTCATGGCCCACAGCATGCTCAAATACTGAAGATTTTGAGGGCATGCAAATCGTGATTCGGCCCATAGGCAATTTCGAACCGATTTACTGGTCTGCACCCATAGGTTACAGACTGCCATCAATTAATAGACCCAGTGATAAATACGCCCACTTCCGAAATTCAGAAGGAAAAATAAATACTCACAACTCTCCAAGGTATTTGAGACACACATCAAATTAAAGCATATTTCATCTTCTTACATTTTCTGTTAAAATTTGTTTTTTTGGGGGGGGGTTAACCAATGACTTTTGGGAAAAAAATTCCATCCAAAAATGATCACAACTAAATTTGATTCTTTTAGGCCTAGCACAAAAATGATGTCCGTCTGCGCTCCATTGCAAAATAGAGCAATTGTAGGGCCCAATTTCATCCAAATTTCACATACGTACAAGCTGGCAGTCCTGTGCATGGCTTCCACCCTTCTTCTTTACAAACCCTCAAGTTCATGGCCCACAAAATGCTCTAATAGCCAAAAAAAAACCTGAGGGCATGCAAGTTGTGATTGTCCAGCATATGCAATTTCAGGCGTATTTACTGGCCTTCACCCATAAAGCAACGAAAGCCGTGTTTGCTTGATTAATTTGACTATTCTTTCGGCACAGTCACAATATGACAGACATATTCAATAAGACAAAATTGACATGATCTAACCCATTTGTTTACTTCTCAGTCAACAGATCTTGACTCAGTTCAAGTAACCCTTGAAGATCAGCAAAAAATCAACATCTTTGCACGGAAGACGAACAAACTGGGTGAACTTCAGGCAGAAATCCAATCCAAACAGGTCTGAAATATATATCCCGGTTATGTTGCATGTGACCCAAATGTTTGATAATTTTGGACATTTTAATAATTTCATATGAGGAGCTAAGATCAAACGTACACATCTTTTATTTATATTAAAAACCATAATTTTCCATCTTGTCCTCAAAATACAGTTGGCCAAATTGAATATTTATAGATCGGTTTTTATTTACATGTGGATTTTGCAATATTGTTTCCATAGAAAGATGTAGTGAATGTGCAGGATGCATTAGAGGAACTTGAACTGGGAGATGAAGACTCCACAATACCATATCCTTTATATTATCCATGTTGAGGTGAATCTAGCTTTACAATGACACCTGAAACTTCATTCACAGCCAAGTGCAGAATTGTCAATGCCAGGAGATGGTGAATTAGAACAGTTACACACAGGGCCTTCACAATCAACGTTACTTCCCTCTCAACCATTTAATATTATTTAGTATTAACCAAATTTAACAACGGTAGAGTGGAGAATGTTAGAAATGAAAAGTTTTGGGGTGTTTTTTTTTGGGAAAATGAATGAAGAAATCTCATCAGTTAAGTTAATCTCATCAGCCTTCTCTTTGGTGTATGTCGTTATGATCTGTTACACGGTACCCTGTTGAGACATGGGTATAATAGGGAACGAAAGATTGAATACGTCTCCACAGAGCAATTTCTGTAGGTGAATATGTCTAGTCTCCACAAGGTTATCACAAAATAGATATATGGATTTTACTCAAAAACTAAAAATTTCTGACGTGTGTTGGTCAGTTGCAAATTGAAGTGTTTTATTAAAGGGATATTAAGTCCGAATTTCAGCCCAGGAAATAAATTCTGGTTAAAATAGGAGCATTTTTAAACTGCACTTTCAAACTCAAAAACTTTAGTACTTGAGAACAAAGAAATGACTCCACAAGGATACAAATTCCAGTATGGGTGGTTTACCATACTACTTATGGTAGTTACTAGTTATGGTAGTTACTAGTACACAACTACTAGTTTATAGTAGTTATGGTTTAGTGGCTCTTGATTAGGGTATTAGGTTCGATTCAAATTCACTAGCTTTACTAGCAATTAAGGTATGTCTTGAGCTAGTCACTTTTCCCTACTTGCTTCTCGCCAACCAGGAGTAAAATCAAATGGGGATTAACCTGTGATGGACTGGCATCCCATCCAGGAGGAATAGAAATATTCTCTGTCATTTTATAGTCATACAAAGGAAGTTTAAACCAGAGATAAACTAGGGCCTGATGAGCCGACAGACTTTTACATGATTTCCTTGACCACTCAGTACATACCTTATAGGTGAGGTCTTCGTCAGTAAGACGGTCAGTGATGCCCAGGCGCTGATGGAAAAAGCCAAGTCGGAGAAAGAAGAAGAGATCGCAGCCTTGGAGAAGAACTGCGAGTCTATCAAAGAAACCCTGTCCGAACTCAAGGCCCAGCTGTATGCCAAGTTTGGCACTAACATCAATCTTGAAATGGACGAGGCGTAGTATTGAATCACAACTAAAGCCGCATCTAAATTACTTGGCTACGGCTGGCAGTAGCACATGTCTATGGGAAGTGGCTTCAGCCGCTTCCATAGACACGTGTGTAAATGCAAGCCGTAGCCAGGTCATTTGGATGTGGCTATGGCTGACAGTAGCACATGTCTATGGGAAGTGGCTTCAGCCGCTTCCATAGACACGTGTGTAAATGCAAGCCGTAGCCAGGTCATTTGGATGTGGCTATGGCTGACAGTAGCACATGTCTATGGGAAGTGGCTTCAGCCGCTTCCATAGACACGTGTGTAAATGCAAGCCATAGCCAGGTCATTTGGATGTGGCTATGGCTGACAGTAGCACATGTCTATGTGTAAGGCCAAAAAAAAAAGTCTCCGGTTTCTGGTATGCGCGTGCGTCGCCGTAGCCATGCGCGGCGGCAAAATGAAAAAGTTTTTTTTTCAATGAAAGATGATGTCTCAAAACCGTCAAACTCACTGGTTTGACTGGAATCCTGCTGCTGCACAATTTTAACGTGTTTTTAGATTGGGTTATGGTCGAGAATAAGCTTTATGTGGCCTCTCTGGACTCCCATATATTTGCACTAAGTTTAGTCGGGCACCATTTGCAGTCATCAGCCGACATTTGAAGCAAAAAAATCAGGTAAGAAAAAAAAAAAAGCCGTGTCGCCGCACCACTTTTTGGGCAAGCTCCATACCAGAAACCGGAGACTTTTTTTTTTGGCTTCAGCCGTTTTTTAGACACGTGTGTACTTGCAAGCCATAGCCAGGTCATTTGGATGTGGCTATGGCTGACAGTAGCACATGTCTATGTGAAATGGCTGCAGCCGCTTCCATAGACACATGTAATTGCAAGCTGTAGCCAAGTAATTTGAATGTGGCTACGGCTGACAGTAGCACATGTCTATGTGAAATTGCTTAAGCCGCTTCCATAGACACGTGTGTAGTTGCAAGCCGTAGCCAGGTCATTTGGATGTGGCTATGGCTGACAGTAGCACATGTCTATGTGAAATGGCTGCAGCCGCTTCCATAGACACATGTAATTGCAAGCCATAGCCAAGTAATTTGGATGTAGCTACGGCTGACAGTAGCACATGTCTATGTGAAATGGCTTCAGCCGCTTCCATAGACACATGTAATTACAAGCTGTAGCCAAGTAATTTGGATGTGGCTATGGCTGACAGTAGCACATGTCTATGTGAAATGGCTGCAGCCGCTTCCTAGACACATGTAATTGCAAGCTGTAGCCAAGTAATTTGAATGTGGCTATGGCTGACAGTAGCACATGTCTATGTGAAATGGCTGCAGCCGCTTCCTAGACACATGTACTTGCAAGCCATAGCCAAGTCATTTGGATGTGGCTATGGCTGACAGTATCACATGTCTATTTGAAATTGCTTAAGCCGCTTCCATAGACACGTGTGTACTTGCAAGCCATAGCCAGGTCATTTGGATGTGGCCTGTTATGTAGCCTGGGCCCAATTTTTTAGACCTGCTAGGCAGAAAAAAGTACTTAGCAAATGTATATGCTCAGTGTAATCAGCTGAGAACTGGGCCCAATTTCTTGGCTCTGCTAACCCCAGAATTCCGTGCTTAGGATCACCATTTTGTGCTAACTGCGCTAGCAGAAAAATTCTGCGCTAACCCTGTAAGCACAGAATCCTTTACACAAGCCAACACTCCTCGCTAACCCGTGAAATACGCTTACCGTAAGCACGAAAGTTTCTGCTACAGTAAGCAGGGTCATGAAATTTGGTCGTGGTCTCGGTGAGTTTGACTGGTATATTTTTGCTGAGCAGATATTTTCTGTGCCTAGAGGGTCTATGAAATTGGGGCATTAAATCACGTTCAGTTGTGTAGACCCATGTGCAACATTTGGTGTGATGTTTTGTGAAGTGCTTATGTATAAACTTATAGATGCATCTGGGCATGTGGTAACTGTGCACTCACGAGGTCCCCTTCAATGGAGAAACCATTGTGCATGTTATTGTACAAAGCAACTACCCCATGGCGGATTATCTAAACAATAGCTAGCACAATGCTTTCACCATTGAAGGGGGCCTTCGTGATAGAATTGTTAGCGTGCCCAGATTGGTCGAGTGCTCAGAGTAGCCTCAAGCTTGTAAACTATGTGTCTATCTGTATTGGCTCTTGTACATGTATCTGTGATGTTGACAACCTATGGGCTGGTTGCTCGTTACTAGCTTAAGTTAAAATCCTAACCCCCTAGGCCCTTTTTGCTAAGAACCATCCTCAATCCTCCAAAATCCTCCAAAATTTTGCAACTCCGCCAATATTGTCAGACAGTCCTGCCTCAAAATGCATTCATCGTCAATCCTCCAAAATCCTCCTCATCCCAAAATTTTGCACTCGTGTTTAAATGAAGGATAACCAACGCCAAATCCTATAAAATCATCAGACAGTCCTGCCTCAAAATGCATTCATCCTCAATCCTCCAAAATCCTCTTGTGCTTCAATCACCATTCATCCTCAATCCTCCAAAATCCTCATGTGCTTCAATCACCATTCATCCTCAATCCTCCAGAATCCTCATGTGATTCAATCACCATTCATCCTCAATCCTCTAGAATCCTCCAAAACCGCCAGGAGGATTTTGGAGGAGTGAGGTGGGTTAGGGTTTTTAATGGTTAGTTTATTGCATTGCCTTTGTGAACTTGACAAACCAGCAGTCACGATTTCAATTTGTTATGCTCCCAATTGATCTTACTCTTTTAAGAGTTTATATTGGTAATGTATGTCTAAACTACATTGAAACAAATGCTATACGAGGCATTATTTTAAGCCCATTTTTTTGGAAAACTTTGTTTTTAGTTTTGTATAAAATGAAAACGTGTTCAGGACTTCAGGCTTTTGAAGGGAATTCCCTTGGTTTGTTTCTGTCACATGAAAAACGTCTTACGAGTGAGTTTCCAACTTGTTAATATGTATTTTGAGGATTTTTTTTCTGTAAGTTGCAGTGTTTAATTTTTGTGGTGTTTGTCATTAGAACTGTGTAAGAATTAGCATTTAAATGGGGAAAAATAAAATACGATGAAGTCCCCCCCAAAAGTGCTCTTTCGTTATTTTTCCTTGTCTTGAACATTGACGCTGCAGTGTTTTGACCCCCCCCCCCCAAAAATAAAGTCATTATTGAAAGATTCTATTTAAGACACCGTTGAAAGAGATAGTCCCATCATAGATTCAGTGCACGTTAAACAATTTGTGCCTGTCGTTATGTGTGATGTTAATTTTTGTATGCAGTGGGTCGACATAAAATAAATATATACGCATGTATACCCTCTCTCACCTTATATCAAAGAATCTTCTAAAATATCTTGAAAAATACAGGAAAAACAAACAACAAAGTTTTTGGTTTGTAGCTGCATCATTGTTTAATTTGAAAATGTCCCGATAACCAAGCACACAGCAGGCATCACAGCAAGATTGCCACTACCGATTGTAAAATCAACTGATATCTAAAAAACTAAAAATCATAAATATTACAATAATCAACTAACATATTGATTCAAGGTAAATACCACATGCTACATCAACTGACACACCCAACTCGTGCCATAAAACCTGAAGAAAAAACCTCCAAATTTAACTTGCATTGATTCATAAGGTACTGAAAGTGTTCAAAAATCTAACTGAAATGAACCAATTCATGTAATTAAAATGAAATTTGAAGGCCCTCCCCCCCCTTATCAAATTATACAACTGGGATCATATTATACACAATTGAAAAGAATCACAGATATGTACAAAAATCTGTTGCAATTGCTCAGTTCAAACGAAATTTCATTGTTTTGATTGTGCATGTACAAGTATTTCAAGAAATTCAAGTTTTTCAAACTACATGTATTTCCATTCTACATCTTACAACAAATATATTTCTATATTGAAAAGTTACTAAAATTGGAAAATACTGATTTTCAAACAGACTTTGGATAGCAAAGCTCTGATTGGTTCAATTTTGGAACTACTCATTTTGATTGGTTAATCTGGCAGCTACATGTTAAACATACATGTATATCTGAGGAAAATGTTAAAACCTTGGAAAAACTATTCGGTTAACATTCTTTATTGTGTAATTACTCAAACACTATCTACAAATTCATTCTACTTTTAAATGTTTAGTCTTTTCTTTCTTTCTATATTTTTTATTATCCACTCTACCATAAATCACCTAAACATACTTTTGAAGTATTTTCACAGACTCGGGGGTGGTACAGCACAGCCAACAGACATTGTGCATAGTGGCCATCTTAGATAGCAAATGAGGCCTTTTGTGTGATAATTATTACTGATATAAAATTTCAAAACCGTTATATTAAAGTTGGCAACAATGCATAAGGCCTAAAATAGGCATAGCAATGCCCAAATTACATGGCTATGGCTAACAGTAACATATACATGTATGAGCCGCTTCCCATAGGTACGTGCATAATTGCAAGCCATAGCCATTTAATTCTGACCTGTCCTTTCTTTACATGTGTCTTGATGTTTAAAGAGTCTGCTACTTTCCACAGTTTTGAATTTTAGGGCAAGTTCGCGCAAGGACTATAGTTGACCAATGGTTAACTAACGTTTGCCCGAACTCTGTCTAGTCAACGGTGGTTGACTACGCTAGTCGACTATTTGGAACCAACCTACTGGGGTTGGTTGCTTCACTGGTAACCAATAGCCGCGCGCATTCATAACGCTAGCAGAGAGCCAGGATCCAGAAGTTTTGCGATGACGTTTTGACTAGCGTTTGACTAGAGACGTTCGCACTTTGCTATCAGTGCGCAGGCGAAACGTACGTCACAAATCAACCACTAGTCGACTAATGGTCCTTTCCCGAACTTGGCCTACGTGGATCCAGGAAACGTACTCGCAAAAGTGCTCTTGGAAGAACGCATTGTTTTACACAAAATCACAAAATTTTGTAGCGGGAATTCAGTCACTGTTGCCATCAGCATTGGGCCTCCTAAGCAACAGCTTTTCCTGACTTCTTCGCGAGTCGGTATGTGGACTCCAAAAATATAACCACATATCAGCAATGATTGGGACAATATCCTGGAAGTTTGTTCTTTCAAAAGTCCTGGAATCAACGTCAGAAAGAGTCCACACCGTCAACAAATTGGAAAATCTCATCGTTAAGTACTTTTTAACTGTTTTCACGCCAGTAAAGAGTTTCGGACAACATTGCAAGAGCATACTAGGTCCAAACTAGAATTTGATCAGTTTTACCAAGGAAGCATGTAAAGCATGAACACTAGTTGTAAGGCCCCCCCCCCCCCCCAAAAGTCTCCGGTTTCTGGTATGGAGCTTGCCCAAAAAGTGGTGCGGCGACGCGTTTTTTTTTTTTTTTTAACCTGTTTTTTTTTGCTTCAAATGTCGGCTGATGACTGCAAATGGTGCCCGACTGAACTTAGTGCAAATATATGTGAGTCCAGAGAGGCCACATAAGCTTATTCTCGATCATAACCCCATATTAAAACATGTTAAAATTGTGCAGCAGCAGGATTCCAGTCAAACCAGTAAGTTTGGCGGTTTTGAGACATCATCTTTCATTGAAAAAAAAAACTGTTTCATTTTGCCGACGCGCATGGCTACGGCGACGCACGCGCATACCAGAAACCGGAGACTTTTTTCTTTTGGCCTAATGGTATGCTGATAAGTATCCCTTGTTATATTTCAGAAAAAACAAGGACAATCAATCTACAAGTCCTCAGTGCAACAAAGTCATATCTCCTAACGTAGGTTTACGTGAAATGCAAGTTTTAGCATGTCAAAAGGTCGTATCTCGCTTACAATACCCTGGATGTACACACAAAGTCAGTGGACGTCGAGATACAACGTTGTTGCACGGAGCGTATTTGCGCGAGATATGACTTTCTTGCAGAATTGAGCTACGACCTTGTTGCACTGACGCGATGAAGTAAGACCCCCCAGAATACTACTTTGCTGCTCTCCCAACTGAGCTATATTTACAAAGCTATGTTGTCGGTCTCCCAATTTGTCTTCGTTCAAGGGTACCAGCCTGTCAGAAGCCATAAAACTTTGGGTGCAACCAAATTACTTGGCCACTGCTTATAATTACACACACACCTATTGAAGTGGCTGCACCTGAAGTACCTGGCTATGGCTGGTCGTAACTTGCGTTCATCTATGGAAAGTGGATTTATTTATTACAGCCCAAAACTTAGTTACTAAAAAGCTGTCTATATATGCAAATCTTATATAATAGCCTGAGCGTAATTATGATCTTTATAACACGATGCAGAATTAATCGGAAAACGTTTAAGTAAACTCAGAGCTCTTTGGATGTTATGCATTTGTGCAATAAATAACAATTCCTTAAGCACCCGTTCACCCAAAAAAAAAAAAAAATTAAAACTGACATACGGTTTAGTAAACTTTGGTTCAGTCCACTGAGCGTATGTTTTCTACATAAATATACATCTGATAATGGACAGAACAATTTTATTATTAATACTAGTCTGACAACCAACAATACTCATGGATCAAAATTAAAATCATGTGCCAACCCGAAAGACTCATTATTGTTTCAAATACGGAAGGGTAATCTCACAAATATAGTACAGACTGTAGTTTCCCACAGGCTATGCAATCTGACTTAACATTTTTAAAATAATAAAGAATTCCAAGTCATGAATAATGATGTTTATGCTAACTCCTAGTTTCTGGTAACAAAACAAAATTCATAATGCCCCATATAACAATTCCAAAGCCTTTGCAACACTGAACTCAAAAAGAAATTACTGTGTTCTCAAATGTGACCAGGGTTGGAGAAAATACAGGTCAAAAATGCAATTATGAAAAATGAAACGAACAAAAAAAAAAGATTGAAACCAGATAATCAAATACTAAATTATTCGAAAAAGTAAGGCCCCACTTCACTGGTAAAAATTAGCCCTTGTTGGGGCCGTGGCTTAGCGGCTATACCAGTGTGGAAAATCAAAAAAATTCTTTCAGATGACCCAAGTATAAAGTGACACTAGTGTGAACCCCTGCTGATTTCAACATGGGTAAATACGACAATAGTGTGAAAAGGGGTTTTGTACCCATTCAACGTCGAACACTTAGAAACAGCAATGTTTGGAACTTTTGCCCGTTATTTTTTTCACCCTTCAAACCCAGTCCAAACTATTTTTCTTCCAACCAAATCAAAGATTTAAAAAAATATACACATATGTATATAAAAATGGAGCATTTCAAAAAACCTGCCAGATACCGTCACGCACCTTTCTCACCAGCTGACTGTGAAAGGTCAAATGTCATGGGCGGAGATCATGGTAGGTGAAGCACCGTGTTAATGAGGTACTTGATGAGCGTCGCGTTCTGTAGAATGTGCACGTGCTCCCCGCCTGAAATCTCAAATTCAGAGACTGGGTGAGGTTGTTCGTGTTGCCATCTGTGGTGTTAGGAGGGGGGGGGGGTGAGAGGGGGGAGGGTGAGAGAGAGAGAGGGGGGGGGGGAAAGAGTCACAAATAGTAAAGTTGATTAGACAAATACAGAACAGAACAAAGAGGCTACGCTCACAATATACATTGTACAAACCCTGATAAATATTCAAGTTATTTTTTTCAAAATGGCAACTCCAGTAGCATTTTATTGTGTGTCCATATTGTAGTTTGTTCACATCAAAGAAATGTTGCTGGTGCTGGCACAGATATATACTGTCTATGCTATTTAGTGTTTACCGCCAAAATGCACTTTTTTGGCTGTTTTTCAAAGGACACAAGTTATTCAATTTTGAAGGAGACATAAAGTACAAATCGCCTAGTAATGGACAACGATGCTAATAGTTATGGACAACAATGCTTAGTTAAGCCCGGTTCATACTTGGCGCGAAAGCGAACACAAATTTGTGACGTCATGGCAAGTATTTGCGCTGCGAATTCGTAAAAGTTGAACATATTTCAACTCGGGTGAGTTTCGCAGCGAACGTACCATGACGTCAATTTCGCTCCGCATTTGCATTCGCGTGAAGTATGAACAATTTTTTGGGAGCATGACATTAAGTCAGTTAGCGCAGGGAGACCGGTTCCTGCCCCCATCCCATTCCCCACAATAATGTAGGCCATGGGAACCAGTCTAACTTGCGGACATATCTGTGTGTGCTTCATACAAGCAAAAAGCCATTGTTTTCTAGGTTTGCTGACACCCAAATTAAAGGCAAATTTTTGTGTTTGAAAATACAACATCCAAAGTAAAAATATGCTAAGAAATAAAAAGTTTTTTTTTAAAAATTTTCTTGAACAGGAAGGCCAATGCATCTTTATCATCCCCTGAAGAAGCATAAACTCACTTCATATAGGCTTTTAGACTTCTCATGTTGACTGTTCCGTCGCCTTGGCCATATGTGATATATGGCTCGTAATCCGGAAATGGCCTTTCCTCGTTGTACACGTAGAATTCCTCTGTTGGCACGTCACGGCCGTGAATACCATACACGGGTACACCTGTTAACAGGAACAACAAAATTGATATTTTGTTTACGGGATTTTTGTATCGTGTCCCATTTAACTTCACTTTCGATCTCTGTATTGCAATTCGAAAGGGGGGGGGGGGAGGCCTTTCTTATCCTGTTGACAATTTGCACATTCATAACCAAACGGGCATTTGCTTAGTTTTTTTGAATTTTTGTTATGGACCTGTGAGTTCTAAGTACCTTCAATTTTAAACTCTGTACCTCAAATCTAAAAGATTTTAAAATCTTTTAGCCCTTAAAAGGGCGTTGAAAAAAAATTGTTATGCTAATTGAAATTTCAATATTCATGAGCAAAATAGTGTAATCTTTGGCAGAAAGAGTGGATTTTTTTTTTATAGTGGTTGGAGGAGGGGCCAAGAAGGGTGGGGGTATCAACATCATGAGTGGAATTTTTAAAACCATTCTGTAACTGACTCGGTAAAATTGTTTGGTACAATATTTTGGTTATTTGTTTATCCATTCAAATAAAGAAAATCATAAATACAAAGAATCAGATGAGAAAACTGAATTTAACACGGAAAAAAAATAGAGTATGAATGGGGGCAACATCCATTATAAGAACTAGCCTCCTATATAACAAGCACCAACGATTGCTGTCTTAAGTTAACATTGCATACAATAATTTCATTTTCATATAATTTCAGTTTCACATGAGAGAGTATTGCCCCTTCACAGGGTGAGGAAAGGGGCCTTATGCACGAGTTGGCAATTTTTGTCGAGTTCCCTAAATGTATTTCATTCATTGTTAACTGTTGAATGGGATGGCGCCAGACTATTTATCCAGGCATTATGCAGCCTTAATTTACTCTCGTTTTTTGTTAATCTGGCTTTAAACATTAGGGAATCATTAATTACAAATTTAAATTATTCATTGAAGCAGACTAGAATTGATTAGTAATTAACTCGCTTTCATTTCTCTTCCCAAGTTCGAAAAAATTAAGGTTTACCTCACTTTCAATTCAATATGGCCGACTCGTGCATAAGGCCCATTGGAAGGCACCCTGATGACTGAACTACTGGACAGACATTTTGCGGACTTACCAGGAGCTTTCAGATCATACACCAGTCCCCTCACGTCTTTGTAGACCTCCCAGCCTACCTCATAGTTCATGTCGTTGAACACTTCCCGGTAATCATTCACAGTGTAGTTCTTTTTCTGAGTACTCACGATGACTTCGTGGGGACCCCAGTATTTGTCGGTCACCAGCAGGAAGTTTAAACTGGGCCAGCTCCGCTGCGCTGTCCGGACAACAGAGGCATGGACCGCAAAGTCTCCAACATTGTCACCTGGATTGGAAAACACCCTACCTTGTGATTTTTTTTTTTACAACTTTTTAAGTTGAACTTTTTTTTAAAATTAATCCTCTTTTCAAGTTCCCATTTCATTAAATGGAGGCTGATTTTCAGGAGTGTGCTTAGCAGAAAGCGTTGTATGCTTAGCAAAAACAGGGTACCAAACAAAATGGCAAACTGTTGGTTTTTGATTAGCACTGGAATTTGCTAAGCGAAAGGTTCTGCTGAGCAGGCCCATGAAATTGGGCTGTGGTCTTTAGATGTTACAGGACAACACACAGAAATAAAAGGAGCCTAACGAAGCCAAAAGAAAAGTCCCTGAAATAAGCAAGTTTGTGTGTGTGACGGCAGGGCGGAGGGGGGGGGGGGGGCTCACAATGGACTGTTTCAGATTTGACCATAAGCCCCGCCCATCTTTCTTTTCAGTAGATAGCTCACGGTATTTGTGACCAACTTTGCCCTAACTATCGCAGTAACCCGACCAAAGCCCTGATCGAATTGATTGACAGCTAGGAAGGGTCTCTGTTGGTCACCTGACTAAAAGTCCTGATCTGATTAGTCAATGCTGACTGTTTGATTAACAGGCAGGAAGGGTCTCTGTTGGTCACCTGACTAAAAGTCCTGATCTGACTGGTCAATGCTAACTGTTTGATTAACAGGCAGGAAGGGTCCATGTTGGTCACCTAACTAAAAGTCCTGATCTGATTGGTCAATGCTAACTGTTTGACTGACAGGCAGGAAGGGTCCATGTTAGTCACCTAACCAAAAGTCCTGATCTGATTGGTCAGTGTGCACTGTTTGACTGCCAGGCAGGAAGGGTCCATGCTGGTCACCTGACCAAAATTCCTGATCTGATTGGTCAATGCTGACTATTTGATTGACAGGCAGAAAAGGGTCAATGTTGGTCACCTGACCAAAAGAGGTAATCTAATTGGTCAATGCTGTTTGATTGAAATGCAGGAAATGTTGATGTTGGTCACCTGACCGAAAGTCCTGATCTGATTGGTCAGTGTGCACTGTTTGATTGATGGTCAAGAACGGTCCACTACTGACTTACCTGAAATCGCAACGCGTAAGCTTTTGGTTGCCCCAGCCCAAGGACCACTGATAGGCGCAAAAGCCTGGATGTACTTGGCCTTCCATGGATTGGACTGTCTGTTGAGGAAGTACAAGGTGTACAAGCACCCCAGACTGTGTGTCATCAAAACCACCTTACGGTTTCCGTTGATGCGATAGGTGTCTTCGATGAGACGGGTTAGGTTCCGGAAGAATATCTGGGCTTCATCTGTTGGTAATAAAGAAAAGTTCAATTAAACATGATTTTATTGTTTGTGTGATTAAAGGTTGTCACTAAAACTCACATATCACCACTTTCACGTTTCTGGGAATCTCCAAGCACCCAGCTAAATTGAAGAGTTCAAACGTTGGAAGCCAGCTGAAATTCACATAATCAACAAGTCTGCTAAATCCATCAAAATCCTACATAATGAAACTTTTTAGTTTCCTGAATCCAAAAGAATCCTACAATGACAAGTTTTTGGCCTCCTGAGATCTAACAAATTGAAAACTGGATAATCTGTATATATTCTCCCTAAAGTTTGTTCCTGAGTTGCAAATTATTTTGTTCCAAAATTGAAAGATACTTATTACAACTGTTTACATCCACAACAAAGGAAACTGGGCAATTGTGTAGTGTAGGGCCCCTGTTTAGTTTCGATCAAATTAAAGTCGAAAGGGTGTTATTTATCTTTTAAACCTAAAGCAGCTTTCAACCTAATGACGCCTTTTTTTGTAATTTTGAATTTCTTGGGATAGAAATAACGATTTTCGTGCACGGTTTACGGTTAGTGGTGTGTGATTCAGCGTGGTATTGCGCATTCACGTTACATCACGGTGATCGCCATCTCTATTTTTGTGTTACGTTTTGTTGTCGTCATCGTCATTTTACACCCAAATTGCTCTCAAGAATTCAAAACTCTGCCTTTTATCTATGACACACCTGCATGTTTTTAATGTCGCCAACTAGTTTGGTAATTAGTCAACTACATTTTGTAAATTAAAAGTGGATTTAATAAATTAAAAGTGGATTTTGTCTCTTATGGGGAACAGGACCTGTAACTACAGGTTCGCCGAAAACCGGGCCAGTCAATACCATCTTAAATATGCAGATTCCTGAATCCAACAGAATCCAAAAAGACTGAACCATGACTCCTACAAAACCCATCAAACTTACTTGGTGCCTTGCGGAAGTCGTACGGAGCGCCTCTCACAGACACACCTCGCTTGTATCCCACGGCAACCAGCCCGTCCACAATGGCATTGAAGTATTTGCCTGTAGAACAACAGCAATCACAAGAATGAAAAATACTGCAAGTGAAACTTGCGCGATCCCCCCGGCATGCTGGCAGTTTTTATAAAGTCAGTTAGTACGGATACATGTCACGACAGTGTCCCTAACTAAAATAGAAGATTTCTATTGTTTAAGCAATAGTGACCTTGACCTTTGACCTGTCGTCCCCAGTGAGTATTCACTCGGGCGTGTTTAAAGATAATTTATTCATAATAGCAAAATGAGTGTTGATCTTGGGCCAGCGGCATATTGAAAATATAAAACAAAATTATTGTATATACATTGTATATAATTTACAAAATAGACAGCCTACAGTCATTGAAAGCATATAATATTAAAAGGGACACTAGGTCCTGGAACAGCCCAATTGGGCTTCAAAACGCGCTTTGAACGAGATTATATTAACCGGAAAGAACATTTAAAACTAGGATAGAAACATCCACACAACTATCCTTTGAAAACTGGGCGTTTTTGTGTTTTTGTGAGAACGAATTAAATTCGAGCCGTTTGGATGCTAGTCGTGATTTCATTCATACGCGTATGTGTTCGCCTTTTGCGGACGTTGAAGAAACCACAATTATTTTTGCATTGGTGATTGGTCACCGCTGTTCCCGATACACACAACGTGTATTTCGTACACTGTATGAGAACGACACGAAAAACGTATTCGTACTCCGTCGTGTCCGATGTAAACAACCGGGGTCTTTTTGTCTTTTCTCGGGAACGGTAAGACATTAGGTTGGTTTCCTTTTAACCACATGTTTGAAATAGGATAAGTAAACAATCCAAAACATGAAATTTTCGGGGATTTCAGGGCCTAGTGCCCCTTTAATTAAGTAGCATGGTGCCTGTAATGCTTTTTAACTTAAATGGGTCTAAAGGAATCCTTGATTCTTTGTTAAATTCCTTGTTATTATGCAGTTTTGTAAACGAATATAGATATTTTTTCCCCGTTGAAACTTTTAAACTTGTAAACATCACGCCAAGTCTTGACCTAGTGACAAATAAAAAAAGGCAACTTAAATTATTCAGTTGAAACACTACCACAACGTGGAGACTTGTGCGGATAAAGAGTCGAGAGATCAACCAGTAAATTTACCGAGCCAGATTTTGCTGGGATCCAGATATTCCACTGAGCTTGTGTTGCCAAAGGCGACAACGGTTATGTTCACACCGGTGGGACTGGATGTCGTCCTGGTCTTATTGTCATACACGAGCCTGCGGGATATTAAGAACACAGACAAGCACTGTTAATACAATGGGACGGTTTCCTGAATACTCCATGATGGTTTCCTAACTTTACTTCAGATTTCGAGTGGAAGTTTTTAATGCAGCTTAACTTTTTGTAAGTACAAAACTGGTGGCATGACTATGTGTAGAAATAGAGAAAGCGTAGAAATAGAGATTAGGAACCAGATGTTTCTTTTGACACAGTTGATTAATGCGGTACTAAAGGGGTGTTTCATATTTAAGTCTATTTTCTTGTGTCGCATGCTTTTACTATCATAAAGGGCCATGTAATATAATTTTTGCTCAATGCAATCCTTGAAAATGCACCTTTGTGTCACATTAAACCTTATTTTTCAATTTTCATGTTGCCATTTTCCAAGGTTATTTTGGTGCCTTTTTGGTTTTCATGCTAATGCGAATGTACATATTGATGAACAAAAGTGTGATGTCATTTCAGGCCGAAACCTCAATGTCTCAGTTAATTCTGAAAGTTGTCGGAATTTTGAATATTTTGCTAACATACGTTTTCTTTTCTTTGGTGATTCGCTGTTGTGTCAATACATGACTGTAAGCCAATGAGCAAAATATTCTCACAATTTTTTCAATATGGGCGAATTTTTGGGTTTTCAATGAGCAAAATTTTGGGTTCACAATTTTTAACAGAAAACCCCAAAACTGAAGAGTGTCTTCCTGAAAAGACATCACAGCAACAGTGCCCTCAGTTGTCTGGCAAAGCGTGGAAAATTTAAAATGTCCAAAGTATTGAGGGTCCCAAATGTTCGGACTAGGCTTGCGCTTGAGAATACTTTAAAGTTAAGACAAAATTAACAGGATCAAAACCAATGACGTACCTTGCATTGTCCACAAAGCAATCGATCGAACCTGGAAGTAGGTCTTCCACATTGAGCCATAGGGTGAACCAGGATTCTTTTTCTCGGCAGAAGTAATGAACAGTGGCTGGTTTGTCGATAGACGCCCATAGTTGGGTTCCTCCATCACCGGGTACTGCAAAAGTAAAACAAAAAAGTTGTGAAATATTACTACAGTTTTTCTTTTGGGGCAGGGGCATGGGGGTAGGGGAGGTGTTAAATTGAGAGTAAGAATACAGTATCATAGCCCTTATAGTGAAAGAAATTCAAAAACAATACATTTGCGACTAAGAAATATATTTGGTTTTTGTTAAAATGTAGGCTTACACAAAAGAAAAAACAACTTTTGTTTAAATAAAAAAAAGCAGTAGATATTTGACTGCGAACCGGTTTTTGATTGTTTTTTTGTTAAGCCGGCACTGCTCTTAACTCACACAGTACGTGTTTTGGGACCGTGACGAATATTCGTCTGGTTCCGTGCTTACTTTGTCGTTACAACTTCATATTCAGGAGATGGGAATCAGACCTATTGCAATTTCGTACTGTATTTCTTTTAAATTCACAAAAAAGAAAACCCTCCAGAGCCACGAATCAGAAAAAAAGAAGACTTATATTCTGCAATTAAATGTGGGATTCCATTTTAAACCAATAAAAGAAGAAAAAATGAGTGGTGCGTTTGCGTCACGAACATTTGTCACTGTGCCTGTGAGTCAAGTACCTTAGGCCAAAAAAAAAAGTCTCCGGTTTCTGGTATGCGCACGCGTCACCATAGCCATGCGCATCGGCAAAATGAAAAAGTTTTTTTTTCAATGAAAGATGATGTCTCAAAAACTGCCAAACTCACTGGTTTGACCTAAACTCTGCTTGCTCAAGAGTAGTTTGGAGAAAGTGTTTAAGATGTTCACAATTCGATGTCATGGTGACGAAAACACATGTGTAAGGATAAAAAAAAAAAACATTTTTAGCGTCCCCACCCGCTTCCTTTTTGGAGGCCGCCATCTTGAAAAATAGCCCGGTGGGGCGGCCATTTTGGAAGGGGAAAAAAAAGGGCCTCCTCCTTTCTTTTTTTCAAAAGGGCAGGACGCAGGAGGCTGTTTTTTGTACAATTGATTTGCCCATACTGTTTCCTGACCAAAAATAGAATCCCATACATGATCGTGACGCCAGGGCACCGCGGTGTATGTTTCATCATGTTCATCATGGCTGCATGGCATGTAGACCCGTGAACGTGGCGTTGTATACAACGCCACGTTGTTGTGTATTTTAAAACCTACCGAAATCGATCCGACATACATAATTCCGTATTGGCTGCTCGGCTCATCTCGTGTACGTGTACGTGTGTGTGCACACGCACGTGGGCACACGTGGGCGCACGTGAGAGAGGAAAGGACTTGAAACTTGTCTAAAACGATGTCTCTTTTAGCTGCGACAGTAAACAGTTGTCGAATTATACGAAGGACGGTACAATAAAACGCAATGCGCATGCGTCACTTGGGAGAAAATGGCAGCTAGCAGTACTTCATAAACCGGGGCCAGAATTTTCCTCATATTTCGTCAAATGCAAGTTTTGATGTACAAACAGATTTCAAGACAGCTTCATATGTGAGTACTTATTACATTGGCAAAATAACGTCCAGTGTGTGTAATGGAGGGAGTCAGAGGGACAATTTCGCCAGGTTCAGAAATACACAACAGCGTGGCGTAGTTTACAAGCCACGTTCACGGGTCTACATAGCCCCATAAATGTGGCCAGTTTACTGGACTGCCTCCGTAAACATAGGCCACACAGCCACCATCTTGGAAACTGACTCGGCTAGGGTCTACATGGCATGGTATGTGGGGAAAAAAATCGGGGAGGGGCTTGTAGCTACACAATTGCCAATCAAATATGCAGTAATATATCCAATATATGCAGTATGGTCATGCATTTTCGGTATTTTCTAACTAGCAAGGTCTTTTCGGGGGTGGGGGGCCTAGCCACGCCCCAAAGTCCCACGCATATAAACATCACACATCCGGCTGCAGGCTGTGGCTGTGCTTGGCTATGGCTAGCTGAATGAGTGAATGAAAACGGCGGGTATCAAACTCAATCATGTCGAAATTGATCCATAAATACTCACCCAAAATAACCGGATGGCCTTTTGTGGGCGGCACTTTTTCCGTCTTGGTACTTAAAACGACACAAAAACACCAAATGCATGTCAGTACAAAGAAGAGTTTTGGCCGAACTTGCGATGCCGTGCTTTCCCCCTCCATTTCTGTTGACGAATATTGTGACGTATTTTCAGATGGATCACCTGATAGTGATGTCGAGCGCAATTTGAGTCCTCCGCGCAAGTTTAAATTTGCGCGGGCAAGTTTAAACTTGCGCGAGTGACTCCCGATGGACGCAAATTACACTGCGTCATTTTGAGGACCTTGCGGGCGGGATTTTCATTGATGAAGAAAAAAATGTTCAAAAGACGAGTACATGGAGAAATAATGGAATAAATGAATGAACAAAGAAATAAATAAAAAAGGGGAATTCAATTAGCGTCAATGAAAAGAAACATTGAGATTTAGCAGTGCTTATCAGAGAAGTTTTTAGGGGGCGGGGACGGGGCCGGGGCCGGGGAGGGGACCGGGCAAAAGACTTCAGCACACGAGCGGCTATTGCTTAGAAAGTGTACTAAAGTTGTTCTATAATGAAGACCAGCTTTAATTTTTTTGCTTGGAAACCTAATTAGCATTTTATTTATATTCTTGAATGTAAATAAATCGTAATTTCCTAGGTGTAACCCGCTGTTAACGTAAACAGAATGATTATCCCTTCAATTGTTAAAGTTTTGACGTTATAGTAATCATTAACATTATTTTGTTAAATGCTTTAAATTACATTACATGTACTCTACAATTAAAAAAGTGCTTATTCTTTTTGAGCATATTGTTTTTAGAAAAGTGCTTATTCTTTTTGTGCATATTGTTTTTAGAAATACTTCCATAACATTTCGAGCGCTGTGTACACTTCAAAAATGCATAGTTTGAAAAAAAATTAATGAACGCATTACTAATTTAAATGTATTACCTTAACAATTATTTTATTTTAAGGCTCAATAATTCATATTAATGTTTACAACTTAAAAACGCTAGGCATATAAAATGGTAATTATTTTAAAAAGTAAATACATTTGTAAATGATTTAATAATAAATTTAATTTATTAATTTAATTAATTAATTCGACTTAATGAATGAATATGTTGTTTATTAAACAAAAATCCTAATGAGCCATAAACAATAATACACATCATGATGCAAAGTGCATAAATTGTTCGCATTATTACCACCCCTTATCTCTGAACCTCTACACAGTCAACCTCATTAGCACTGTTAATAAAATGTTTCAAAAAAAGGCATTAAAGGCTCAGTGATGCTATTAAATCGGAGAAAAGAAATCTGCTTTTAAAATAATGTTACATATCTGCATGAGTAAACCCGGAAAACTGAATAGTTTAGCAGCTTGTTATGCGTGGCCGGGAAAATCTATGCAGCGCGCAAGTTTAAATTTGCTCGCGCAATTTGTAGCAAGGAAATTAATGCGCGCGCAAGTGTAAACTTCTGTGCGCGCAGGTTTAAACTTGCGCGCGCAAGTTTGAACTTGCGCGTGGGACCTAAATTGCGCTCGACAGTGATATAATCAGATACTATACACGTATCTGATCACGTGACTATCACATGATCGGAACCCCGGTTTGTTTATCACAAAAGCGGATATGGGATGAAGTCAGGGTACCACTACCTTTCCAAATGTTGACATGGATAAAAAAAAAAACCTAGCCCAGCAACAAAGGCTGTGGTCACGTACACGCTCTGTATTATGTGTTACGCGATATGCGCCCGGTCATTTTTGTATTACAAACACTGCATTCGAATTGACCAATCAAACTTTTAGGGTAGCATAAAATGGTACGACAGTAGAGCGCGTAATGAATATGCATAACTATGACGTCACTAGAAGCTCATGAGTAATATATCACGCACGGTACTGATAGATGTAGATGCACATATATGCGCTGCATCCCACTTACCGATGATATCACATTTAACAAGTCCTCTTTCTCTACTGTCGCGCCGCCTCCCTCTAGTGTCGTCCCACTTACCGATGATATCACATTTAACAATTGTTTCTACTGTCGCGCCTTCACCTCTAGTGTCGTCCCACTTACCGGATGATATCACATTTAACAAGTCCTTTTTCTCTACTGTCGCGCCGCCTCCCTCTAGTGTCGTCCCATTTACCGATGATATCACATTTAACAAGTCCTCTTTCTACTGTCGCGCCTTCACCTCTAGTGTCGTCCCACTTACCGATGATATCACATTTAACAAGATCTCTTTCTCTACTGTCGCGCCGTCACCTCTAGTGTCGTCCCACTTACCGATGATATCACATTTAACAAGTCCTCTTTCTACTGTCGCGCCTTCACCTCTAGTGTCGTCCCACTTACCGATGATATCACATTTAACAAGTCCTCTTTCTACTGTCGCGCCTTCACCTCTAGTGTCGTCCCACTTACCGATGATATCACATTTAACAAGTCCTCTTTCTACTGTCGCGCCGTCACCTCTAGTGTCGTCCCACTTACCGATGATCATCGGTAAGTTACTTGATGATCATCGGTAAGTAGGACGACACTAGAGGGTGGCGGCGCGACAGTAGAAAGAGGACTTGTTAAATGTGATATCATCCGGTAAGTGGGACGACACTAGAGGTGAAGGCGCGACAGTAGAAAGAGGACTTGTTAAATGTGATATCATCGGTAAGTGGGATGCCGCACATACAGTGTGCATCTACATGTACATGTATATCTATCAGTACCGTGCGTGATATATTACTCATGAGCTTCTAGTGACGTCATAGTCATGCATATTCATTACGCGCTCTACTGTCGTACCATTTTATGCTACCAACTTTTAGTCCTGATTTGGGAATGAAATGACGTCACGATTTAGTAAAGTCGACTCCAATGGACCGATCCAGTAAGCACCGCCCCATGGTGTTCAGACCAATCATAGCCGTGATTTAGGTCCGACGTGCGTGCACAAAGTCCGACATGCGTGCACGCACGTATGATGCACGCGCGTATGATGCGCGCTGCAGGAAAATGCAGCGTGGCATTGGAGAGGAGCACGTGTTAATTTGCCAAGTGCGCAGTGGGCGGGGCTTACTGGATCGGTCCATTGGCTGAGGCGCGGGATTGCATAAATCTGCATGCTTAGATATATCAGACGTTATACGTAGACTGGGATCCGTTGATACTGCGGGGAATAGACCGCTTGCAGACGCGATCGATAATTGATGCGCGAAGGTGCGCGACGCCATGTTATGGGACAAAATGTGCATAGATAGATATACGCTTGTCCCACAACATGGCGTCGCGCGCCTTCGCGCGTCGATTATCGAACGCATCTGCAAGCGGTCTATACTCAGACTAGATCTGATTGTGGATCCAGGATTTTTTTCAAAGGGTTCTTCATTCACCAAACCCATAAGTTGTGCAGAAAAGAGGACAGTTAGAAAAAGAGAGGAGATAGAAGCGCCCAAACGAGGACAATAAAACATTCCAAGCCCGCGGCTGTACCTATAGCCCTAAAGCCCGCCTAAAGTACCCATTTTCAATACTATGCTTTGTAAAAAAGAATACACCACCTCCCCCCAACACAACGGTTGTAAATTGTTGGTATGCAGGGAGGGCCTAAGGCAATTCCAGAATTACTTTAGGAACTTTAGCGTTCAATTATTTTGGCCCCCTTTACTGGTATCGTAATAACATATCAGTACAGCGGCCCCTGATGATAGTGGCAACGAGTACAAACGAGAAGAAGCAAAAAGGTGAATACAAAATTGCCAGCAAATTAAGTGAATCCAAATTTATTTTTTTGTAAAAGGTCCTGAGTTTGCGAGGTTGGGGGAGGGTTGGGGTGGTGGGCTGTGAGTTGCTGTTTATTATAATACTAGAATATTTTCTTATCTGCACACATTAGTACAGGTATGCTCCACTCCCGGTGGCTTCCTCTGATCGAATGAATTATAGATCAAGGAAAAAATTAATAAATTGAAAGAGGCGCGCCCCACCCTTCCCTGCCCCTCCACTGCCCCTCCCCTTCCCGGTATCCCCGCCCATCGACATCTAGCGCGAGCGGCGGGCAACGAACTTTTTTGGTATCGATACTAGGGTTAAAGGATTTCTAATTTGATTCAACAAGAATCGAAATTGTTGAGATTACACAAGCAAGATGGCGACGGTGGCGTTACGAAAAGTTCCGATTTTACTCCGGCAATCCCGGCAAAATGGGTTATTACTCTGTCAAAAGGTAAGTGAAATGAAGACTGTATGACATATTTTAAGGAGGTATATTCCGATTAGTGTTTTTTTGGCTTAAGCAGGTCTAGTGACACAGTGTTTGTCAAGTTTGCTGTCTTGTGCGCGTGTCGAAAACGCCGGCCCGTAAATCGTTACAATCAGCCAATGTGTGCCATGTACGCACGCTTGGTACGCTACCGTGCCGTAGTATCGGGACCGTAGTATCGTCAGACCCCCTACAATGACGAGATCCTATTTTGACGCACTCGCATTCAATTTGTGTTGGACAACGCGCGCGTATTGCTAGCCCCACTAGTGTGGCCGTCGGTATGCTGCGCTGAACCTCTGCAGAGGTTCAGTGCAGCATACCGACGGCCACACTAGTGGGGCTAGCATATTGCAAGCGTTACCTGCTGTGCCAATTAGGAGCAACTATAGAATGCAGGGCCACGCCGAAGCAAGGTTTTTTATTTTGCCTGGAGGCGTGGATGGAATAGGAGTAATAGATATGCAAACCTGCCAAAAAGTGCTAAGTACAGCGAAGGAATGCACTGCACTTGTCTTCAAAGCTTCTCATGAAGGATCGGAAGGGAGGGCGTGCTTGTAAATGTGTTGGGGGCACTGTCTGGAGCGGCGGAGGCGCGGAGTCTTGGAGTCGCAGAATCGCGGAGACGCGGGGCACTGGAGTGGCCGCAGTGGCGGAGGCGCGGAGTCGCGGAGTCGCAGAGACGCACACCGATAGAGGGCGCAATTCTCGGCGGAATCGTTTGAGAACGAAGCATCCATATCCATTTTAATTGGGCGGGCCAATTAGGAAGGGGGGGGGAGGGCGACGGGGCACTGTCTGGAGTCGCGGAGGCGCGGAGTCGGGGAGTCGCAGAGTCACTTTAATTGGGCGGGCCAATTAGGAAGGGGGGGGAGGGCGACGGGGCACTGTCTGGAGTCGCGGAGGCGCGGAGTCGGGGAGTCGCAGAGTCACTTTAATTGGGCGGGCCAATTAGGAAGGGGGGGAGGGCGACGGGGCACTGTCTGGAGTCGCGGAGGCGCGGAGTCGCGGAGTCGCAGAGTCACTTTAATTGGGCGGGCCAATTAGGAAGGGGGGGAGGGCGACGGGGCACTGTCTGGAGTCGCGGAGGCGCGGAGTCGCGGAGTCGCAGAGTCGCTTTAATTGGGCGGGCCAATTAGGAAGGGGGGGAGGGCGACGGGGCACTGTCTGGAGTCGCGGAGGCGCGGAGTCGCGGAGTCGCAGAGTCACTTTAATTGGGCGGGCCAATTAGGAAGGGGGGGAGGGCGACGGGGCACTGTCTGGAGTCGCGGAGGCGCGGAGTCGCGGAGTCGCAGAGTCGCTTTAATTGGGCGCGCAAATTAGGAAGGGGGGGGGAGGGCGACGGGGCACTGTCTCTCAGTGGTGGAGGCGCGGAGTCGCGGAGTCGCAGAGACGCGCACCGATAGAGGGCGCAATTCTCTGCGGCTCCACGACTCCACGATCGATTTTCGGAGGTAGGTCGACTGCGGTTCCACGCCTCCACGCAGCCGTACGGAGGCGCGGATGTAGAGTAAAGTGGCCCTGCATTCTATAGTTGTACCGCCAATTATTATGATGTCTCGTACTAGTCCGAGTAACTTGGACCTAACTTATCGCCTTTTTTAACATTTGGACTGTTTCTAGCCCCATAAATGTGGCCTATTTACTGGACTGCCTCCGTAAACATAGGCCACACATCCACGTGTACAAAAGTCGTGGCGACTTTGCCAAATTTTGATTTTCGCATTTAGGCTTAGTTTGTAGGATTTTTTTGCTTTAGAAGCATACTCACCCTCTTTATAGGCTAATCAGAAAGTGCTGCCTTTTTTCAGATGTATATTTTTCGTGAAATTTCCAGATTAATTTTTACACGTTTGCGTATCAAAATTTCAACATGAAATTTCACAAAACTTAGACATCTGAAAAAGGCAGCACTTTCTGACTAGCCTATAAAGAGGGTGAGTATGCTTCTAAAGCACAAAAATCCTACAAACTAAGCCTAAATGTGAAAATCAAAATTTGGCAAAGTCGACACGATTTTTGTACATGTGGATGTTTGGCCTATGTTTACGGAGGCAGTCCAGTAAATAGGCCACATTTATGGGGCTAGACTGTTTCCTGATGAAGAGTGCGACTCCTAGGCGTACCGCGAACTTACACAGCACTCTTTATCAGGAAACAGTCGTCGGCGCGGCGCAGGGGAATCTGCCGTGCATGCAGTGCATTGTGCGCAAGCGCGCCGTCACGACCTTTGCATGAGGTCGAGGTCAGACGCCATTATTAAGCAGTTTTGAACGTGAGCACAACAACGACAACCTAGGCAGAGGGGGTCTTCAGAATTGAACGGAAAATTTCACTTTTTTCCGGATCGTAAGTAAACTTAAGTACAACCATCTTAATCATCTATGTCTACTTGTACCTCAGGTGACATATCTAGTAATTTGGAGGCCGTTTTGAAGGTGAAATCTGATGTTTTTTGTTGGAAAATGTTGGTTTTTGGGACTGTCAGTGACTGTGTTGTCTAGGTCTCGGTATTAGCTTGGACCTTACTATTGCCAGACCATGTCCAAATGTTAAAAAAGGCGATAAGTTAGGTCCAAGTTACTCGGACTAGATGACTCGAGGATACAGCTGGGGCTGTATCCGGTTCATTAGTAAAAACGTCATTCTTTATTACAACACTCGCGCGCACATCACTAAATACTCGCATCCATTGGATAAATGCTCGAGTTGCGTTATCTTCCGGTCTCATTCGTGTGAAGTACGCATGGTTGAATTGAGATGACGTCACACTTAAACGAACCGGATTCACGAAACGACTTAAGTCATTAATAAAACGTAGGCCTAAGCACATCCCACTTAAACATGCGAATTAGACAAGTCTTAATATTTAAGCAGTATTCATGAAACATTTTCCATGTTTTCACTTAAGTGCCCCTCTTATTTTCGTGTGGTAGGACGTGTCTTAAGACGTCAAGTTAAGTGGGGCACTAAGGCTGTCATGGCGGCTTTATTTCTGTCCGTTGGTTTGTAATTTTTAGGCACAAAATTGTACTTTCTAGGGGCTATTAAAAAGGAAAATTTTGTCGATATCAAATTATTGTGGAAGAAAGCAAAGTTGAAATTAATGTGTGACAGCTCTAGAATTGTAGTTCGTTGACATTCTCTTGGATATTTTCGATCGATTTGTTAAGTTAACCATCCAAAACATGAAATTTTCGGGGATTTCAGGACCTAGCGCCCCTTTAAATTGAGCACTTTAAGTGGGGTGCTTAGATCTTCTGTGAATACCAAATTAAGCGCCCCACTTAAGTTAGCAGGGTGCTTAGATTTAAGACTAATTCAAGTATTCTCTTAAGTTTGAGTATTGTGAATACGGCCCCAGTGCCCCAAATTCGCGCTGCCTAAGCTAAAGAAATAATTTTCGCGCAACCAGCTTTCTCGGCTGGTATCTTTTTGCACGAAGCACGGACCAACATCAAATCACCAACATCAAATGTTGTATTTTCCCTTTAAGATAAAATCGGTGCAATAAGGTGTACATGCAATCATGTGTCCGCACAGCTAGATCGACCATGCTGCATGGTTGACCGGTGTTCAATGAATAACAAGGAAAGATTCCCATATCTGGCCATCACTTGTCACCCTGTGCACAAACCCTAGAGTGGTCTGATAATTTCTACGTGTTTTCTCAGTAAATACTTCAATATTTTGACTTGACTTTTTAGGACATATTATCACTTCCGGATGGCTGAGAGGCCACTGAAGGGAAAAATTAGTGATGGCCAGATATGGGAATCTTTCCGATTTTTTCCATGTACTTAAAAAATATAGTCACGATACTAAAACAAGTTGCATTGCATTTTAAGCCATTGCTTTTTTTGGAGAACTTCCAGTGCAACTTTGGAGGCTGGTTTGTACATGTAGAGTGTAACTAAATTCCACCATGGCAAAGGTCACGCGCATTGCATGCTGGATTGTTGGCTGTCAGTCACGCGGCACGCGGCCGGTGTCATATAAAAATCAGACTCCGTTAATGTCGGACTTCTTTTCCCTTATATTGGTTAAACCCTCTCACGTGACCAGTCACCTCCTAATTGTCTTCACTTAGGCATGTGCAATACTAGGCCTACCAATGAGTTTGTATTTCATCATGTTCATAGAAACCTAAATTCACGCTACACTGCCTCACGCCTGTTGCTTGACTTTAGTAATCGTCGGTGTATGGTACACATGACACATTATGAGTTGGACAGGGCATTATTTTCACTTTCAAGAAAAAACCTCAAAGGGCAAAAAATCAGTAACAATGTAAATTGAGTGGGGACTTTCGAAAAAAAGTCTAAGTATAATGTGTTTCCCTGACTGGCTTTGCGAATACAGAGTGGCAGTAAGAAGTTTAATGCGGGCATTCGACCGTGACTTTGTAGCTGCGTAGCTGGCTGCGCCCCGGATACATGAGTTGTAGGGCATTCTGCAGTTGTTCCTTATATTTTATGAATTCAGATAACATTTTTTAATTCTTTTATCTCCAGGCCAATATGTCAGCGTTTTCTAGAATTTCAACAGGCAAAAAAGCAGTAAGTATTAAAAGAAGAAAATAATAAAAAGTAAAATTTATATATTAATAACAAAAGATTTTTACATCAATTCATTTTACCAACAAGGAAGACATATTACAAATGTAATGAAAACCTTTAATCTAAATCCATCAAAATCCCCTTTCAGGTATTTTCAGTATTTTCATTTTTCATGGCTGAAGCCTAACCATTTTTCCTTTAGTGCCTTGATGCCCCGGAGTTTTATGATGTTTGAAAAAAGTGTCATCAGGTTACTTTACAGTAGTTAAATTTTGCAAATTCAGTTCTGATAAAATGTTCCTGGGGGTTATGCTTTTTTTTTGCTAATCGTTTACTGACTTTCTGACTATTTCGTGGGTATTTTTGCCCTTGCAGATGTTGGGAACGCTCGGCCTTCTGGCTGCAGGCGGTGCAGGTGTGGTAGCCACGTTACACATGTCCGTCAACGCTGAGGAATACGAACTACACGCTCCCAAGTATCCCTGGAACCACAAGGGACTGTTCAGCTCCTTTGATCATGCAAGGTAGACAATTTGGGTGTTTTTCTTTGGGGGGGGGGGCACTGATAATTAGAGCCATGCCACACAAGGCTATATGCAGGTAGGGTGGTCCAGGCGATCCCCTAGAAGCAAATTGTAAATCTGCAGAATTACAATTTGATGAAACTTTTCGGAAATCCTACTTTTTCAAATTTATTTCTAAAATTCTGATTTTTCTAACCATTTTTTCCCTGCAAACTCTGATTTTTAAAAAAATAAAGCTAAAAGAAGATGATGAAAATGGCGCAGCGAAATCTGTATTACGAGGGCAATTTTAATCTGTTCAGTGACCAGTGGTCAAGTTTAGATTTTCAGGCTTCCCATTTAAAAAAAAAAAATGAATGTCAAAATTTTAACAGTGCAAGGAAAACTGGGATTTTGCAAAAATAGTCTGTGAGCTAAGATTGGAAGGGTTGCAGTAAGAGTCTGTATGTGGTCGTACCGTTTGACATGAAATCTCTGAAAAGAACCAGTAGAAACTCCATGTAATAAAATGTGACCATGTGCTGTTGGTTTTACACTGAGTTGAAAAAGTGTCGTGCATACAGCACACCAACTGTACATGTACATTGACCCTGACTTTATTGTACACCAGTATGTACGTGTTCTACATAACCCCCGAGGACCGACGCACAAAGGGAGAACAACTGATCCTTTCAGTCCTCGGGAGTGGGGTCTTTTATTGGAAACGGTCCTCTGTAGTAAGGTTGTGTGCTTAGTCTATGGGAGAATGTTGTATTACAGGGACAAAGAGAAACACAAAGCATAGTCCTCGAGAGTATAGTAAAACACGAACATACAGTGCTTTAACAGTTAACACACAGACCCTATAACCAACGCAACTTTTTTGCACAACCGACCAATTTTATTTATTGAATTTTTCTGTTACCCACAGCCTTCGTCGAGGCTACCAAGTCTACAAGGACGTCTGCTCAGCCTGCCACAGCATGAATTACCTGGCCTTCAGGAATCTGATCGGAGTAACACACACGGAGGATGAAGCCAAGGCCTTGGCAGAGGAGGTGAGTCGCAATCTAGTAAAAATAGTATTTGGCACTTGATATTCCTTGTACAGGGTGAGTAAAAAAAAAAAAAAAACGAAACCCAAATGTCGGGACTATTGTTTTGTTGAAGTCTTGCATGTAGCACATTCAAAATCTAGGCCATGAAAGCCCAATTCAAAAGCTTTCTTTTAGTACAAGAATCATTCAAATCACTCATGTAATTTTCAAGTTACGGAATTTTAAACACAACCACCGTTTTGAAGTTCTGTCCACGGATCACAAAAAACGTGTGCGTTCTTTCAGCAAAACAAAAACCATTCACACACATCCCTGTGTGATTTGTTTTTGTTTTGCTGAAAGAACACTGAAGTTTTTTTTTGTGATCCATGGACAGAACCTTAAAACGGGGATTGTGTTTAAAATTCCGTAAGTTGAAAAGTACATGAGTGATTTGAACGATTCTTGTACTAAAAGAAAGCTTATGAATGGGGCTTTTCCTATCCTAGATTTTGAAAGTGTTACATGCAGAACTTCACTAAAACAATGGTCCCAACATTTGGGTTTCGCTTTTTTTTTACTCACCCTGTAGAGTGTTCCGTCAATCACCTTGCCGAGGTGGTGCCAGTGTTGTCGAGTTACATGGGTCGAGTCTACGTCCGAGTCTCGAGGCATTTGGTTCAAGTCTGAGTCCGAGTCACGAGTCATTTCATACAAGTCCTAGTGTGACTCAAATTCATATCAGTACAAAACGCACGTGCATGGACATGGACATGGACACGCATACATATAAGCGATTTATATGCAAGTTATGCCCTGTCGTGGGAAACATGAAAGGGGTATTTAGTAACAAACATCCATAGCACCACCTGAAAATTAACGTGGTACTACAAACGAAGACAACTTTTTAATGACCTTTTTTTCCTTGTAGTACATGTTCAAAGATGGACCGGATGAGAGCGGTGAATTCTTTGAGCGTCCCGGCAAGTTGTCAGATTACTTCCCCAAACCGTACGAAAACGATGAAGCGGCCAGAGCAGCCAATGAGGGTAAAGTATTGTAATCATCTGTTTTGTACTCCATCTATTTTCAAATTCAAGTTGAAGTCAGACTTCCAGATGTCATATTTAAAGCTCAAGATATAAATGCTTGTAATTGTTGTAACATTTTCACAAGTCGTATCATTAGTGTATGCACAAAAGTGTCCTCTAAAACAGGCTTTTAACATTTGCTTTAATACCATATTGCTTATTTCGAAGTAGGAGAAAAATATTGTTAAAATATTATTTTTAAAACAAATTTTGTCATTTTTGTTTCTTAAACCTCTAAAAGTGGGTAATTTCTGTTGGATTTTGTTGATTAGTTATGAATGTTTACCATGTTTACTGTTTGCAATCTTCAAGATGTTACAACCCAACTTGTATCATATTAAACCTCACTGCAACTGTATCAACAGTAAGAAACAAAGAACAGTGCGAATTTAGTTTGGATTGGCTAATGAATATGCATGACGCTTAGCAAAGAAATGAATGATTCATTTTGTTATCTCATTTGAATATTAGGATCCCTGCCTCCTGATTTGAGTTACATCGCCCTGGCTCGCCATGGCAACGAGGACTACCTCTTCTCCCTGCTGACTGGTTACTGCGATCCTCCTGCTGGTGTGGACGTCCAGGATCCGTTGTATTATAACCCTTACTTCCCTGGCCAGGCTATCGGTATGGCCCCAGCGCTCTACAATGAGATTATCGAATATGAAGATGGTGAGTACCAGACTTAGGTAGTTTTGAATCATCGACTTCATTCCAGCTTTGGCTATTTCCCGTTGCTTCTAAAGGCAATGGTGTACTTCGGGACCCCTTTGCTGTGAGACAACTAAATCCACTTTTTAAGTTATTGGACTCACCAAGACACCTGGCGCCGTTGAAAAGCAACAGGAATGTCATGGAATGAGGACAGAGTTTGGATTTAGAGGGAAATTATGAGGTATAATTACGACGCAACGCAACATGAAATGAAGTTGGCAATTAGTGTGCCAGTTTACATGTGATGCAAAGTGAATGTCAAAACTGTGAAGATTTCCACAACATCAACTTGAAAAAAAAGGGATCATTAAGTCATTGCTTTTGACAAAATACTGTTGAAAATTTAGAAATTAGGGGAAAGGAAGATTGTCACCACCCTGTAGAGTTGTCAACTAAGGTTGAAAAATTATGCAAAATTGAAAGTTACCCATATAAAGTGGCTCTCTGTGTTTGAAAATAACAAAAGTCTTTACTCAAAGTCAATACGCAATTTGTGCACTGTTTGCGCCCATATTTTCTTGCATTCTTTTTGCATGTATAGCCTAAATTTCAAAATGCCCTCTTTTCTTGCCTTACAGGTACCCCCGCCACACTAAGTCAGCTGGCGAAGGATGTATCCTGCTTCCTGCGATGGTCTGCCGAGCCAGAACACGACCAACGCAAAAGGATGGGTCTCAAGGTAAGATGGCAAGATTTGGCCGAGGAAATATCTCAATGACACATTCCAGATTCAGCCATAAGCCCCGCCCACCTTGGGTTCGTGTACCTTTCTCACGGTGCTTGTTACCAAGGGTGACTGTGCTACTGTAGTCACCTGACCAAAAGTCGTGCTCTAATTGGTCAGTGCATGCTATTTGATTGACAGGCAGGAAGGGTCCATTTTCAAAGAGGAAACAGTTAAAAAGGTTTTTGGAAAATGTTGGTAGCTGGAACTTAAGAAAATCTTGCAGAGTGGTTATGCATGTAATTGACCTATCACCGTTTGCGAGTTAGCCATGCCCCTTAGACAACCCTATGGAGTTTTTGTACACTAAGTTTCGTTTGTCTCAGATTCTGCGCGTTCTGCGTCCATTTGTATATCATGTAATTGGACAATATTTCACAAGCTGCATTGACAATATTTCACAAGCTGCAAGCGATTTTACCGTGATAGGTCAATACAGTTTGTAAATAAGAAGGTTCCATCATTGGTTGGGATAATTTTGTGACTAAAGCTTTTCGGTTTAGAATTTGAATTTGAAAGTAACGCGTTAAGCAGAGAGTTAGTAGGTCAGATTTTTTTTCTTTAATTGGTGTCCAAACTGTTGCATTCCATGAGCTGTATTATAGTCATTAAGGTAAAACATGAACAAATAGATGCATTGCAGTATAATACCAAAACAACACAAGGCTTGCCTGATTAAACTGGACCTGAAAGTTTGAGTTTAGGACAATATCTTGGCGCTGTGACTTAGTCAGTCAGCGAGTGGTTGGGGGACAAATCGGCTGCCGTTCCTGATCCATCAAAACTGTGTTGGGAGAGGGAGTGCTCTTTCAGGATTAAAGCATTACTCTTCTTCACATCCAAAACGAATTCTTACGAGTCTTTGAGTTTTGGTAAACATCTTGGTCACGTTCCTATCTTTCCTCTCCAACCCGTAGGCTCTGATGATTCTGTCCATGATCCTCGCCGCCTCCTACTACATGAAGCGACAGAAGTGGTCCGTCTTGAAGTCCCGAAAGATTGCTTACAGAGCTCCCAGCCATTGATAATAGCACCCAGGCCCTGGTGCTTTTGGGTGTCATTGTAACAAGAAGAATGCAAAGTTTTTAGAAAATACGTACAAATGTTTTAAATTTTGATGGTACGAAACAGTCACATGTTTAATTCCCTACTGATAGTCATTGGAACTGCAAAATTACTTATTTAATTGTAAGGAATAGAGAATGGTACAATTTGGGTGTACGTTTTGCAGTTGTAGAGTTTCAGATTCGTTCACCCAAAAGAAAGAATTCTTCAGCCCTAACACTCTTGGGTGTGTAAAAATTCATTTAAAACTCAAAACTTTGTTTGTGCCTGGCATTTTTTTTTAGGGGGGGGGGGGTTTCATGAAATTGCCCCCTGGGTGTAGAGAATACTATTTGTCAACAAGAGGTGGGTACAAGTGTAGAAATTTGTAGGTGAGGGCGCCCTCTAGAGGATTTAACATGTGACGTTTAAAGCCCGGTTCATACTCTGTGCGAAAGCGAACGCGAATTTGTGACGTCGTGGCAAGTATTCGCGCTGCGAATTCGTAAAAGTTGAACATATTTCAACTCGGCGAATTTCGCAGCGAATGTTTCATGACGTCAATTTCGCTTCGCATTCGCGTGAAGTATGAACCGGGCTTTAGAGTGAATTATCTGATAAGAGTTTGAAAACGTTCAACTAGGTCAGCAAGTTAGAATAAAGGGAATCCTTCACCACAAAACAAGTTTGGTTCTAATTTTTGTGTGAGTTTTGTTATAATCAGCGGCGTGATATATTTATTCCTTCTTGTTATGGGCCACAACTTAATACCGTCTTGTTTTCCGGGCATGTCACTTTTTTAACAGCTTATGCCATCTATAGAATCGTAACAAATTGTAAAGATAAATTGTGCTGGAAGAATGTACGAGTTTTCAGGGGTCTACAGGTACAAGCGCTAGAAACAAGAACTATCAAATTTTGCACTGACTTAATTTTTGTTTTAAGACTAAGGCTTTGAATTCCAAATGTGATTTTGTGCTTGTATATAGATTGAATGACCTAGAATATTGGACTGACAGTGAATATGTTTTTGAAGGATAGCCCTCTCGATACTTCAATTTACAGAATTCCCCGTTCAGTTTTTGAAATATCTATGTTGTGCCCGAGTTTCCCATTTCCTTGAACTTGGAAGCGGTATTTCAAGGACCCTTTTTTAAAAGTTTGAGTTTACGTCCACTCCTGTCTCTAAAAATTGAACGAAATATGAAGAGTTTGGGACTCCATAATATTCTTGAAATTTACACGAACCTCACTTTGTGTCTCGGACGTTACTTAAGTTGTGTGCAAACCTGCTTCGTTGACTTGAAAAGTGCTTGACCTAAAGATAACATACCTCTAGTGTTGAATGTTCAATAAAAATCAGAGTTCAAATAATTTGTGATTTTATTTGTGTGTTTTAAATTCATTTTTGATTTTAAATGTCCCACCTAAGAAAAGGGGGAAGCTAGAAATTCTAAATACATGTACTTTGTCCAAAAACCCCAACAGTAAAACTACTGGTCACTGGAGTTAAAAAATAGTGAATTAAATTTCACTAACTTCTTGAACAATGCATGTTATTACATAACTTTCTGAAGATGCGTATGGGGTTTCCAGCACGGTATATACATATAGGCGGCGTGGAAAAAAGGAACGCACATACCATCAAAATTACATTTATCATAAATTTTATTCAAGATTTAATATTCAGAATCACAGCAATCAATGATCACAATTACATTCTAAAAAAACAAAACATAACTTGGCACGCAGCAATTTATTCTATAAAATATGGGAAAATAAGTGTAAAATCTCACTACTTTTTATGTGCATATAAGGAAAGCGCAAGGATAGTAATATTGCTAAAAATAGACAATCTAAGTCTTGGACTAAATAGTTGCACATCACTTTTTCAAAGATTTCAAGAAGGTCTGGAAGTTGCTGTTTGGCCGTGTCAACTGATGGATATACATGCTTGTTCTAGCTAAAGATATTTGGCATGTTTGCACGGAACCTCCCCAATCCACCAAAATCCATCAACTAACGTACTGCCAAACCTTGTAGTGGATTTCTGTGGATTTTGGTAGTTTTTAGAACTACAAATACTTGACTTTTCAATCACTAGCATAATGGAACCATTTTGGCAATATTTCATGCATATTAAAAGACATAGTTGATAGCCCTTGTATGAGCACTGTTTGATATCCCAAAATATATTTTTGGTTAGTTACATGTAAGTGAGGAACTAATATTTGAGAACTAGGAAAGGTTTGGTCTCATCTTCAGTGAACATTTTCCTTTTAACTTCTAGTTCTTATACTAAAGCAACAGCGCTATGACCTCGACTAAAGTCTTTTTTTTTTTTTGGCCCCCAAATGAAAGAAGGAAATATTTATGTTATTAAAACATGGTTTGTGCAGTGTAAGATAGGAATAGATTATATTTAGTTGACGGAATGTTAAGCGCTTAGGAAATAACAACTTGGAGCTTTTACATATTTTTAACTCCTTAAAGCTTACACACTTAAATCACAAACACTTAAAAGTTCATGCATACATTGCATTAAAGCTTAACATCAAATTGAATTAAAAGGTACCATTTTTCTTCACTATTTGTATTCTGAACCCTGTTACATTCGCATGCATTTGGTCACCATGCATTTACAGAAAGATAGTACAGCTTTAAACTACACTATTATATAATTCAACGGTATTGAGTATTACTTCATCAAACAAAAATAAAGATAGAAATAAAGTATTTCAGAAATCAATTGAAATTTCTAATACAATTTTCTTCTTTGGGTTATTTAGCAAATCAAGATTAAATTAACAGACAAAACTGCGTAGGGCAAAAGTTTTTGAGCGAGTTCAGCAATTTCATGGTTTAAACTGTGCTTGCTTACAATTACATGTATAAAGAGCTTTTTTTTTTACCTTTCAAACATGTAGCCTTATATTAAATCAGTTATCAATCCATGTAACTTCAGTGATGATATTTCTTTGTTTACAAAAGCGAATAAGCCGCATATTGTTACTCATTTTTGTTTCTTCAAGGCACAATCTTAACACATACAAGTTGTTTAAATGAATCTCAACATTCGCTGATAACATTGTGAGAGTCGTTTGATCTTCCATGTTGGAAACTGACAACAAACCTCTGAACAAAAGAATTATAAGGAATTTAAAAAGGCACATTTTGAGTTCTGGCACTGTTGTCAAAGGAATTATGAAAGTATCCAAGGTTTGAGACACAGTGAAATCTTTCTTGTAATGAAAAAAAATTGAAAGACGGTAATAATGGGCATTGTTCAATTCCACATTTTGTTTTTAACCAACTCGCAGAAATTCTTGCATACATTTGTGAAAAGGTGCACTTTAAAAAAATCAACTCCAATATCAAATCTTTGGTGATTATGTTGTCCGTTCCCCTCAAGTAAAGGATTTCAGTTATTCATAATAGATTTTTTTTTATATAATCAAAAACTCAATACAATTTCATTAATAGGCTTTTTGAAATAAAAAAAAAGAGAATAGATATTTATTTTGTGCTTTAAAACGTGGTCCATAAAATTCAACAAATTCATGATTGTCACATTGAAAGTCAGTGCGATTTTAATTTGGTAGTTTATATTGCTCAATCACAGTAAAACATTCAATCGGATTTTTTAAAAATACAATTAAATAGAATTCTGGTGAAGAATTATGTTGTTGATATTTAAGCCGAAAAATAAGAAAGTTGGCTGGGAAATCTTCTAAACAAATTTCAGTAAACAGTGAAATTCACCTACAGCTAGGTATCAATTGCTATGGTTACACACAAACTACAATCCTTCTATCTTTCGGTAACATAGTTCTGGGATCTCTAAGAAGTGTCACTAATCCCAAATTGCTGTCTGTTTCCTGAGCTGGTTTGTAAATTTTGGTTTCATCAAAACATTTGGTACATATCTTGTAAATAGAAGTTGTCAAATGCGCATTAAGGTTTTGCCAGTCCAGAGGTTATTTCCTCAATGTTTATAGAAACCATGTAAAACACTTGGTTTGTAAAAATATCCACAATTCAGTACGAAAACAAGAAAAAGAAAAAGAATAAATGTTGAGCCTTAGGGCCCGTCTCTATTCATATCCGGGGACGAGTTCCGGACAAGTTGCAGTTAGAATCATTCACTTTGTCTGAAAGAAGCTCTGCATTTGTCCCGGACATGTTCCGGGGCAAGTTTCATTAGCAACTGCTTGACTCACCAATACTGATAACTTCATTGCGGGAAGATTGCGGGGAAGTTGCTCAGAATCCTGCAACTTATACCCGACACAATGTCTGGAACTTGTTCGGTAACTCGTCCCGGATATCAATTGACACAGACCCTTAGCGTGAGGCTACAACAGGACGTCGCATTAGTGAGTTTTTGTTCACTCTGTGAAACATGCGAAACGCAAAACATTTGGTGATATGAATCCCTCCCATTTGTGAGTGTAAAAGATCGGGATCGGTGACACCTCCATGATCTCGAACGAGCAACCGCTGTCCAATCAGGTTGCTCTTCTGGAAAGAAAGAAAAAAACAATCAATCAATCAATTGAAACAATTTAGAGGGTTTAACGTTTATGGCAGGACCTAGTTCTCAAGGGGGGGGGGGGGAGGACCAAAGGTGTGTGGCAGTAAGTGAAGATCAAAGGGGATAAATAAATAAACAAATTAGTAAACAAAACAATGTCAAATAACAAGCCAATTTCATAAGCTACTTTTAGATTTAAAAAACCCACTGAAATTGCTCAATCTGTTCAAAGAATATCACCATTTAAACACAATGACGCCTAAAACCTGTCTCGCCCAAAAAATGCAATTTCAAGAATCGTCATCACAATTGTCTTCAAACATCACCAGCGATAAAATCTCAGTTTATACGTTAACAATATTCAACAAAGTCCTTTTGAAGGCCTGTCTGTAAAAAAGAGTAGATTTTATAAATCATATTGTTTGCCTAACCAGGGTTGTTAATGAAGATATTGTGTACTACAATTGGTGACAGTTGTTGAAACAAGTATTCTGTGTCACTTTCTCTGTTGTTCACAACAGTCAAAACACACAATAAATTGCTTTTTCATTGCCTTTAAAAGGTGATATTCTTTAAACGGATTGAGCGATTTCAGTATTTTTTCATTTAAAAGTAGCCTATGAAGTTGGCTTTCCAGTCATTATATTTTTGGTGCTACATATTTTTTTCAAATATGAAATATATTTTTGGGGGTTTGGGTTCTGCTTTTTTTTACTCATCCTGTAGAGCAAAATGTTGTACTCACCGGAACCATTTAGTGTTTCTTGTCGTATGTCCCTTCCTCTTTGTAGTTGCCGACGTAGCCTGTGTTTTTGGTCAGATCCTTGCGTCCTTCCAAACCCTTGCCTTTTCCTGACTCGTCAAACCGTTCCTTGTGAGATCCAGTGTACTTGGAGGTGTCCGTCATTCGGTCCACACCACCGACTTTTGAGGTTCCCTAAGGAGGAATTATGGAATTATGGGATATCGGATCAACTTTAACAGGATGGATTCTAGACCCCCAAACAACACAACATTACAGAGTATCCCCCCCCCCCAAAAAAAAGGTAACTTACTGTCAAAGGGATATTATGAGCAAGCTATGAACTGGATGACCATTATTATGGTGTTATCATAATCTAAGGAAAGTAAACTTTTCATTTGTATCTTGGATGCATTCCACTGATCATTTATTACTAAACTCCATTTTCTTGAAAATGGTATGTGCAAACCTTCTAAGGAAAGTTTGGGATGTATACACATTGTGACTTGTTCTCTTTGGCTGATTTTGATCAGAATGTACATTTTCTAGGCAGTACATATGTACCTTTCAATTGTAGCTGGTCAGCAAATGCCACCCTCCCCCCCCCCCCCATTTTCTGCACAAAGAAAAGTTGGTATTCCTGGGGAAAATGCTGGCCAGAAAAAAAGTATTTGAAAGTCAATTAGGATTTCTTACGGTTGTGTTGGCAGTTGACGGTCCAGCACCGGACAGAATCTTGCTCTTGATCTTTTCAGTGTTGGCCTCCGACTCCTCGCCGTACTTGGATTTCCCGGCCATGACCAAGGCTTTTTGGAACTGGGCAAAGGTCAAGACCTTGTTGGCGGGTCCCCCCTTGGCCCTGAAATTGTGATAAATAGACACATATTTGCTACTTTTAAAACCTTTTCAAAAAATAATTTATCCTCGTAATGGAAGCAAGGATTCTCCAATGGCAAGAACCAATGGCACGGTAGCTTTGACCCTAACTGCCCTGAATCCTTCAAAATCCTCTTTGCCGAAGTGGAGGAATTTGGAGGATTGAAGTTACGGCAAAAGTGCGTTACTGCTTTCGTAGAATGCACTTTGTCAATGTCTTGGGCCGGACCTTGTGTTGTTTTTGCTCAGCCATGCATAAATATAGGCATTGACTATGCTTGAAATCCTCCGCACTGCTCCAGAATGTCACTGGCCAAGCCTCAACATATTGACAGTCACTGCCGCAGGATTTTGCAGGATTATGGCAGTGGTCACCCCTCCACAGACCATATTCAAGAAATAATGGACAAATTTGCAGGAGCGAGGCTATTTTTCCATGAGGCCAATTGGAGGATTTGCAGGATTGTGGCTACACAATGTACATCCTAGCAAAAAGGCCTAGGGAGTCAGGGGTTAATATAATTACAAGCCTAAGTGAGATTTGAGGCTTTGCATGGTGACGATTTTAATGAATGAAAGGTTTGCAGAAAGTGGAAATAATTTCTCAAACTAAGAGAATGGTTCTGAAAAGAACCAGAGGTATAAACTCAACGTGCCAGTCAGACCTGTCCGCAAGCCTTTCACTCATTAGTTGCAAGCCTGTTTCAAATTGAGGAAAGGGGGAGGGGTCATGATTAGGGCGGTGCTTGGACCCCTGTGTGCCCCACCCAGGGGTGCTAAGGAAGGGGTGGGTTTGGGAGAGTGTGATTCCCCCATTTGTTACTTTGTCGACATAATCATCATTCTTGTTAGCAAAATACATGTAATGCAATGTTGGCAAAGGAGGTCGCTATGAAGAGCCCCACCTAATGGCAGATGATGTCCGCCCCCCCCCCCCTTTAATTGGTTGCGGACAAAGTGTAGTTTGCCACCAAATTTGTGGTCACCCCCCTCTTTCAAATAAGCTGATCCATTAAGTCCTGCCCCCTAATGTTTAGACCAATCAAAACTGTGATAGTGCAACCAAATGTCTGACAAAACAGTCCAACATGAGAGCACTAACAACACATGGCAAGCAAGATGGAACATACACATGGCATTGGGGAGCAGGCCACGCCACTTGTTGCCCATGTGCAAAGTGGGAGGGGCTTATGGCCCGATGCAGAACAGTCTATTGGCCAGGCATTGATGAGGCCACACCCCCTCCCAGCTTACCTGGTGAATATCATATCAACCTCTGTGCCATTCAGCTTCTTGCTGTCGATAAGGCCCTTTTCCTTGAACAACTTGGTGAAGTTCTTGCTTGTGATGTCCTTGGTTTGCCCCGGTCGGCCGAACGCGGCGTACTCCTCGAAGACTTTCTTCAGTTCTGCGTCTCCCATGGCTGAGATAAGGATAGTTGCTGGCTGCTTAAATACTGATGTAGAAAACTAAAGGAGGATCTGAGGCGAAAGAGGAAGACAAAGGGGAAATTGAAGGAAAAAGGTACATTTCCTCACTCCTCAGATTTGAAAACCTGATAAGATATGATATGATAATAATATAATAATGCCGGAGGCTTATATAGCGAACGTATCTACCAACAATTAGGTACTCAAGGCGCTGGTAATTATGTCTATTTTAAAGACAGGTAAATGAATAATGAGAAAATATGAGACCCATTATGTACGGTAGCACCTCATAAGGGTTTACAAGGTGCTGCGGCGCATATTGCAGCCACTGCCAGAAACCCCTTCTCTTAGCGATAAGTGTTACTGGGTTCTTTAACGTGCATTACACAACACACGGGACCTATGGCTTTACATCCCATCCGAAGGATGAAGCGATAATGGTAAAGTGCCTTGCTCAAGAGCACAAGCACCATGTTCCCACGGTCAGGATTCAAACCCATGTACCACGGCACACGAGTCGAACACCGTAACCATTGGACCACAGCACCCCAGAAAATGATACACAATGTAGCCTCATTCCTTTGAAAGCCTCTACTCAGGCTATGCCAGGAGGATTTTGGAGGATTTGGGAAGGTTAGGGTTAATGAGTTTTGCCTTGCACCCTCTTGTGGTATGAATCCCCAGATTGTCATTCAGGAAAAAATATTTCTCATTCACCGATATATCCGATTGCAAAACTTAACTAAATTCGCTCCATTTAGGGAAGTATTTAAAAAAAAAAAAAATTTTTTCTTGTGATGGTTTGGCTCTGGTCCTGACTCCTAACCACCACAAGGAAATGATGGTAATTTTTTTTTTTTCTCAAAAATGACACTTGGCGCAAACATTTCACAGGATACTTAATCCTATTATTTACTTATAATCACATACAGTTATATTTCATATTTTGGAAGACTTTCATTTTTGAATGCTTGCATATAATGTTGTCCATTACATGTACATTTTCTAATAAAGATAGTGATTCCTTATAAGGCCTTATTTCTGAGCGAACAAGGGAGCAGAAACAATTCAATTTTGGAGGTTTAAACAGAAAGGTACCCTAGGTTACTGAAAAAATATTACTATTATACAATTTGTAGTTTTGATTGAAGGAAAGTTGCTAAATTGCCTCAATAAACGTAATGTTGTTTGAACGCTTATAATCTGACCTTGTGCAAAAACTACTTCACAGTGTGCGATCGGATACATGTGGGAATTGTTTACTGTGTGAGCACCCCAGACATAATTGATTTTTGTTCCCCCTTTTTATTATTAATTAACACTGGACCCTTGGGTCGCATTGTGTAAACTACAAACGCTATTGATTTCAAGGTCCATTGTTATTGGGTTGTGTGTCCATTTCTACATGGACTGAGATTATTAATTCAGAGGTATAGACTACCACGACCTAGCAATTATGTAGCAAGGACAATTATCTTTGAATGGCAATAGTGTAACCGTCCCAGCGTTGCTGAAATTGAATGCAAGTTGAAATGTTAACCTTCTTTAATTTGCATGTGGCAACTTTCTGCAAAAACACACAAATCTCTCGCTTTGGGCTTTCCATTTTTTGAAAAAGATGACAAAAGATGAAGGATGGTTTATAAAGTTTAGTTTTTACCATCTACGACCTGAATATGGAACTCTCTTCCTGCCCACATACCCACTAACAGGAATCTGGCCAGCTTCAAGAGGGAGGTGAATCGCTATCTGGGCGACAAGCCATCAGCAGTCTCAATTAATTAATAATGTTTCTAGCTGTTAAGGCCCAGATATGCCTTGTTTAAAAAAAAAAAGGACACAGATAATTCATGACATATTGTGCAACATACAGCAATAGTCCGCTCTGGGTTTTCCAAGCTGTATCAAGGAATTCAAGAAAAGAAAGAAAGATGGTTCAAAGATCAAACAAATATATTGCTATTTGTCACATTGTTGAACCCGTTCAACCTTCATGTGCAGTGCTTGATTTATCATCCAGCTTCTTAAGTTTCACTCATTCTCACATTAAAAAATACTGTGAATTGATCAACAAATATAGTTGAAATGTTTTGTACATCTCTTTCAAATGACGTTGCTGCCTAGAGATTGCCGCGTGCATCAGTATTTTGGGAGTTGAGTTTTTGTAACCTGGAAAAATGACACACCTGGGGAACTCGCGAAAACTAATACAACTATGGGGATTCTAACCAAACTAAACTCAGGATCTTTGAAGAGAAAAGGCGCGAGGAGACTGAATTAATAGGGACAAGGGAAACAATTCTAGATTTCGAACAAAAAAAGACAAAAGGAATTTATTTACAAGAACTTCAAATCAAAATCAAAACAAAAGATGAAGACCAAAAACTTAAACCTAAAACCAAAGACTCAAACCAACACAGGGTGTATATTAGTAGACCTTAAAGACACTTCTGGCAGAAAATCTGTAACACAAGATAAGAGAGTAAAGAACATAATAAGAAACAGTAAACAATGCAAACAACTCAAGCTACACTAGGTCTAAAGTAATATAAACAAGGCCATGTGGAACTACTATACAGTCTTGCCAAGAACACTAAAATTTCTCGTGAATACCTAATGAGCAAGATAAACAGTGGTCCCTGTCTTCTGAATGCCAGGTGGGACTAATCACCAAGGGGGTAATTCACATTCCTGAACAGTAAACTTGAACAGGTCCAAAGCAGATAAGAATAACTAAATGGAACAGGTGGCTAAATACAAAATAAAGGAAAAGCAAATCTACAGTAAACAAACAGCTTGGACAAGTCTAACTAATGAATAAACATGGCAAACTAATCAGTAAGAAGTCTGTGGGAAAACCACTCCTCTTGGCTTTATACATGTACAATAAAACAATAAAGGTAATGAAGAAAACACCATCCAAAATACTGAAATCAGATGTCAAAAGAAAAAGGCAATGCAATGCATCTATCCAAGTCATTCCTCGGAAATTAAGTCAATGAAATAAATCAAACTTCTGACAACACAGTTTTCCTCGAAAATAACAGAACTCTAACATGTCTAATGATCCTGATCAATCAAAATCAAACAATACAAGCTAACTTTCTTCAAGTAATTTCTAAATAAACCCAATCTCAAAACTTCAAGTGATAATTCCTACAACTTACAAGGCTGTTCAGGAATTCTATAAAACTTGATTGTCAAAACTCTGAACAATACCAAAACAGATCAAAACTTCTAAAAAAAACTTAATAATACACTTAATGAGAAAATACAAAGAACATATATCAGAACTCACCAATAACTCGAGCAGATAAACTCTCACACAGGGCAAAGCGCACCCAAGAAAATCAAGGGGGAAAGAGAGGTAATAAAATGCACGGTCCTCTCTCTACTGCCGCTGGTCTGATACTGATCATGAGGGTCTGTGGTCTTACAGGGTGAGCAGGGCACATGGTCTTGAGACAGGGGGAACCAATGGCATGGGAACAATTTACATACAATGTGAACTGTTACTGGGAAAAGCTAATCAGGGGTACACACTTCTATGAAAGTGTAGGGGACATCTAATAAAAGGGTGATTTATTCAGGGGACCTACTCCTATCCTAAAACACTACAAAAAAATACAGTAAAAACTACAAGTAAAACTTGGCCCTGCCACACTCACGCCATCTTTAAAATATTGCTGTCCCCAGCAATGGCAATAAAAATCAACTTAATTCAATTAAACATGATTAAAACAAACAAACAAAATGCTAAAATACACAATACACTTCAATACATTATTGAGGACATTTAAGTCAACCACAAATTTAAACTAGACAAAAATACAGTGATCAGGGTCCTCTGTCATCCCGGAACTCTGGAGGCGGTGAGATCTCACCGGACGCTTCCCTCCCGTTTCGCTGTACGCCCCTGCGATGACACCTCATGTATGCCATTGCTTCATTATGAAGACTAGGCCAATAATACCTGTCCTTGACAAGCTTCAGGATTCTTCCATAGCCGAACTTGTCCATGCTTCTGTGGAGACTATGAAACACTTCCTCTCTCTGCTGTCGGGGAAGCACTGCCAGGTATCTACATGTAGCCTTCCCGCCGCCCTTCTTGTACATCAGAAGTCCTCCCTTCACCTCTAGTCGACGCCATACTCCTAGCAACTTCTGCACCACTCTGGTTTCTTGGGACATTTGCCTCCTTGTCATCAGGGGGCTTGCCGTCTTGAGCTCAACAACCCGCCTGATTGCGGGATCTTTCAGCTGAGCTTCCCTGAGGCTTATCCTTTCGGAACTCATACCTCCCTGAGAGCTGGCCTGTGTCGCCTCATCAGGGGTGCTTGCGTGTGTTTCTGGCGCTGGCTGGGGGATGGGCTTAGGGACTTCGTGCACTGGCTGCGGGTTGGGGGTTTTCGGTACTGGCCGATGTGGGATGGGGACTTCTGGAACTGGCTGATTTGGGGGACGCTGATTCACCTTAACATCTGACAGGGCGCACTCCAGACTATGTATGTAGCATCTCTGCCTCATCTGTTCGCCCATCACCTGCCGCATCATCTCCTTGAGTGCGTTTATCTGCCGAAATTGCTGCAGAATAACCTCTTGCATACTGGACTGGTGCTGCAGGAGTCTCAGCATCTCAGACTGTGGCTGCACATCAGGGACTTCAAGGTTGCAGGTTTCAGCAGGTACTGGGTCGAAACCACAGAGCTGGAGTGGAGTCCTGACATCCACCATCATGTACTTGTCCGATCCACCAATATAACAACACTGTGTTGGTTTATAGACTCTATTACTTGACTTATCTAAACTGACCACCAAAGACAGAAAAAAACCTTTGAAAAAATGCCTGTCGTCCCTATCAAAACAATTCCTGGCTAAATTTTACTAAAAAAAATATATTCCCTACCCGGATTTTCCACCAAAAATAGTAAAAAAAATGTAACCTGGAAAAATGACACACCTGGGGAACTCGCGAAAACTAATACAACTATGGGGATTCTAACCAAACTAAACTCAGGATCTTTGAAGAGAAAAGGCGCGAGGAGACTGAATTAATAGGGACAAGGGAAACAATTCTAGATTTCGAACAAAAAAAGACAAAAGGAATTTATTTACAAGAACTTCAAATCAAAATCAAAACAAAAGATGAAGACCAAAAACTTAAACCTAAAACCAAAGACTCAAACCAACACAGGGTGTATATTAGTAGACCTTAAAGACACTTCTGGCAGAAAATCTGTAACACAAGATAAGAGAGTAAAGAACATAATAAGAAACAGTAAACAATGCAAACAACTCAAGCTACACTAGGTCTAAAGTAATATAAACAAGGCCATGTGGAACTACTATACAGTCTTGCCAAGAACACTAAAATTTCTCGTGAATACCTAATGAGCAAGATAAACAGTGGTCCCTGTCTTCTGAATGCCAGGTGGGACTAATCACCAAGGGGGTAATTCACATTCCTGAACAGTAAACTTGAACAGGTCCAAAGCAGATAAGAATAACTAAATGGAACAGGTGGCTAAATACAAAATAAAGGAAAAGCAAATCTACAGTAAACAAACAGCTTGGACAAGTCTAACTAATGAATAAACATGGCAAACTAATCAGTAAGAAGTCTGTGGGAAAACCACTCCTCTTGGCTTTATACATGTACAATAAAACAATAAAGGTAATGAAGAAAACACCATCCAAAATACTGAAATCAGATGTCAAAAGAAAAAGGCAATGCAATGCATCTATCCAAGTCATTCCTCGGAAATTAAGTCAATGAAATAAATCAAACTTCTGACAACACAGTTTTCCTCGAAAATAACAGAACTCTAACATGTCTAATGATCCTGATCAATCAAAATCAAACAATACAAGCTAACTTTCTTCAAGTAATTTCTAAATAAACCCAATCTCAAAACTTCAAGTGATAATTCCTACAACTTACAAGGCTGTTCAGGAATTCTATAAAACTTGATTGTCAAAACTCTGAACAATACCAAAACAGATCAAAACTTCTAAAAAAAACTTAATAATACACTTAATGAGAAAATACAAAGAACATATATCAGAACTCACCAATAACTCGAGCAGATAAACTCTCACACAGGGCAAAGCGCACCCAAGAAAATCAAGGGGGAAAGAGAGGTAATAAAATGCACGGTCCTCTCTCTACTGCCGCTGGTCTGCTACTGATCATGAGGGTCTGTGGTCTTACAGGGTGAGCAGGGCACATGGTCTTGAGACAGGGGGAACCAATGGCATGGGAACAATTTACATACAATGTGAACTGTTACTGGGAAAAGCTAATCAGGGGTACACACTTCTATGAAAGTGTAGGGGACATCTAATAAAAGGGTGATTTATTCAGGGGACCTACTCCTATCCTAAAACACTACAAAAAAATACAGTAAAAACTACAAGTAAAACTTGGCCCTGCCACACTCACGCCATCTTTAAAATATTGCTGTCCCCAGCAATGGCAATAAAAATCAACTTAATTCAATTAAACATGATTAAAACAAACAAACAAAATGCTAAAATACACAATACACTTCAATACATTATTGAGGACATTTAAGTCAACCACAAATTTAAACTAGACAAAAATACAGTGATCAGGGTCCTCTGTCATCCCGGAACTCTGGAGGCGGTGAGATCTCACCGGACGCTTCCCTCCCGTTTCGCTGTACGCCCCTGCGATGACACCTCATGTATGCCATTGCTTCATTATGAAGACTAGGCCAATAATACCTGTCCTTGACAAGCTTCAGGATTCTTCCATAGCCGAACTTGTCCATGCTTCTGTGGAGACTATGAAACACTTCCTCTCTCTGCTGTCGGGGAAGCACTGCCAGGTATCTACATGTAGCCTTCCCGCCGCCCTTCTTGTACATCAGAAGTCCTCCCTTCACCTCTAGTCGACGCCATACTCCTAGCAACTTCTGCACCACTCTGGTTTCTTGGGACATTTGCCTCCTTGTCATCAGGGGGCTTGCCGTCTTGAGCTCAACAACCCGCCTGATTGCGGGATCTTTCAGCTGAGCTTCCCTGAGGCTTATCCTTTCGGAACTCATACCTCCCTGAGAGCTGGCCTGTGTCGCCTCATCAGGGGTGCTTGCGTGTGTTTCTGGCGCTGGCTGGGGGATGGGCTTAGGGACTTCGTGCACTGGCTGCGGGTTGGGGGTTTTCGGTACTGGCCGATGTGGGATGGGGACTTCTGGAACTGGCTGATTTGGGGGACGCTGATTCACCTTAACATCTGACAGGGCGCACTCCAGACTATGTATGTAGCATCTCTGCCTCATCTGTTCGCCCATCACCTGCCGCATCATCTCCTTGAGTGCGTTTATCTGCCGAAATTGCTGCAGAATAACCTCTTGCATACTGGACTGGTGCTGCAGGAGTCTCAGCATCTCAGACTGTGGCTGCACATCAGGGACTTCAAGGTTGCAGGTTTCAGCAGGTACTGGGTCGAAACCACAGAGCTGGAGTGGAGTCCTGACATCCACCATCATGTACTTGTCCGATCCACCAATATAACAACACTGTGTTGGTTTATAGACTCTATTACTTGACTTATCTAAACTGACCACCAAAGACAGAAAAAAACCTTTGAAAAAATGCCTGTCGTCCCTATCAAAACAATTCCTGGCTAAATTTTACTAAAAAAAATATATTCCCTACCCGGATTTTCCACCAAAAATAGTAAAAAAAATGTAACCTGGAAAAATGACACACCTGGGGAACTCGCGAAAACTAATACAACTATGGGGATTCTAACCAAACTAAACTCAGGATCTTTGAAGAGAAAAGGCGCGAGGAGACTGAATTAATAGGGACAAGGGAAACAATTCTAGATTTCGAACAAAAAAAGACAAAAGGAATTTATTTACAAGAACTTCAAATCAAAATCAAAACAAAAGATGAAGACCAAAAACTTAAACCTAAAACCAAAGACTCAAACCAACACAGGGTGTATATTAGTAGACCTTAAAGACACTTCTGGCAGAAAATCTGTAACACAAGATAAGAGAGTAAAGAACATAATAAAAAACAGTAAACAATGCAAACAACTCAAGCTACACTAGGTCTAAAGTAATATAAACAAGGCCATGTGGAACTACTATACAGTCTTGCCAAGAACACTAAAATTTCTCGTGAATACCTAATGAGCAAGATAAACAGTGGTCCCTGTCTTCTGAATGCCAGGTGGGACTAATCACCAAGGGGGTAATTCACATTCCTGAACAGTAAACTTGAACAGGTCCAAAGCAGATAAGAATAACTAAATGGAACAGGTGGCTAAATACAAAATAAAGGAAAAGCAAATCTACAGTAAACGAACAGCTTGGACAAGTCTAACTAATGAATAAACATGGCAAACTAATCAGTAAGAAGTCTGTGGGAAAACCACTCCTCTTGGCTTTATACATGTACAATAAAACAATAAAGGTAATGAAGAAAACACCATCCAAAATACTGAAATCAGATGTCAAAAGAAAAAGGCAATGCAATGCATCTATCCAAGTCATTCCTCGGAAATTAAGTCAATGAAATAAATCAAACTTCTGACAACACAGTTTTCCTCGAAAATAACAGAACTCTAACATGTCTAATGATCCTGATCAATCAAAATCAAACAATACAAGCTAACTTTCTTCAAGTAATTTCTAAATAAACCCAATCTCAAAACTTCAAGTGATAATTCCTACAACTTACAAGGCTGTTCAGAAATTCTATAAAACTTGATTGTCAAAACTCTGAACAATACCAAAACAGATCAAAACTTCTAAAAAAAACTTAATAATACACTTAATGAGAAAATACAAAAAACATATATCAGAACTCACCAATAACTCGAGCAGATAAACTCTCACACAGGGCAAAGCGCACCCAAGAAAATCAAGGGGGAAAGAGAGGTAATAAAATGCACGGTCCTCTCTCTACTGCCGCTGGTCTGCTACTGATCATGAGGGTCTGTGGTCTTACAGGGTGAGCAGGGCACATGGTCTTGAGACAGGGGGAACCAATGGCATGGGAACAATTTACATACAATGTGAACTGTTACTGGGAAAAGCTAATCAGGGGTACACACTTCTATGAAAGTGTAGGGGACATCTAATAAAAGGGTGATTTATTCAGGGGACCTACTCCTATCCTAAAACACTACAAAAAAATACAGTAAAAACTACAAGTAAAACTTGGCCCTGCCACACTTTCATGATGTGCATCGGCTGTGCCATATTTCAAAGAAAGCTTGAGCAACATGCGTACGTGTTTAGAACATTTTGCACACTGCGCACACACAAACGTGTGTTCCCCGTCGATCATTGACGTCCTATTAGAAGACTCCATCAGGTTTTGTACACGACCCAATCGCAGACGTACAATACAATACAATAAAACTTTAGTATCCCATTGCGGGAAATTCCATGCTGGGAATCCTGGTCGATATTGTTCTTTTTTGTTCTTTGGTATTTTTCGTTCACGGTTTGAAAAGATGAACATGTACACACGCACCTGATGGCGTTGAATACACAGTTGTAATTTTTCCTACAAAGAAGGCAGGTCTATGAGAGGGGTGTATTGAATTTAGTTTCAGTAAGGGATGGTCACTAAAAGAGATCCTGTAACAAACGTCAACAATCAACACTGTGTGCAAACAAGGTAGGCAATGAGAGTTCATCATATTACAAAAATGTTTGTACCATGTAAACAGCATAATTGTGTTTCACTAATAGCAGGGCTAGGGAGGACCACACATGGCCTCAAGCTGTATAAATGCTAACTCAAATCTAATCTTTAGTGCACACTGCAATATGGCAGAAATGCAACCCCAGCCTACATCCAGAGCACTCTGAATGAGAACAATCAGAACATCAGGGCCCATTCGAGGCGCTGCTATTAGTACACAAAATTTGCTTAGCACAAAAAAGTCTGGCTTATAAAAGCAGGTTGTCAGCCAAAACTCCATGTGATTTTCTTGCTAAGCAAACAACAGCTAAGTACAATACAAGGAAATGAATTTGTTGAATTTACTGCCATGAATGTGTACAACACATTCCTTGCTTGCCTCACTGAATCTGAACAAACACAGGGTCAGGCTAGGGGAATTTGTGCTTGGTTGTATGTTGCTATGGTTACAACCAAGCTTCAGTTGGTACACATGTCTGTGTTGATTGGCCCCGGCCATAGCAACCCAATCGCTGGTGTGAACAATACTGAACCCAACGATACCGAACCCAACGCGGGGCTATATTGAGATTTAATTGGTGTGCTTGTGAGATATTGGACAATTGTAGGTCAATGAAATTCCAAGGTTATTATTTACAGATACGGCTGCATTCGTGCTTCGAACTACACGTACAATGTAGCTATACAGCATTCTGTTAAGGTTGCTTTAGAAGACAATCATGCACAATCTCTCAAACTAAATGTAATGTCCCATTCTTGTTGCAAACATTGGGACAAAATCCAAAGTGCAAAGTGCATAAAATTCCAAGCTTGATCTCTGAGTGCAGAATTTGTTCACACCTCCACTGTCAGGATATATTTTATTTGTTTTCCTGGTACAGTTAAAAATCTCAATTCACAGATTTTTCTGCATTCATTTTTTTTTCCATGGAAACAAATTGTCCCTGTTCCACATCCGTCCCTGAGCCATGTGATACCAGAAAATGATACAAATTGGTCGTAAATTGAACTGAAACACACAAAAACAAAAGAAATTGTTCTTTTTCATTTTGAAGTTTTTATATTTTCTGACTCTGTGTTTTCCATTATTTTGCTTTCAAAATTAACAACATGCTTTTATGTAAATAAATATCCTAAAAACTTACACTTACTGAATTATTGGTCTATTTTTAGTTGGTTAATGATAAATTTGATTCAGAAATTATGCCATTTTAGTGGAAAAAACATTATTTTATTGTAAATGAAATGTTTTTGGTGGTGTTGATTGCGGAAAAAAAGAATACAAAAATAGAAGATTATAAATATATTTTTACAGGGTGTCTAGAATAAGTTTTTGAGTACTGCAGTTGTTGTTAACTCCCTAAAAAAAAAAGGCGTAGCTCCTCCCATTTGAACCCCTTCTGTGCAAAATAAAGTTAGCGAGCTCATAAGTCTGCTAAAATTGTGAAGTGTAGATGTGTATATTTCCAAATGCCTGCAAAGTACATCTGACACATGTCACAGCACTCTAAAGTACTCATTATGATGAATCTACTTCATTATAATGAATGCACTTTCATACAATCAGAAATAGTGTAATTGCACTTGGACTAGCACATTCATCAGAGAAATGTTCACCAGCGCAGTTGCAAAAAGCTGTTAAACTGATGAGATTTTGTCTCAGGAACTTTTTTTAGAGGTGTAAAAAAAATTCTCCTGAGTTAAAATGTGCGATGCAAATTAGTCAATTCTACAATGTGCATCAGTGCACTTCTAGTACTTATGATGCAGTCAATGCACTTGTGAATATTTCACCTCTAACGTAAAGGACCAGTATCTGCAGAAACTGCAAACCGAGTGTGGAAATAAGAATATAAAATGCCTATACAGTTCAGAATTAAGAAGAATAAATTATTTCGAAAGTACTTGAAAAATATTCATGACCCCCGCACAGACTTTGTACACAACCAACATGCATTTTTCTTTTTACAAAATGAAATTTCATTCTTGCTATTCCATTTATCAATCCTGTTACCATCTGCCAGCCCCCCCCCCCCCCCCCCCCGGGCCCCACCCCTTTTAAATGGTCAGTAGAAAATCTTTGGTCCTCATTGCAATTTCTATCATGGTTTGTCGTGTTTGTGATAATGATGTACCATTTGATAAGTCCTAGCTCTATGGTATTCTCAACACATGTATCATCAAACCCTTTAAATCTATGTGATCCTACCGGTAATTCTAAGCACTCACGGTTTTTTTAAAATTTTCGTTTGAAAACGCGCGTGCATTGCAAGCGTTACCTCCGCAGATTATGGAGGATCGAGGATACGTCTTTCTACTCAGTGTCCATTTGTCAAGCAGTCCCTATCCAAATACATACAAATCCACACACATGTGCATGCACATACATTTACGTTGCTGTGTTGGTGCATCAATGCATATGGTCGATGTGCACTACTTCTAGAATTAGACTAAAGTATTAGAAGGCTTCTCTCCGTGGAAGGATTCTCTCCACTGACGGAGAGAAGCCTTCTAATTTTAGAAGTAGAAATAGTAGTAGAAGTAGGCCTAGATGTGCACTATCACACGATCCGAAGAAATGCACTTGTGCGATTGGTCGATCGGCTAGGCTGTAGAAACATCTGACTTTACTTTCCTTTTTTCAAAACAATCCGATCCTCCAAGGCCGTGAATTAGGAAGAAAAGGTGATCGACTGATGGCGGCGCGATCGACCAAACGCGCAGATCCACAGATCGCGCCCAACAGCTGTACTTTTTTGCGAACTAGATCCTGTGTCGTGCCAAAAACCGTCCGGTGCCAAATAGTGTCCGCTAATTAGCATAATGCGATCTGATTGGTCATGCGTCTATGACGTCACATTGTTTACGGACGCTTGCCAAATAGTGTCCGCGCTTAGCGTGCATCCTATTGCGTGCCTTGTCGAGCTGTCAATACATCGTATAGAAAAGATCTCTTTTCACCTGAATTTGCTTTTTACAATCTGTTTTAACGTTTTCCTTGTTATCTGTGATAACTATTTGACTTGGTTTCCCTAATAGTTTAAACATTATATTTGTGCAAAATGTTTGTGTTTTATTTTCGCGTCAGTTCACCTGTTTGGCATGCAGTACGTACGTAGGCCTAACGCCGTGTGAAGTGTGTGTAGTACATGTACGTACTGTGTTGTGTGTAGCATTATAACCAACGTTACATTTTACGGTTTCTCCCACCTAATACTGTCCGATTTTTCCTGCCAAATATTGTCCGATTTTTCCTGCCAAACTGTCCGATTCCTCCTGCCAAATATTGTCCGATTCCCCCCTGCCAAATACTGTCCAATTTTTCCTGCCAAATACTGTCCGATTTGTCCTGCTAAACAGTGTCCGATTCCCCCTGCCAAATAGTGTCCGATTACCCTGCGAAAAAAATGTCCGATTTCTCGATCCTGCTAAATACTGTTCGATTTGTCCTGCTAAATTTCCCCCTGCCAAATAGTGTCCGATTTCCCTGCGAAAAAAATGTCCGATTTCTCCTGCTAAATACTGTCCGATTCCCCCTGCCAAATATTGTCTGATTCCCCCGCCACTGAATATTGTCCGATTTTTCCTGCCAACAAATACTGTCCGATTCCCCGCCCTGCCAAATATTGTCCGATTCCCCCTTGCAAAATACTGTCAGATTTTTCCAGCTTAATACTGTCCGGCAGGACGGACGTACGTGCGCCCTTGTTCTCGCTCGATCGACGGCGCTCGGACACTATTTGGCACCGGACACTATTTGGCGTGTATTACATGCCAAATAGTGTCTGGCGCCTACTGCGCATGCTCAGCGGACACTATTTGGCACCGGACGGTTTTTGGCACGACACCTGCACTGCACTGCATGCAGTGTCAAAGTGAAAACGACCCTAGCTAGGTCACGTCAGTTGTTAATGCGAATGGTGAAACACAGCCTCAGGCAAAACGAAAGGCATTACACAAAAAAAGTAGTTGTGTAATAATTATAAATGTATATAAGTTAGAGAATAAACTCACCCCTCGCTAGCTCCTGTCTCAGCAGAATTTGAGCTACAAACAGGTACTATGCACCGTTGAGGTGAAGTTTCAGATGAAAACAGCCGAGGGCGACGAAGCTAGCTGAGTGAATGAAAGATCTTGTATTTTACAATGTACATCGCTTTTTCGATCAACAGAGGGCGCTATTCTATTATTTACAAAAACGGTGGAGAAGCACAACAACGTTAAAGATGAATATTCTTCCAAAGAAAAGGTTTGTTTTCGTGCCCTTATACAAAATATTTTGCCTTAAAACAAGTAGGAATAGATGTTTCAAATAACCTTGCAGCTTTCTAGAGAAATAAATTCAATTTAATGGATCAATTTCGGTGTTTTATTGTGCCTTTATATTTATCTTGAAACTGCCCAATTTCCGGACAGCATAATGAGAGGACTTGCAGGTGCGGTCAACCCTAGCCCAGGTGGACTCCCTTTCTTCCCTACGTTGCGGAGGGAATCTAGGGTATGAAGTGCTCAAAACAGGGCAAAAAAAATTATAATCCATATTTTCAATATTTTTACCTTGTTGGAGAAGCCAATTTTCACGTCTTGTGTCCTGATGATCTTGGTAGGAAAATTGGGCCAGATTTTCGGCTGGCTGGATTTTCAGCTAGACACTATTTTCATGGCCATGCACCACCGTGGAGAGTACCACTACGGTGGCCCTTCACAGTCATTGCAAATGAACCATAGGAGTAGGAGAAAACGAATTACTTCCCTTAAACTTTTAATCATGATTAAAGGGAATATACATCATTTGCTTTTACTTAGCTGGAGTTACCCAGCCCTGAGTTTTATCATTGGGTTGTCATCTAGGGCTGGAGCGCATTTTTTTCAAAACTTGTAGTATTTGCAAAAAAAATTTGGAAAATGTTCAATTTTGTCCCCGTTACACACTAATTGCAACTGCAACTCACCCCAAACTTGCCTGGAATAACCATTACACAGGTCCTTGAAGTAAAAAACGATCCACGATGAAGATTCAGCCTACAATTGCAGTGAAAACAGGAGGAATAACCGCTAACTTGACAACCTTGCTGGATTGGCCAGGACCGCTATTGGTTTGTGCACAAAAAAATTGTGTACAATGAATGGCGGTCGATTAACAGGCACAGAGAGCGATCGCTGTCAACTACTCGGTTTTGCCGGCTGCGCTGGCTGTTGGCGCGTGACGTCACGCGGAAGCGTAACACCCGATGACTGTTTCATGCACTATTGGTTGCGGTTCCAGTACCAAAGCTGTGATGCGAGTGGTAAACCTTATACTAGTGCATGAAACAGTCATCGGGTGTTACGCTTCCGCGTGACGTCACGCGCCAACAGCCAGCGCAGCCGGCAAAAACGAGTAGTTGACAGCGATCGCTCTCTGTGCCTGTTAATCGACCGCCATTCATTGTACACAATTTTTTTTGTGCACAAACCAATAGCGGTCCTGGCCAATCCAGCAAGGTTGTCAAGTTAGCTGTTATTCCTCCTGTTTTCACTGCAATTGTAGGCTGAATCTTCATCGTGGATCGTTTTTTACTTCAAGGACCTGTGTAATGGTTATTCCAGGCAAGTTTGGGGTGAGTTGCAGTTGCAATTAGTGTGTAACGGGGACAAAATTGAACATTTTCCAAATTTTTTTTGCAAATACTACAAGTTTTGAGAAAAATGCGCTCCAGCCCTAGATGACAACCCAATGATAAAACTCAGGGCTGGGTAACTCCAGCTAGCTTTTACTGTAATTTTCAGAAATGGATGGAATTGGGGGGTTGGAAATATATAGCAAATATAGTTACACTGACTTTTTTGAGGTTTTGGGTTGGAAAATGCTATAAAACCAAGAAAAACAATCATTTTCCTGTAGTCTGGTTCCCTGACTCCATATAAGAAGAAACAGAGCAGTTTACATACATTGGGGAATTGTAAGGTCAGGGAACCAGTCTAGCTGGCTCGTACCCGTTCATAGGTTTGTAATCGATTGCAAACAAGTGCGATGGTCAATTGGGGCCAGTATTTGAAAAAAAGCCAGTTTTTTCCAACGCTGATCGGCCGATCCAGCAAGGTATTTCAAAATGATTTGGTAGTTTTATTTTTTGATGTTTGCAAATGTTGTATTTTCCCTTTAAAATATCTTGAATAACTTTGACTGTGTTTTTTTTTCATTTCTGAAGTTAATCGTTAATGAAAATTGTTTAATTGTTTTTTTTAATGTGGATTTTTATTAGTTTTAACATTTATTGCTTATTTGCTGGCGAGGGTGCTATATCTAATAGACATGTACGAGCCGTGCAATGAATACACACCGCGGCCAAATCCGCGTTCACACCTGACTCCTCGTATAGCGGTGCGGTACGGCGGCCATTGGTCCGGGGGAAAATCCAACCAGCGCTAGCAGGTGGGGTCTGCTACGAGCTGGCCGGCCGTTGGGTCCCATCTACCGTGGTCAGTAAGGCAGCCATGGCCCAGCACGGCGATTGAGTGATACAGAGACCCGTATATTCAAATGATTTTGTTACATCATAAATGTCATAAAATTCCAGATCTAAATCTATACATTGGTAAGAGGACTTCCAAAGTTGATTTTATAAGTGTCCTTTATAAATCGCTAATGAAACAGTCTCAGCCCAAGTAATTTCATATGGAGGTTAGATTTAGGCAAATATGCCACTTTTTCACCAGAAAGGACGGATATCCGTCTTTGGAATGGGTTTGTTCCATCATCGATGACAGAAATTCTAATCTGTTTTGAAATAATCTTACAAAGTGAAGATCGAAAAAGAAGTTATAAGCGCCCCGAGAAAATTGGTGCATTGGCAAGCCCCGCCCAATTAATTAAATAATAAGACAGAAATCCATCTTTTTGCCATTCATTCAATTCTAACCATTGAACGGAAACCCGTATTTTCAAACGATTTTGTTCCATTGTGAATTCGAAATTATCCAGATCAAAATCGATACATTGGCAAAGGGACTTCCAAAGTTTATTTCATAAGCACCTTGAATAAATCAGTATTGAAACAGTCTCAGCCCAATTAATTTCATATGGAGGGTAAAAATTAGGCAAAATTACCCATTTTTCATTGGAAAGTACAGATATCCGGGTTTGGAATGATTTCGTTCCATCGTTAATGACAGAAATTTCAGTCTGTATTGAAATAATCTTACAAAGTGAATATCGATAAAGAAGAAATACAGAAGTTCGTGTTTGGAATGAATTTGTTCCATGGTTAATGACCAAATTTCCAATTTTGTATTAAATCATCTTGCGAACAGGGGAATAAAAAAAAGATTGTTTAAGCGCCCCGAGAAAATCGGTGCATTTGCAAGCCGGGCCCAATTAATTTAATAATAAGACGGAGATACGGCTTTTTGCCATTCATGCAACATGCTTGGCGATGGAGTAAAATGGAAACCTGCATTTTCAAACGGTTTTGTTCCATCCTGAATGTCAAAAAGTTCCAGATCTAAATCTAAACATGGGTAAAAGGACATCCAAAGTTTATTCTTTAAGCGCCCTGAATATTTTGGTACTAAAACACTCTCAGCCCAATTAATTTCATATCGAGGTTAAAACTAAGGCTTAGGCCAAAAAAAAAGTCTCCGGTTTCTGGTATGCGCGCGCGTCGCTGTAGCCATGCGCGTCGGCAAAATGAAAAGGTTTTTTTTTCAATGAAAGATGATGTCTCAAAACCGCCAAACTCACTGGTTTGACTGGAATTCTGCTACTGCGCAATTTTAACGTGTTTTTAGATGGGGTTATGATCGAGAATAAGCTTTATGTGGCCTCTCTGGACTCCCATATATTTGCACTAAGTTTAGTCGGGCACCATTTGCAGTCATCAGCCGACATTTGAAGCAAAAAAGTCAGGTAAAAAAAAAAAAAGCCGCGTCGCCGCACCACTTTTTGGACAAGCTCCATACCAGAAACCGGAGACTTATTTTTTTTGGCCTAAACAACAATTTTTTTTTCATCAGAAATACGGAATTCCTTGTTAGAAATGATTTTTTTTCCATCGTTAATGACAGAACTTTATGTCTTTTTTTTTTAACAATCCTACAGAGGGATGATCGAAAAAGATTTTATAAGCGCCACCAGAAAATCGGTGTATTGAAAAGCCCAGCCCAATTAATTTAATAATAAGACGAAGATCCGGCTTTTTGCCATTTATTACGCAACACGCACGGCGATGGAGTAAAACGGAAACCCGTATTTTCAAACGATTTTTTGTTCCATCGTGAATGTCCAAATTTCCAGATCAAAATCGATGCATTGGTAAAGTTGATTTTATAAGCGCCCCGAATAAATCATTATTGAAACAGTCTCAGCCCAATTAATTTCACATGGAGGTTAGAAATTAGCCCAAAATACCCATTTTTCATCGGAAAGTATGGATATTCAGCTTTCAAATGAATTTGTTCCATCGTTAATGACAGAAGTTTAATTCCTTTTTAACCCTAAAAGGGCTGGGCTATTTTGATCATCTCTCAGCCGGGTGCCCCCCCCCCCCAAGAATCGCGGCCATCGAATTACGAAATATTTTGAAACTCGGTACATTCATAGAACAACTTATCCTGAACATACCCAAGAAATTTCAAGACTATTGGTCATCGGGTTTTGGAATTATGGCTAATTGATTATTCATATGCATGAATGGTTATTCTGCTCTGTGTAGTTTTGACATCAAAATATGCGCAAGGCTCGAGGCTAAGAGGTCAGAACAACTCGGGTCGCGAAATTGTTTTTAAAGCTATTGCGGAAAAAGTTGAAGGGGGGGGGGGGGGCGGATTCCGTCCGGCCCCTTTAGGGTAAAACTTAAACAATCCTACAAAGGGATGATCGAAACGATTTTATTAGCGACCCGAAAAAAATCGGTTAATTGAAAAGCCCAGCCCAATTAATTTAATAATATGACGGAGCTCCGGGGTTTTTTTGCCATTCCAGAGTAAAAATGGAAACCCGTATTTCCCGGCGGTTTTGTTGAATCGAGAATGTCAAAAAGTTCCAGATCTAAATCGATACATGGGTAGAAGGACATCCAAAGTATATTCTATAAGCGCCCTGAATGTTTCGGTATAAAAACAGTCTCATTCCAATTAATTTCATATAATGTAGGTTAAAATTTAGCCGAAAATACCTATTTTTCATCGGAAAGTACGGCCATTCGGCTTTGGAATAATTGTATTAAATTGTTCCATCGTTATTGAAAGAAATTTCAATCTTTTTAAAACTAATCTTAAGGGAAGATTGGAAAAAAAAAGTTAAAAGCGCCTGATGAGAAAATCGGTGCGTTGCATTGGCAAGCTCAGCCTGATTAATTAATAATAAGACGGAGATCCGACTTTTTGCCATCCATGCATTCGTGCAACATTTTCAAACGCTTTTCGTCCATCGTTTAAAGTTTGGCAAAAATATAGTTGGGCTGAGATTGTTTCAATACCGATTTACGAGGGGCGCTTATAAATTAAACTTTGGATGCCCCTTTTACGCATCTAGATATTTAAATCTGGACATTTTTATGCCCCGCGGCGAAGCCGAAGGGGCATACTGTTTCCGCCTTGTCCTTCCATGGGTGGGTGGGTGTGTGGGTGTGTGGGTGTGGGTGAGCTTGTCTTACATACGCAGTGTGGACTTCCGAACAAAAGACGTCCACATAATGTAGGTAGCACCGACGTTGTGTGGACTTGCCCACGTCCACACAGTGTTTCCCCATTTCTGGAAAACAGGTTTAGAGGCATTTTTGGGTTAGGTTTATCTGTAGCAGACTGAAGAGAAACACTAAAGGGAATCATAGAAAAAAAATTGGGTTGAAAGAGTTTTCACAGTTTGAGAAAAATGAGTTTTTTCACTGGTTTTTCTTAACTACACGAAAGCAATGGAAAGTCCACACTAGTCATGTGAAACAAGTATGTGTGTGTGGGTGGGTGTGTGGGTGTGTGTGTCCGGATAAATCGTGTCAGCGCGATAACTTGAGAAATACTTAACATATGAACTTCAAATTTGGTTTGTGGATTGTTCTTGGTAATCCTAAGAAGCCTATTGCATTTGGGGCCAAAAGGTCAAGGGTCAAGTTCACAGTGGCTAAAACAATAGAAATCTTGTCAGCGCGATAACTTGAGAAATACTTAACATATGAACTTCAAATTTGGTTTGTGGATTGTTCTTGGCAATCCTAAGAAGCCTATTGCATTTGGGGCCAAAAGGTCAAGGGTCAAGTTCACAGTGGCTAAAACAATAGAAATCTTGTCAGCGCGATAACTTGAGAAATACTTTACATGTGAACTTCAAATTTGGTTTGTGGATTGTCCTTGGCAATCCTAAGAAGCCTTTTGCTTTTGGGGCCAAAAGGTCAAGGGTCAAGGTCACAGTGACTAAAACAAAAGAAATTTTGTCAGCGCGATAACTTGAGAAATACTTTACATATGAACTTCAAATTTGGTTTGTGGATTGTTCTTGGCAATCCTAAGAAGCCTTTTGCATTTGGGGCCAAAAGGTCAAGGGTCAAGGTCACAGTAGCAAAAACAAAAGAAATTTTGTCAGCGTGATAACTTGAGATATACTTTACATATGAACTTCAAATTTGGTTTGTGGATTGTCCTTGGCAATCCTAAGAAGCCTATTGCATTTGGGGCCAAAAGGTCAAGGGGTCAAGGTCACAGTGGCTAAAACAAAAGAAATTTTGTCAGCGCGATAACTTGAGAAATACTTTACATGTGAACTTCAAATTTGGTTTGTGGATCGTTCTTGGTAATCCAAATAGGCCTATCGCATTGGGGGTCGAAAGGTTAAGGGTCAAGGTCACAGTGGCTAAAACAATAGAAATCTTGTATTTATTCTGAGATCATAGGGATTAGGGATTAATTCATATAAAACTTACAGAAGACACTAATGCTGTCAATGAACGTTTCATGTGACCAAGGTACATGTACAATGTAAGTTGATGTTAAAAGAGTGGTGTTATGTCATGGAAACAGTCACGGTTGCGGGGCATTTGTGTTTGTAAACACACCTGACTTGTTTAAATTTACGATCGAACAAAATCGTTTGAAAATACGGGTTTCCTTCCGTTTTAATCAATTGCAATGAATGGCAAAAAGCCGGATTTTCGTCTTATTATTAAATTAATCGGGCCGGGCTTGCCAATGCACTGATTTTCTCGGGGCGCTTATGATTCTTTTTTATTTCCCCCTTCGTAAGATGATTTTTTTTTTTTAAATGAAAATTTGGTCAATAACGATGGAACAAATTCATTCCAAACATGGACATCCATATTTCTGATGAAAAATTGTTGTTTTGTCTGAATTTTAGCCTCGATATGAAATTAGTTGGGCTGAGACTGTTTCAATACTAATATACTCGGGGCGCGTATGTAATAAACTTTGGAATGCCCTAATTAACCCCAGTGTCGATTTTGATATGCACATTTTTAAAATTTAGGATCGAACTTCTCACTTGGTGGTCGGTCGTGTTGAATGAATGGCAAAAAGCCAGATAATGGGCTGGGATTTATCAGGCCTCGGCCCACACCGATTGTTTAGGGGCGCTGCTAAAAATCTGTTTCGATATTCTCAGATTCTGCGTAAAATTATTTCCAAAAACATTGACATTTCTGTCGATAACGATGGAACAAAATGGAAGGCTTCAAAATCGTGATTGACGGGGCGAGGCAAATTATTATATTGGGCCTAATCACCATACGGTACAGCTGTCTGTGACTTGATAGGTGATAGCGCCCTCGCCGGCTATTATTAAGCCACCCCCCCCCCCCCCGTTATACCGATAATCAGGATGACCGTTTCAGCCGATTTTCGGCTAACTTTGACAGATTTTTTTGTTTTAAACGAGTTGACAGAAAATTTGACAGAATGGATTTTTATTGGCAGATTTCTGGCAGAATTCTACAAAAATGGTCAATTGACAGAAAACCATATCAAATTTGAAAAAATGGTACATTGATATTTAACAAAGCTTCAATCTTTTTCAAACAAACCCTTGCATAATGGGACAGGTTGTCTGGTCTAGGTGCATGATCGAGGTTCACCGGAAACCGGACTTCGTCGTGACGCAACCGCATTTTCCCTGAAATTGATGCAATTTCATAACATCTTTATGTGACTTTAGATTGTTCATAATGTAATTTACAACATCTGCATGTGATTTAAGTGTTTATAGTGCATTTCGAGTAATTCTGGGAAATTTGGCCGATTTTCGATAAATCCGACAGATTGTTGAATTGCCTTTTAGCAGAATTTGGCCATGACCTTACGGTCATCTTGATGCGATGCTTCGCGTACCGCGCGCGAACACTGTCTTGTACGTTTTTGTAGAATCAGTTTCTTATCTGTTATAGTTATAATAAATATACCGTGCGTGCATCAATGCTGCATGCAGAACTTTACATGTACGTTCGTGTTTGTTTCACTTGCTTACGATTTTGCCGTTGATTTTCGAAAAAATAGTCTGTTGGGTGTTGCTGGCTGTTGCTGGCAACTTGGCGGCAATAATGTCTACCGCGTGTGCTGCTTGTGTCGGCTGCCACACTACTTCGTTTGAGAAATCCGTGAGCGGTTGCGGTTACAAACGAAAATCAGTAAAATGTTTGACAGATCCGGGCACAATCGAGAAAGTGTTTGGTAGAGTTCTAACTCCTGAAGAATATAAAACACAATTCTTGTGCCAGGCATGTATTACGACACTCATCGCACAAACCAAAAAAAAGAAGAAAGGGGCGACTAAAAGACGGTACGTGGCTGCACCTGCAGTGAACTTGAAAACCAGCGACTCCTCATCACCCAAACCATGCAAACTGTCGAAGTGAGTGAAGGACGACTTCAAGGTAACGGCAAAAAAATTTATTGACCAATCAAAGTACGTCAAAGCGATCCGCTGCTTGATGCGTGCAAGTGAAAAGGCGCGTATAGCCTTCAAGAAAATGTGCGTCCAGCAAGTCAAAGAGGAGGTACGTTACCATAGAATTTAATTTATGAAGTAAAATCATTGTAGAACTTGAACTTAAGTGCATTCGTTTACGCAAGCGTTACTCCTAGAACTATGACATGAGGCTCTCACTGGAGAGCCTCGGTCATAGTTCTAGGAGTACGCAAGCGTACCTTTTCTAAACAGCTAATTTGATTATCAGTTAATAAAATTTATTTTTTTTAAAAAGAAAACCCTTATTGTATCTGGTGCTGATGGCATTAAACAGAAACATGTCTGAAACCGCCCTCTATAAAAAGCAAAAAAGAAGTCTTGTAAACGAATCTGAATTTACATAAACAAATAAATAGTGCTGCTTAATTTTAATTGATTGAACTGAAATGTAATCGAATGCTCAGGAAGCGAAAATGAAACGTATGTTCAGAGCGATTCTCAAATTCAGACGAAAATGAACGACCGATTTTCAGAAGTGAACAAACATTTTAGGAAATTTGCCGGGAACATCTATAGTTTAGTAGGCCTATTGTTTTGCAAGACCTAAACAATATTGAGCACAACTCTCGTAAATTGCCAACGAACTTTGTGGCAAATACTTCGTGGTTGACAGCCAATTAACATGTAATAATTGTCCTCTTTTTAAAGGGGAAAAAGGTCAGGAATGAAAAAGAAGGTGACCAGGGGGCCGAGGTTGCTGGAGTTTTGGACGGCGATCCTACGATACCGAAATTGGAGAGCTTTCGCTGGGCTGGCCTCATTGATGAAGCGCGGGCAAAGATGCCTTTACTCGTATCTGCAGTGGAAGCCTCACTCTCCCCCAAGCTAAAACAGTAAGAATCTTCTGTGTTAATACATGGTGCTGTTAAAAGATACTTTTATTTAACCCTAACCGCCCTGAATCCTTCGAAATCCTCTTTACCAAAGTGGAGGAATTTGGAGGATTGAGGTTACATGGCTAAAGTGCGTTACTGATTTTGTAGGATGCACTTTGTCAAGGTCTTGGGCCGGACCTTGTGTTGTTTTTGCTCAGCCGTGCATAAATATAGCCTAGGTCTGGATTATGCTTGAAATCCTCCCCACTGCTCCAGGATGTCACTGACCAAGCCTCAGCATATTGACAGTCACTGCCGCAGGATTTTGCAAGATTCAGGCAGTGATCACCTCTCAACGGACCATGTTCAAGAAATAATGGAGGAATTTGCAGGATTGAGGCTATATATGCTATTTTTCTTGTGGCCAATTGGAGGATTTTGCAGGATTGAGGCCAGTCCTAGGAAAAAAGCCTAGGGAGTATTAGTAAGGGTTAATCTTTAATTATTTTGTTTAAACTCTTACTGATATTGTACTTGATCTCTGGAAATGTTTTTCATGGTGTCAATACAGAAAACAACCAGATCGAAAGGACAGCGTTCGAGATAAACGGCTGGGGATAATTCTTGCCGTCATCTTCTACACGAGAGTCCCACGCAAGTACAACTTCGTTCAAGGCGCCATTGGTGTGGAACTATGGCGGCAAGGATGTTCCAAAAAGCTATTCCAGGCCCTGAACCATCTGGGAATTTCACTAGGACGTCAAACATCTCGACAACACGTCGACCAACTCGCCACCGATCAAGACAATTGTCTTGTCAAGTGGAAATCTGCCGTACAGGTAAAGTAATATAGTAATGTGAAGTTTTCCTGGCCAATATAATAGTCGAGCAAATTGAATGCACACTCTTATCAACATTTAATGAACTAATATGATCGTTCAATTGAGATATAAATGCATTGCATTGAAAAACAATCAATTTACATTCTGGCATCCAAATTCGCCGGAGCTTTCAGATGCACAAATTTCACCAGTAAAAAGCGTTTCAATTTTGAACGAAAGACGTTGTTTCTTTTCTTCAATAATAGACCACTTACGGTTCAAGATATTGGAAAACAGGGCGACGAAGGTCGTCTTTCAAGCAAGATCCAGGTTACGGTGTTTGCTGGGACAACGTTCAGATAAATCCGCACCGCAAACTCCAAGGCAAGCAAAAGAAGGCAGAATGCCTGTCGTGGGCCCTAGCGTTCGCTTGCGGCAACAGGATCCCGACACTGCACCTGAAGGATCCCAGTACCATCCCTGCTTCCCAGCTGATTTCAAGTATTCTCCCTAGGCCTGCAGACTACGATGAGTTAAGGAAGCTGATGGTCTCTTTGGTGATGCGGATACTTGTTAAGTACCTTCCATTCATGCAGTCCATGAAGAAACACCTCCCTCGTCCCAAGCATCAGTACAGCGCCGAGATGACCAGAAAAAGCGAAGTGGTAAATTTGGGTTTTTACAGCTATTTTGAAACGTTTTCCATTCCACTTCATATATGTGACCTGCCATAGCATAATGAGGAATAACCCCCACCTTCGACTTTTCACGTTGTGTACATCATGTTAAAGCGCAAATCATTGGCTTTCCAATGATACCAAATTTATTTCTGTAGCTTAATTTATTCCAAAGATATGATGCATGAACTTCAACAGTGTCCTGCCAAGTTTCGCTAACCTCATTTCGAGAAAAGCGGCTTTGAAAAAAAAGACACGCATATTGCCGCCAACGGCTGTGAAAAAAAGCTCTTTAGTTTTTCCACTTTTGTGGGTAGTTTTTTTCCAACAAAAAGGCATAGTGTATGAATCTTGGATACCTTGGCTACTCAAAAAAACCAAAACAATATCAATTTTGACATCATTTTTCTAGCATATCCGACTTCAGGTGTTGATTACTTAAAACAAGGTTTTTGAGGGACATTCCTCATTTTGCCTCAGTAGGTCACAATATATTGTTCAAATTTGTCTATAGCAACGTTTAATTTTGTCCGTTATCAATTTCTATTTTATGCCAAGTAATGAAAACCCTGAGCACACATAGTCATAGAGGAGTATGCGATTTCGTCTTGTATATGAGAAAACAAATTCGTCTGTGCTGCACAATTTAGTTATAATTTTGTTTCAATTTCGACAATCACTGCGGAAGTTTCAGCATAATGTTCCTTCTTTTTCGTTTCTTGTTTTTCATCTATTCATTGTTTGTTTCTTTTGGTTGTAATTTTCTTAAAAGTACGTCTCAAGACTAATTTACTTGACTGTTCATGTATTATTACCTTTGCATTACAATGCTTTAAGTACTTGATCTATGAGTGCTACCATTGGTGACAGCTTTAAGACTAATTCGATCAGCATTGATGAATATTCTTGAGCTATTAAGTGATTGGTGCACCAATGGTTGACCAAAATTTTGAGTTGAATGATAAATGACGAAATTGATTTTGCGAAAAGCATGCCATGCAATTCTTCCATGAGGAATTTGAAAGTTATAGAATTGGTGAATCGGAATGGAAACGTTTTTTTTTTTTTTTTTAACCCTAATGTACCTGAATCCATCAAAATCCACACCCCTGTTTTCTGTGCATTTTGGCGGATTCAGGATACCTCCATACTGCACAAACTGGGGGATTTTGATGGATTCTGGATTGTAAGCTTAGTGGAACTGCAGGACGATGGATTCAGGATACCTCTATACTGAGCTGTAGGGGGACTTAAGCGGATTCAGGATACCTCCATATTGCACAAACTGGGGGATTTTGATGGATTCTGGATTGTAAGCTTAGTGGAACTGCAGGACGATGGATTCAGGATACCTCTATACTGAGCTGTGGGGGGACTTAAGCGGATTCAGGATACCTCCATATTGCACAAACTGGGGGATTTTGATGAATTCAGGATTGTAAGCCTAGCGGAACTGCAGGACTTTGATGGATTCATGATACCTCCTTATTGAACTGTTGGGGGACTTTGGCGGATTCAGGATCTCAACAGATTTACTCCTGCCTAACTGATGGATTCTGATGAACTCACTGGCCACCAACATTCTTTCGCATTGCAAAATTGATGGATTTTGGCAGATTCGGGATACTTTCTAGTAAAAGAGCCCAAGGGGTCAGGGTTAAATATCCGGGAAAAATAATGCGTGCATGACTAGTGTCATTGTGTCTGATTCTATTTGCTTAATTTGAAAGGCTAATGTTGCTCAGCATTTCTCTTCCAGGTAAACCTTGGTGTTCTAGAAGTGAATCCTGCAACCACAGCTGGTGTAGTACGTGTGATGGAGCATCTTCATGCCTATGTCCCTGAGCCCGACGGCCAACTTTGTCCGATCTTGTGCAGTGGGGATGGCCTCAGCGTAGACAGGATGACCCGTGCAAAAAGGGCCAGTATTAACAAAGAAAGCAAGAAACAGCAGCTTCAGGGGTTAGTTGAGTGCCCTCAGGAATCTCATAAGGAGAAACTACTCTTACAGGTCAGTATGATCATCTATATAATGCGTGAAAAATGTCATTTAAAAATTGCTCTTTATAGCCCTAACAGTCCTCAATCCTCCAATTTCAATATGATTTTGTACACCCCTAGGGAGTTACGGTTAATGAAGTCTTGATGACGTCACAAAATTTTCTGAACTGAGCACATATGTGATGCGACCCAGCTAAATCAGTCGTTTGTCAGGAATTTTTATGTGAAGATACAGGCCAAAATAGGGCCACTTCATCATATCACTTCATCACATTTCTTGGTGTTCTGACTTCCATAATTTTTATGCCCCGCGGCGAAGCCGAGGGGGCATACTGTTTCCGCCTTGTCCTTCCGTGGGTGGGTGGGTGGGTGGGTGGGTGGGTGGGTGGATGGATGGGTGGGTGGATGGGTGGGTGAGCTTGTCTTACATACGCAGTGTGGACTTCCGAACAAAAGACGTCCACATAATGTAGGTAGCACCGACGTTGTGTGGACTTGCCCACGTCCACACAGTGTTTCCCCATTTCTGGAAAACAGGTTTAGAGGCATTTTTGGGTTAGGTTTATCTGTAGCAGAATGAAGAGAAACACTAAAGGGAATCATAGAAAAAAAATTGGGTTGAAAGAGTTTTCACAGTTTGAGAAAAATGAGTTTTTTCACTGGTTTTTCTTAACTACACGAAAGCAATGGAAAGTCCACACTAGTCATGTGAAACAAGGGTGGGTGTGTGGGTGTGTGTGTCCGGACAAATCTTGTCAGCGCGATAACTTGAGAAATACTTTACATATGAACTTCAAATTTGGTTTGTGGATTGTCCTTGGTAATCCTAAGAAGCCTTTTGCATTTGGGGCCGAAAGGTCAAGGGTCAAGGTCACAGTGGCTGAAACAATAGAAATTTTGTCAGCGTGATAACTTGAGAAATACTTTGCATATGAACTTCAAATTTGGTTTGTGGATTGTCCTTGGCAATCCTAAGAAGCCTTTTGCATTTGGGGCCAAAAGGTCAAGGGTCAAGGTCACAGTGGCTGAAACAATAGAAATTTTGTCAGCGCGATAACTTGAGAAATACTTTACATATGAACTTCAAATTTGGTTTGTGGATTGTCCTTGGCAATTCTAAGAAGCCTTTTGCATTTGGGGCCAAAAGGTCAAGGGTCAAGGTCACAGTGACTAAAACAAAAGAAATTTTGTCAGCGTGATAACTTGAGAAATACTTTACATATGAACTTCAAATTTGGTATGTATATTGTTCTTGGTAATCCTAAGAAGCCTATTGCATTTGGGGCCGAAAGGTCAAGGGTCAACGTCACAGTGGCTGAAACAATAGAAATTTTGTCAGCGCGATAACTTGAGAAATACTTTACATATGAACTTCAAATTTGGTTTGTGGATTGTCCTTGGCAATCCTAAGAAGCCTTTTGCATTTGGGGCCAAAAGGTCAAGGGTCAAGGTCACAGTGGCAAAAATAAAAGAAATGTTTTCAGCGTGATAATTTGAGATATACTTTACATATGTATTTCAAATTTGGTTTGTGGATTGTCCTTGGCAATCCTAAGAAGCCTATCGCATTGGGGGTCGAAAGGTCAAGGGTCAAGGTCACAGTGGCTAAAACAATAGAAATCTTGTATTTATTCTGAGATCATAGGGATTAGGGATTAATTCATATAAAACCTACAGAAGACACTAATGCTGTCAATGAACGTTCCATTTGACCAAGGTACATGTAAGTTGATGTTAGAGTGGTGTTATGTCATGGAAACAGTCACGGTTGCGGGGCATTTGTGTTTGTAAACACACCTGACTTGTTGAACTAAAGATGGTACCAGCATGCGGTTTTCACAGCAGTGATGCTGAGCTTGTGCTCTTTTCAAATTTGTAAAAAAAAAGAAGAAAAAAGACCAGTGTCGACAAACGACTCATTTAACTTGATTGCATCACAAATATCTTCATAATATACCAAATCTATAACAAAAAGAATTTTTAGATGAGCTTTTCTGTTAGGTAAATAATGTTGATAAGAATGCAAAAAAATACAGGGAATATACATCATTTGCTTTTGCTGTAATTTTCAGAAATGGATGGAATTGGGGGGTTGGAAATATATAGCAAATATAGTTACACTGACTTTTTTGAGGTTTTGGGTTTGAAAATGCTATAAAAACCAAGAAAAACAATCATTTTCCTGTAGTCTGGTTACCTGACTCCATATAAGAAGAAACAGAGCAGTTTACATACATTGGGGAATTGTAAGGTCAGGGAACCAGTCTAGCTGGCTTGTACCCGTTCATAGGTGTGTAATCGATTGCAAACAAGTGCGATGGTCAATTGGGGCCAGTATTTGAAAAAAAGCCAGTTTTTCCAACGCTGATCGGCCGATCAGCGTTGGAAATTGATACAAAAATACCTTTTTTCTTGAAAATGATAGTATACCAGGTGCCATGATTTTACAGGATGCTTTACACTGTCATTCACTAACAGTCCAGCAAGGTATTTCAAAATGATTTGGTAGTTTTATTTTTTGATGTTTGCAAATGTTGTATTTTCCCTTTAAAGAAAATTCCAAATATTCACATAAAAATCACGTGACGACGTTATTATGACCCCACTTCAATTTGTACCGTCCTCCCAGGACACAATGAACAATCTGTATAAGGGCAGCAGTGTCGCCTCCAGAGGGAGCCTTGCTCACTTAAAGGAGTTCTACAGACACCGATGTATGGCCAACGATGCAAAGCAGGACATTCAGCACATATGGGATACGATTGAGGTACGCATGCATGCAAGACACACTTTTCTGGCAATAGTGATAAATTTTGAGACTGAGGTATTCTTAAGAGCTTGCCAAAGTACAGGATGAGTAAAAAAAGCGGAACCCAAACCCCATAAAATATATTTTATATTTAAAAAAAAATATGTAGCACCAAAAATAATAATGAATGGAAAGCCATTTTTATAGGCTACTTTTAGATGAAAAAAATATGGAAATTGCTTAATTCGTTCAAAGAATATTACCATATAAACACAAGGACCCTAAAACCTGTCTCGTCCTCGTCCAAAAAAAATGCGATTTCAAGAATCATCGTCGCAATTGTCTTGAAACATCACAAGCGATAAAATCTCAGAATCCCTTTGAAGACCCGTCCTTTAAAAAAAGTAGATTTTATAAATCATATTGTTTGCCTAACCAGGGTTGTTAATAAAGATATTGTGTACTACCGTTGGTGACATTTGTTGAAACAAGTATTCTTAGTCATTTTCTTTGTTGTTCCAAACAGTCAAAACACACAATGAATTGCTTTTTTTGGACGAGACAGGTTTTAGGGTCATTGTGTTTAGAACGGATTGAGCAATTTCAGTAATTCTCTCATCTAAAAGTAGCTTATGAAATTTGCTCTCCAGTCATTATTATTTTTAGTGCTACATATTTTTTTTTAATATGAAATATATTGTATGGGGTTTAGGTTCCGCTTTTTTGATTCACCCTGTATTTTAAAGAGCTTGTCCAAGTAGTGTTTCCAGTTGATGCATTCTAACCTGGTTTTATCCTTGACAATATCCTTGTCAGTTCTGCACAGAGGCATACGTCACGCTCTTTGCCATGACCGCAGCAAACATGGAGACAGTAAACGATGTGCCTCTCAACTTTCCAGTCAATGGGAACATGGCGGACAAGACGGACTTTGTATGGAAGATAGCTGGAGCTGCAGTGGACTTCTGTTGGTCGGCAACAAAGAGTGAGGACATCAGGAAAGTCTATGCAAGTACCAAGTCGTCAGCAAGCACCCCGGGAGAACCTTATGGTTTCTGCTGTTGTGGCAAAGGCAAGGATTGTAATATATACCATCATTGCAATTTAATCATTTTTACCCCTTAGCCGAAAGGCTCGAGGAGTATTGTCATCGCCTTCGGCGTCCGTCTGTCTGTCCATCTGTCCGTCCGGCCATCTTAGTTTCTGGATGATAACTTGAGTTACAAATGTTGTTTGGGATTGTAACTTCGGTATGGGGTTGCCCTTATGAGTAGACAAGTTTGATTGGTTTTGAGGTCAAAAGGTCAAAGGTCAAGGTCACCTTGGTGGGTAAAAAGTAAATGGTTTTCTGGATGATAAGTTCATTTACAAATGAGATTTTGGTGTCTAACTTTGGTAGGGGGTTGCCCTTGGGAGTAGGCAAGTGGGGATTGGTTTTGGGGTCAAAAGGTCAAAGTCAAGGTTACTGTGGTGAGTTGAAGGTGAATAGTTCCCGGATGATAACTTGAGTTAGAAATGAGATTTTGGTGTCTAACTTTGGTAGGGGGTTGCCCATTGGTACAGGCATGTTGGGATTGGTTATGGGGTCAAAGGTCAAGGTCACCATGTTCAGTTAAAGATTTATGGTTTCCAGATGATAAGTTGACTCTGGCTAAGGGGTTTCAACAGCAATGCTGTTATTTTTAATGTGTGAGGATGGTTTCTAAGTACACAATGTATTAATTCTTTCACCTACACAGAAACTGACGAAGCAATGATCCAGTGTTTCAGCCACCAGTGTCCTCACGTATGGTACCATCTCTCCTGCGTGGGGCTTGATGAGCCACCTGCGGTTGAATGGTACTGCAGTAAAAAGTGCGACGGAGATGGAACCTATATTTATTGCATGTGTCATCAGCGGAAGGGAGGTGAGATGGTACAGTGTGCTCTTAAGCAAGACTGTCGTCGACACGAGTGGTACCATTGGTCATGTTTGTCTGATACCACTTTCCCAGGTAAATGTTTACGGCACATTTTTTACCATAAAGTTAAAGGGAATATACAACATTTGCAAACATCAAAAAACAAAACTACCACATTTTTACGAAATACCTTACTTGGATGTTGGTAACGGACAGCCTAAAGCATCCTGTAAAATTATGGCACCTGGTGTGAAATCATTTTCAAGAAAAGTGGTATTTCTGTATAAATTTCCAATGGCCGACCACAGTTGGAAAAACTAACTATTTTTTTAACTTCTGCTCCAAATTTACCATTTTTGTCAGTCAAAATTTTGTTTGCTATTGCTTAAATGTTCATGAACGGGTGCAGACCAGCTAGACTGATTCCTTTACCTTACAATTTTCCAGCATCTATAAATTGATTCATTTCCTATTTAGTGGAGTCAGGGAACCAGACTACTTGAAGATTTTTGGTTTTGTTGGTGTTTTTTTTCTAGTATTTTCGAGCACAAAACTTCAAATATGTCAGTGTAACTTATTTGATCTATTCTAACCCCTCAAATAGTTCATTTCTTAAAATTACAGCAAAAACCAATGGTGTACATTCCCTTTAAGAGGTGCTCACGATGAAAGTTTCAAGTTGTATACTTTTTGTTTCTTCTTGCTCCATTTAGATTTGTGGTTTTGCTGCGATGACTGTGCGCTTGGAAGTGAAGGTGATGATTCTGTCCAGAATTACACCAAGGCACTAATGTGGCGCGGTTTAAACCATCTTGCGCGGAGATGGGCAGTCAGACATGGCGATGGCAAAACAATGACGTCCCATTGGAAGATGGACCTGATAGAGTTCTGGGCGTTCGGACATGACAAGTACCTGACCATGGCCCAGCAGTTTTTGACAGGTTGGTGTAGTTATATTCATCATTCCCTCATTGTGCAGATTGGTATCAATTTCACTCAAATGCGAAAGGACTTCGATGTTCATAATTTTAACAATAAAATCCGCATGATGCATGAACTGGGCTTCAAGTAATGATCAGGCATGCTATTTTTCCTTGGATCCGCTGATTTCCTCGTTTCCGCCGATTTCCTCGTTTTCACAGATTTCCTCGTTTTTCACTTCTCATGAAAGCCATTACAAATTGAAAAACACTGTACAAAGTCTGGTGTTGTTTGGGACTTCCTCGTTTTTTCTAAATTCCCAGTTGCATGCCTGTATGATAAATATGGATTTCAAACCAGAGGAACTAATCTTGTTGCCGAGTCACAATAATTTGAAATTTCAGACCAATCCTGTTTTGCTGAACCCCATTCGATTTACACCCAGGTGTCAGTGGATTTCTTCCCGAACGTCTTCGTCATGACATTACATGGAACAGAGTGGCTAATGTCCACGGCATGGAAGGAGAAAACATTGGCCTGGACCTTCTCAATAAATTCCTAAACAATGAATTCAAAGGTAAGGCAACCAAGAATATGACCCTTCAAAATAATATAGTTTCATTTATGCAAAAAAAATTAAGATGGCCTGACATCTGATCCTGTATATCCTATATACTTGTATTTACGATACCTGTAAATGGCAGGTCTCCGCTGTTGGTTATCAAATAAAATTTAAAAATATCTTAACGCCTTCGAGGAAGATTCTGCTTGGATCGATTTTCTTGAAGCAGTTTGCAGCAGTTTCATTAATTGTCAATTTTTTATTTTAGTCAAAATGAAATTTATCAAGCTCATTTCAAATGACTCTGGTCTGGCTGGACGTATGACAGTCCCTTTCTTACAGAGGTCACAGGTTCGAACCCGACTCAAGTAAATTGTTCTTTGTTCAACCTAATATTAGTTAATTTTTTTCTTTAAAAGATATGCTGCTGAGATCCCGGAGAAAATACACACAACAACAGGCACAGCGCTGTTCACAAATGAGCGGCGAGTTAGGAAAACAGATCGACCAACTGCTAACAGGCGGACTGGGTGATCTTCCCAGCAAGAATTCCTCTGAGAAAACCGTCAACAAAGACGTGCTGGATTTTGTGAGCGAATTTAAGAAAGATGCCCTCTTTGACTATGTCCCTGGTCGGCATCATCAGGGATTTGAAGACTACACGTACGATACCAGCATCGAAGCACCCGATTGTCTCGGGCAAAGGCTCCTCGTGACTTCCCAGGAGATGGACCGGTGGAATGAGGTACGCTTACACGACAAAGAAATCAACTGTGCTCGTGATAATATTCTGCAGAATAGTTTGCCATGAGAAGAGACATTCATTATTTTTTCACGAATAACCTTTTTTGAATCAAATTAGGTTTTGCCCTTCACTGACGTATAAACACTCTATACTCAGTGTATTAATGTGGTACCTGCTGCTTGATATGCGGTACCCGCTGCTATATGTTCGTACATCAGATTCGAACCAGCCAACTGATCCTGTTAGCTCGGTGGTCGAGTGGTAAGACATCTGCACTAGAAAGCAGGAGGTTGTGGGTTCGAGTCCCACCCGAGTGATTTTCTCCAACTTTCACTCGGGAGGTAACACACTGAGTGTACAGTGTTTATACGTCAGTGAAGGGCAAAACCCAATTTGATTTACATCACCCCGATGCAAAATTCCATCTTATGAAAACTTTTTAAACATTACAAGAAGAACCCCACCTCTCAAAAAAGTAAAGATTTAAAAGTCTAGCATTCAAAACTATCATGAAACCTAAAAACCCTTTTAATATATTAACTTTTTTTTTTTCAGATCATGGAATCGTGAATTTCTACTCGCCTCTACTCTTCCGTACAACAGTGCGAGACGATCACCTTGACGCGTTCATTCATTCCGGTTATCTTGAGATGCTTGAGCACCGCTCGTCTCATGCAGTTGCCTCCTTTGACTGTGCTGCACAGCTGCATCATGCTACTGTCAGAATATCGCTTGTTAATGGACCACGGGAATATGTACAGCTTTCGAAATCCTTGCCTCCCATCTCTTAGGCACCTACCAAATTCTTACCAATAACTGAGAACATCTTTTTGCCGGTCCTCAGTGGATCACAAATTCCACATCATCTGTGTGGATGACTAAACCAAAAGCCATAACTGAGAACATCTTTTGCTGGTTTCTAGTGGATCACAAATTCCACATCATCTGTGTGGATGCCTAAACTAAAAACCATTACTGAAAACATCTTTTGCTGGTCTCTAGTGGATCACAAATTCCACATCATCTGTGTGGATGACTAAACTAAAAGCCATAACTGAGAACATCTTTTGCTGGTCTCTAGTGGATTACAAATTCCACATCATCTGCATGGATGCCTAAACCAAAAGCCATAACTGAGAACATCTTTTACTGGTCTCTAGTGGATCACAAATTCCACATCATCTGTGTGGATGACTATAAACCAAAAGCCATAACTGAGAACATCTTTTGCTGGTCTCTAGTGGATCACACATTCCACATCGTCTGTGTGGATGACTTAACTAAAAGCCATAACTGAGAACATCTTTTGCTGGTCTCTAGTGGATCACAAATTCCACATCATCTTTGTGGATGCCTAAACCAAAAGCCATAACTGAGAACATCTTTTGCTGGTCTCTAGTGGATTACAAATTCCACATCATCTGTGTGGATGCCTTAACCAAAAGCCATTGATGAGAACATCTTTTGCTGGTCTCTAGTGGATCACAAATTCCACATCATCTGTGTGGATGACTAAACTAATAGCCATAACTGAGAACATCTTTTGCTGGTCTCTAGTGGATCACAAATTCCACATCATCTGTGTGGATGCCTTAACCAAAAGCCATTACTGAGAACATCTTTTGCTGGTCTCTAGTGGATCACAAATTCCACATCATCTGTGTGGATGACTAAACTAATATCCATAACTGAGAACATCTTTTGCTGGTCTCTAGTGGATCACAAATTCCACATCATCTGTGTGGATGCCTTAACCAAAAGCCATAACTGAGAACATCTTTTGCTGGTCTCTAGTGGATCACAACTTCCACATCATCTGTGTGGATGACTAAACTAAAAGCCATAACTGAGAACATCTTTTGCTGGTCTCTTAGTGGATCACAAATTCCACATCATCTGTGTGGATGCCTAAACCAAAAGCCATAACTGAGAACATCTTTTGCTGGTCCCCAGTGGATCACAAATTCCACATCTTCTGTTTGGATGCCCAAACCAAAAGCCATGGTAGCCACAAAGCATCGGAGTGGAGATGTCGTTTTGCAAAATGACGATGTAACACGCCTTTGGCTTTCGACGTCATTACTACCATGGTACATGTCAATTATTCTATTATGGACACTGTGTATGGGGTCCACTGAAGCCATCCCCCCAGACTCGTCATCAGCTATGCATAAATGCAAGAGACTTTGTTCACTTGTCTACAAAGATACAATAATAAACAAAGAGTGATAGGTAGTTGGCGTTGTGTTTGAAAGACACACCCGCATGTATGTAAGAGAAAATAATTTACGTTGTGTTAATTATGGCCTTTGGTGCATACTTTCTTCTCTTTAATAGAGACAATACCAGGCCAAACGTTCTTCAACATTGGCGTTATCCACGTTGTACATCTCCAATCATATATTGGGTCTGTAAAAAAAATATTGAATAAAATAAAAGTTGAAGACGATGTTGTGATAATAATACGCTTTGTGGTTTAAATGCCTGCTTGTTAAAGGAGTTATACTTTTTGTTAAGGACTAGAAGTCAAAATGAGTTAAACTCTTTTTAATTCTAGGAAACTCTCATTGATAATCTTACCTGTCTTGAAGCACTGCCACGATGTCAAATGTCGACATCTCAAGCTGCAACATATTGGTGATCTCCTTTATCATATGTGTTGCCGTTGCCTTTGTCCATGATCGGTGAGAGCCATCCGTAGCAATCGCTTTTGCCAAAACCAGTTGGTAGCAAAAATGTCCAAAAATGTTTTTGTATTTCTTTACTACTGACTCGATTGCCTGCATCTGCTCTAATTTTAGAGAATAAGGTACGTTGTGTTCCTTCAAAACAGCATCGATTACGTCGTCCATACTTAACAACTCAAAATTTGCTCTTATATATCGCCTATACAATGTCCGACTAGGCGGAAACTTGAGTTTGAAAATTACCGCGCAGCGTGCTAAAACGTTTGTGCACATGCGTTTGGTTACTAAGCAAATCACACGTGGGCATTGCGTGTTCACGCTGCATGCACGGACGCAGAAGTTTGGAGGGCGTTAGCGTACGTGTGCGCGTACGTACGCACATACGACTTGGTGAGAAACTGATAAAAAGAGTCAACAAAAACGTACAAGTTTAATGTTGCTTTAGAGTTTGTGTTCCTCTTTAATGTTGGTCAGCATAGCATATGGAATTCCTTAACCCACCGTATGCATAGATAAGGACACATAGAGTATGTGGACGTGAAATAATCTTCCATAACGAGGTAAAACGTAAAAAAAATCTTGTTTAAGAGTTGGGTGGTATTGCATAGAGAAATCTCATCCTGGACGTTAGTTGTAATGCAATGAAGACGTCCAACCTGGGCTAGGTCAACCCTAGCCCCATAAATGTGGCCAATTTACTGGACTACCTCCGTGAATAAATGCCCACTTGGAACATGTACCAGAAAATGTAGAACTTTGTCAAGTTTTTATTTTCACATTTAGACTTTGTAGTTATTTATGCTTTAGATGCACACTCGCCCTCTTTATTTAAAGCGATACAAAATTAGTCTCCCCATTTTCAGACGTCTATTTTTTGTGTAATTTCGTGTTGGAATTTAGATACCCTAATGTGTGAAAATGAGCCTGGAAATTACACAAAATATAGATGTCTGAAAAAAGGGGGGATTCATTTTCTATCGCTTTAAAGAGGGCGAGTGTGCTTCTAAAGCGTAAATAAACTACAAACAAAGTCCAAATGTGAAAATTTAAACCAGGTTTTTTTTTGGAGCCACTGAATTGTGTAAATTTAATGCATAGTTATTTGAAATTATTGTGCATACCAAAAGGAGTGCAGAAATATTAAAATGTTCAAAACTCTCATTTTCTCAAAATCTTTGTCTTTATTCATGCTTCTTTAATATAAATATATGTCGGACGGTAATCATGATTTAAAAAATTCTGATATTTGAATTTAATTAGTCTGTATGAATGTGCAATAAATAAAATCAAAGTTTTAATCACAATTTCTTAATCAAATTAGGTTTGCCCTTCACCGACGTATAACCACTATATACTCGGTGTGTTACCTCCTGAGTGAAAGTTGTATACGTCGGTAAAAGGGCAAACCTAATTTGATTTACATCACCCCGACGCAAAATTCCATCTTATGGACACAATTTCTTATTCAGAAAAAGGGTCACCAAATGAACAGCGCCCTCACACATTTTCAAATGTGGTTATCTTATAATGTTGATGTATCCTAGCGTGGAGTGGCCCCCTAATGTTGCACAAGTTGATTTTCGCCCCTAGTGCCTTGGTGGAGAATTTTTTCCTTAAATTTCAAAGTTCAGACTTGGGAGCGAGTTAACCTGGGACCAAGTTGACTTGGGACCGAGTTGACTCTGACCGAGTTGGTTTGGGACCAAGTTGACTCAAAACCTTAAGAACTTGCATGGTGCGCCCATATTGAGGACAGATTGTTGTTGCTATGTGACATGCATGCGTAGTTACTTGGTACTTTCTTTATCAATGACAATATTTTTGATGAGGACTCTTCTCTGCACATGCTCGTGCAGACTGTTTCCATGAAGACGGAGCACTCACATCATCAAGAATATCACATTTTGGAAATAATCTGCACTTATATTGATTATAATGACCAATTAAACTTCTTTCTTGATGACTTGAGTGCTCCGTCTTATGACAAGATCAGGGAGAGGAGGATGGTTCTGGCAGGCCATTGCGTCCACCACCTGGAGCTATTAGCCCACAACACTACCCTGTGGGAGCCCACTCATGGAACTGCCAGGAGGGGGCGGAGACGAGCCACGTATATCGACACGCTGCAACGGGATGTTGGTCTCAGTGACCCAGGGGAGCTGAGGACCCTAATGCTGGCGGGGACCAAGTCCTGAAATGGTGTAGGATAGGCTGCACCCTCGCATTGCATCGCAAACTTCTTTTGTATTTTTTATGGTTGTAATATATAAACCAACTTTCTGTTTTTTTAACAGCTGGCATGTTAGGACCAATAAAAATATAGAACGAGTCAAGCGGGATGAGGCACAAGCAGCTGAAGAGAACAAGAAGAGGCAGGAACGAGCAGCCCTTGCTGTAAGTTACTTCACAGTCTGAAGGTGCTGTGGACATAGTAGTAAGCAAGTCATCAAAAGTCTAAACTAATTATCACAAGTCATCCCAAGTCATCACAAATGTCAGGCTTAAAGGGAATGTACAACATTTGCAAACATCGAAAAATAAAACTACCAAGTTTTTACGAAATACCTTACTAGGATGTTGGTAAATGATAGTCTCAAGCATTTTGTAAAATTATGGCACATGGTGTGAAGTCATTTTCAAGAAAATGGTATTTTTGTATACATTTCCAACGGTGGTCGGCCGACCAGCGTTGGAAAAACCTAACTATTTTTCAACTACTGCTCCAAATTAACCATTTTTTTCAGTCCAAATTTTGTTTGCTATTGGTTACATGTTTCATGAACGGGTGCAGGCCAGCTAGACTGGTTCCCGTGCCTTACAATTTTCCATCATCTATAAATTGATCCATTTTATCTTTTGTGGAGTCAGGGAACCAGACTACTTAAACATTTTTGTTTTTCTTGGTTTTTCCAACCTTTTCGAACACAAAACTTCAAAAATGTCAGTGTAACAATATTTGATCTATATATACTAACCCCTCAAATAGTTCATTTCTGAAAATTACATCAAAAACCAATGATGTACATTCCCTTTAAGTCAAGTGGCATGATTTTTAACTGGACTTTGGCCTAGGCACTTCTTTGTTATTCATAGCCAGTTGCTTCTGGCGGAACCTCTGATTTGTCTTGGGATTTAACCTTGATTACCAAATTTGACTTCTAATTGACTGGAATATTGTCTGGTTTCATTGGTTGACCTTTGTCCGAAAATTTAAGACTCTCAATACTGTGTATGAGAGTCCCAAAACAAGACACGCAACACAAGAAAATAGACTGGCACCTGAAACAACCAGTCCAACACCCCTTTGGTACTGCATCAGTCAACTGTGTCAAAAGAAACATCTGGTACTTCTACACATCTCTCCATAGTCTGCCACCAGACCACTGAAGGGTCAATCCTTTCAAACAGTTGGACACGTGCCAGTCTAGCCTTAGGCTTCAACTTGAAATCACTTGGCTTCACTCTCAGGTGCAAAACGGTGAAGTAAAGTCTCCTTCAGAAATTGAATTGAGACCTTAAACTTCGCTGGTGAAATACTGAGGACCTTGTCTTTGCCTCATGAAAATTTCGGAGATTTTTGTCTGCTAAAGAGTGAGTAAAGTTGGCCTGATTTTGAACTCCATGTCCCAGTCTAGGATTTAACCTTGATTAGCTGAGTTGATTAGTGATTGATTGGATTATTGTCTTGCCTCAGTGGTTGACCTGCAGCCGATTTCACGAAAAAGTGCATAGCTTGCGCCATGCATACGACTTGCGCAACAAATTTGTTGCAATAAACTTACGAATGATTTCATGAAACTTGGCGTTGCTGCGCAACGTTTGAATAATTTAAACATCTTGGATAAAAGGAGCATTTACGAGGATAAAAGCAGCATTTACGACGGCTGTTTGTGTGCGAATATGTTCTTTCGCGAAACAGTCGTTGGATCACCTCAGCCCGCCATTTTGAAAATATTTGTCCGACTTTCTTCGGAACTCTAAAAATTATGTTACGAGTAAAAGAGAAATTCATTTACTTCAATCATGAAGTTGTGAGTGTCTTGTATCAAGCTTGTAAGTTGTCCAATAACGGGCTCCACGACTGTCCCGATTTGCTGATAAAATATGTTATTTTCAGTCACTTCGCCACAACTTACGCCACCTAAAATGATTGCGCAAGTTACGTCATAAATTGTTGCGCAAGTCGCGGACTTGCACACTATCCAACTTTCGTGATATGTGTCATAAGTGAAATGTCGCGCAGCGTGAAATGTTGCGCAACTTGCGCAATAAATTGTTGCGCAAGCAGAGATGCGCCATTGTGTAAGGTTTCGTGAAATGGGCTGCAGTGCAGTTTAATGTGAGGCTTGAATTCATTAAAGCCATGGTATTTATGTCCTTGAGCAGGATGCATTACTGTAATTGTTTCTTTGTCCGGGCTTTGTTTTTTTTTCATTCTAGGAGCAGGAGGCTAGGACAGCATTGCTACGGAGAAAAGCTCGCCAGTTGACCGCAGCAGAAGACCCTGAGGAATACCACCTTCCTTCTGGGTCTACTGAGGATGACCGTCTTGCTGTACAAACCTCAGCAGACACAGAACATGTGGATCTCTTCAGTGATCTCAGTACTGAAAAAGTGAGTTCATAGGCAATAACCCTGACACTCATATTTCTTCATATTTTAGTTCACATGTATGATGGAATTTTGTATCTGGGTGACGTAAATTCACCAACGTAGAGTAAGCAGGAGGTTGTGGGTTTGAGTCCCACGAAAAAAAAATTCTCACAAAATCCCCGGGACACGAAAATACCCGGGACATGAATTTGTTAGAAGGAACCATTTTTATTGGAGAACACGGAATTACAACCCCTTGACTCTCCTTAAGAAAGAGCTGTAGGATATTTTAGTTGTTTTTTAATTTATTAATTTTTTTTTCTGGTAATGAAACCAATGGTACCTGAAAAGTTCTGAGGCGCTGTAGTTTGGAAGTCTGAAAAAACCTATTGAATGAAGATAAATGATGTTCAGTTACATTAGTGGGAGGAACAACCCCAACTTGATCAATATTCCACATATTGACCCAGGCAGGATTGGAACCTGTGTCACAGCGGTGGAAGGCAAAGAGAAGTACCACTATTATTTAAAAGACAGGTAGACTAACAAGCCAGCATTAAATGTACACATTTTAAACTTTGATATTCATTTTTTCTGCTCCCAATTTCATTATTTTTTTTTCAAAAAACTTTACAGCAAAAGGGAGAGAAAAACAAGGAGCGCGAGAAAGAGGAGAAAGCTGCCCAAGAGAAATACGAACAAAAAATCGGCCTGCTGACCTACCTGGGTCAAAGTTCAGCGGAGGCGCTTACGGCCACACCATGGTACTTCAAATCTCCTGACCGAGGAACTGCAACCTCTGAGCCTGAACAACAAAGGTATCTTTAAGTATATGGATCTGCCGTGCATGGAAAGAAATTTGCTAAGTGCGGAAAGAATTTGCTTAGAAAGATCTAGTTATTGGTTAATTTTTGCTGACCAAATTTATGTTTATAGCATAGCAACAGTCAGCTAAAAATCCAATTACGAGTGAAATAAATTGCGTTACATTTTGACTTGTAACCCGTATTTGGTAAGCAAATAGTTGTCATGCTTTAATAGCAAATTTCTGTACTTTGCAGCATGAAGTTAGTTTGTCCTGTGTAGTAATGTAAATATTTGGCGTGTTTTGTTTCCGTATTTTTGGGCTGTTATGTGCCTGGAAATTTTGGAGGCACTACACCTTGCAAATCAAAAAGCAATAGGCGACAGGTCAATCAAAATGTGGCCAGGTGCCTCGTAAACTATTTGAGGTGCAGAACCTCACAAAGAATGAGGTGGGAGAGGCACTGTCTCAAAGCAGCTGAGGCATAATACTTACAATTCATTTGAGGTTCTACACATCAAATAGGTCACTGTGTGTCACAAACGTCAAGAGGGACTGTGGTTTAGAAATAGCACGAGGCACTGCACCTCTTAATTTGCATGAGGTACTGTGCCTCACAAATCATATAGGGCACCACACACCTCATATATCCCACAGCATTGCACCACACTTATCCCATAAGGGACTGTGCCATGTATATCGTGAGGTACTGTACCTCATAAATCACACAGAACCACATGAGGCATTGTCTATTCAAATCTCCAAGGGACTCTACCTCAGAAATCACAAAGACCTTAACCTCACACTCACTTGCCAAGAGATGACCCATGTTCATATCTGTTTCATCCCTAGCTGCAAAGAAGTGAAGAGGAAGGCAAGCCTAGATCCCATGATGCAAATGGAGAAATACCTCGGCGTGAAAAAATCAAAAGGAGACACCACAGCACCAATAACAAAACCTACTCTTAAAGATAAAACTCCCACAAGTTTTCAAGTTGGTGTCAATCCAGGCATGAAATCAACATCAAAACACCGAAAGTCGAGAAACGCCAGTCAAGACGACCGGAAGTCAACACACCGAAGCCATAAAAGTAAACAAAAGCATAAACACAAACACAAACGAGACAAGGACAAATCAGAAAGATCCAAAGAACAAAGCGACAAAAACTCTAAAAAGAAACCAAGACACAGAGAACCGAGTCTCGAGAGAAGGAAGAAGACTGAAGGACCCAACGTACAGCAGCTGCGCGAGGAGAGACTGAGGCGTGAGGCCGCGGAGCGAGCCAAGACGACGCGTTTGCTGTCTGGGGAGAAGCTTGAGGGCGGAGCCAAGCGAAACTTGGAGGAGGAGATGGAAAGACCGGGACGGTACAACTCACAGTACCACCCCGAGCTGGCACGGAAAAGACACAGGCAGGCTCACTACGGCGGCATTTAATGGTAAGCAATATTTCAATAATTAAAGGAATGCCAAGCTGCTAAGCATGTAGTATTACTTAGCATGTTGATTTATAAGGGGTGGCATGGGTGGCTAGTGTGTAAAGTGCCCGCCTCTCACCACTGTGGCCCGGGTTCGATTCCCGGCTCGGACCATATGTGAGTAGAGTTGTTCGTTGATTCTCTCCTGTGCTACGAGGGTTTTCCTCCCTCCGACAAAATCAGCACTTTCGATCTCTGGCTGTGCTCCGTGGTCAGACATGGGTTGTATGGCGGTTCGACCACGCTGCAGCAGCGTCCTTTGCAATTCAGTTTCTCAGCTGAGAGTAAGGATGATTAGACCCTCAAAGTATTAATTATATCTTTTACTAAACATTTTTTTTGCTGAGAACCACTCACCAACAAAATTGTGAACACTCTCAACTTGTTGGCTGAGGATACTTTACAAAACTAGACACTTGACCCGCATCTCCAATTGTAATAGAGTACCGAAGTGTGACGTCATTTAGAACCAGAAAGTGTAGTGCAAACGAATGGAGTACGCGCGCGTGTTGGTTCAGGGGCTGAATCACGCACTAATGTCTTTCACACACATTTTGTGCGCGTGAAGTATTCACTTCGGTACTCCATTTCTGGCCTTTTTATTATTGCAAAATGCTCTGAAATTATATATATATGTATATATGTTAACAAACATCTGCCTTTTGTGGATAACTTTTTTTCTTTTCAAAAAGTTTGCTTCTATCTACATTTGTTTGAAACGTCTGACCTTTTCATTCAAATTGAAGTGCAAGTTACTTCTTCTTAATGGGTTTATAGTTGCAGAACAAGAACATTATGAGGACTGACACTAAATCATACATGCACGTAGATTGTTTTCCCAAGATCTTTTATGTTTGTTCATCCACGGAAAGACTTGATAATTCTCCCCCAAAAAATAATGTTAAAACAAATATCAATGTAATTAGTTGCATCTCGAAGAGAAATACTACACTGGTGCATATCAAAATAGTTTGTATAAAATGCTAAACATACAAATACATTTGAGCTACAGAAAGACAGCTTGCGATGTAAAATAAAATTTACTTACTGAACGCTCAGTGGGTGAAATAAAAACAGACACCCGACACGTCCAAACAAAAATTGAGGTGTTCAGTTGCATTTGCTAACTACAGTTAACAAATGCAACTGAACACCTCAATTTGGGATTGATTATTCTTACACAAAATAATGAATGTTTATGAGTGCAGTGGTAAGAATAATTTCATGAGGTGACAGATGGGTGAAACCGAGTGGAGTGGAATATTCCATCTGTCACTAAAAGAAATTGTTCTTTCCATTGCACTCATAAACATGATTTTGAGAGTTTATTTTATCTGAGCTGTTTTGTTACTCTCAACCTCTGTGTTTTCTAGTCTGGTATCAATCCTTTTCAGTCTTCCATGTGTTCCCTTTGTCTGATCTTCTTAATCTCCCTCCACGAGGGTGCCTGTGTGGCAACCCTGGTCTGGAACAGCGTCAACTCGTCCAGGTGTACGAATGGGATCTTATTGCAGACGTCTCGCCAGCGAGTGGCCTCGCATTTCTTGTAGCTGACAATGAGTACGTGTAGGGCTGGCCGGCTTGGCTTGTACCTGTTTAAGAAAGCGAGGAACACAACTTTTTGGTTGGTCTTCATCGACGGATACTGTCGAGTGTCAAGACCAATCTTGAGATCAATTGTTCTTTTATGTCTAGCCTTTTCAGAAGTCTGAGCTATTCAGCCAATGACTCCTATCCCACTAAAAATTGCCCCAGCACTATGGATTTATGGGTTAATCACAGAGTAAATACATTGTAAAACAATAAACATGGAATAAAAGCGCCAGTACGTTAAAATTCAAGGTTCAGCCTCAGTCTTGGTCTCGGAACAAAGTTTCAGGAATTTTTGTCAAGACCTGTATGAATCCTCACCTTCATAAACATAGACTGGTGAGCACTTGTTTCCTATTTTACTTTCTTATTTGTAATTTTCTCCTATTTCTGTTTGTCTGTTGCTCTTGTACTCTCTCAAATTGTACGCTTGTGACTCCCAATACTCACTTGTTGAGTAAGGCTTGCTGCCAATTTGCACAGAGCTCAAAGTAGGCGTTACATATCACCTGCAGACACACCAGTTCCGTGCACCTGTCCATTACATCATCTAGCTCCTCCAGAGCTTTAATCCTGAACAACATCATCAAGATAAAAACAAAGAGAGCTTTTACTGAAACTACATTCTGATGTTTCATCCGAATAGACCCTCCTCACAAGTACATGTACCCCCGCAACAGTAATGACTTGAGTCTTGAGTGGTGATATCCTTATTCAGCTATTTAGCTATACGAGGATGGCAAGATTCAGCCATCATTTCATGACATGGGAGTTTGGAAGGAATTTTGAACATGTACTGGTACATTTAGTGCTAATGCAAAGACCACACTCGGGATTAAAAAAAAAAATTGTGTGTACTTTGTGCCTTATGCATATAACCTGGGCTTAATTTCTTGGCTCTACTTACCGTTAGCGAAAAATACCTGATTACTATAGCAGAATCTTCCGTGCTTATGGTAAGCATATATCACATATTAGCGAGGAATACTGGCTTCTGCGCATGCGTACATCCCGTAACTAAGGATTCTGTGCTTAAGGGTTAGCACAGAATTTCTCTGCTAGCACGGTTAGCACAAAATTCATGATCGTAAGCGTGGAATTCTGTGGTTAGCAGAGCCAAGTTGGCTCTGTTAACCACAGTATTGCACGCTTATGATCACCATTCTCTGCTAACAGTGCTAATCCTGTAAGCACAGCATCCTTAAGTTACGAAATTTACGCATTCGCAAAATTCCTCTCTAACCCATGAAATACGCTTCCCATAAGCACAGGCGTTTCTGCTACAGTAAGCAGGGATTTTTTGCTAACGGTAAGCAGAGTCATGAAACTGGGCCCAGTGTTCACACATCGTGTGTCCCTCACACGGAGACCTCAGTGGTCCGGATGCGCCATCTACCGTTAATTCACAAAGACAATTGCTGCTGCTTTTGAGTGAAGTTGTAAGGGAGTCTCAAAACTTTGAACACATGAGATGCTCCACGTAAAATTCTTAATGCAAACACAGGCTGTTCCCATCTTTGAACAGCCAGAAGCAAGTTAAATCAAGAGCAATGGTTAATTAACCATAGTTGACTTATTCTTCATTGAAAGCATGCTGGTCTGTGATGGATGGACTATAGGGGGATTGGAGACATGCGGAGGGGGCATGAGCGGCAAGCCCCCATGGAATATCCCATTGCGATGGGCAGTTGTTGGCCATGTAGATTTTGGCAAAGCAGGAATGAGGCTGAGTCCATCGCAAGCCCAGCCCCAAGTAAATCACAAGTCCATTCAGAAGTCCAGTGGCAAGTAATTCACAAGTCCAGTCCCAAGTCCAGTCACAAGAAACAGTGGAAGAAGAATGAGAAAGGAACGCCTTTGTCAAAGCTCATTTGAATAGCCTGCGATTTGAATCGGGTCTGGATGACTTGGGATGGACTTGCAGGGACTTGTGATGGACTTGACTACATCCCTTTTGCAAAGGAAGCAACCCCCCCCCCCTCCCACACACACACACACACACACACACAAATGGCGTGGACTAGTCTAGTGAACTATTTGGGACCAGTCTACTCAGGTTCGTTGCATCGCTGGCTATCAAGACCTTCATGGGTTTGTAATGACGTTTAGGATTCCTTCCGAACCCAATGAGTTTGGGGAGTGTGGCCAAGTGGTTAGGATTCATGACTAATGGTCAGGGGTTCAAATCCAGCTGCTGGCCATATGTTGTGTCCTTGGACAAGCCTTCAACCCACGTGCCCCTCGCCATCCAGGAGTATAAATGAGTTCCTGCATTAGCTGGGGAGTAACCTGCGATAGATTGGCATCCCATCCAGGGGAAAACAAATATTCTAAGACTACTTCCGAGACTTTTTTTTTTTACGTTTCCAGAACCCAATGAGGAGATTAATGTGGAAGGAAACTTGACTTTTTTCTTTTTACCTGCCACACTGTGTTATGACGCATACTCTCTGCAGTCGCTTGCAGCATTGTAAGCTCTGCAGCAACGACTGCATGGCCACAAGCTTGGGTTGCTCAAGTCTGAAAGGGAAATGAATTAGAAAAAGGGAAAAAGAATGTTGCAACCTGACGCCACTTCAGCAGTTGTGTGCAAATTCTATGGAGAGTCAAGAAAATTCTCTACGTATTTCCCAACAAAATTGGAAATGTTTCTCAGTCCCAGATACTTGTCTTATCATCATTTTTGCAATGATTGACCTTCACTGAGATGATATTTGAAGAAAAAGCAGCGTCAGGTTGCAACATGATTTCCGAAAAGGGATTGTAAGGAAATTGATGTTAATTTCAGGAGGTCATCAGTGTAGAGTTTCAGCCATCTTACATTTACTTGGTTGCAGTAAAAGTGTTTATTCATTGATTGATATAGTTTAGTTTTACTTTCACGTAATGACGCCCAGTCTGAGAAGAGAAAATGGAGAAGTTTTCATTTTAGACTTGAATTATGAAGGAAAAAACCTGATTGTGTATTCTTCAAGGTTTGGAGAAAACCTCAAAATCAAGTAGGGATAAATACCCCATCCAACTTTCTGGCTAGACAGGAGTCGATACTGGATTATTGAAGTGGAAATTGAGAAAAAATTACAGAAACTTTGATTATTTTTGTCAGGGATTTAGTCCAAAGATTGCACCTTGTTCCATTGGACCACATTCATTGGTCAAACTTACCTAAAATCCTGCAATCTTTTTGCGTATTTCAGGGCCTCACACAACCCCTCCATGAATAAGCACTGGTCATACGGGTGTGGCCCGAGATGAGCCAATGACAGCCTGCGTAGCTCCGGACACCCCTGGGTGATGGCAACTAGGCTCCGCCCATGGAATATACTGGGTAGTCCCGCAAGGACCAAGGAGTTGAGGTGCCGCCATCTTGAGATGCAGAGAAGCGTGCTCTCGGGATCCATGATGTCTCCACTGGGATGCATAAAAGGCAAGGCAGTGATTAGAAAGGGTGTGGTTAGGGTGTGGTTTGGGTGTGGTTAGATGGAGGGAAGGGTGCTCTTTTGAGAACCATGATATCCACGGTGGGATGGTTGCAAGGCAAGATGTTGAGAAGGGGTGTGGTTTGGGCGTGGTGAGATGTAGGCTACCAGCCTCATTTCATGACACTGCTTAGCACATGATTTTCTGCTAACAGATATTCCATCATTTTTTTATGGAGAAAGTAAGCACAGTAAAGAAACTAACTTTTATGTCCAGATTATCTCTTCAAAATATTCTCAGTAATAGAAATCTCCATGCCTGAAATATGCTCAAGGTTAACACATTTTTTTTTCTGCCAAAGCACGCACAATTTTTCAACTGACTGTTATTATGAACAGTACGAAAAAATGGGCCCCAGTTTGTAATTTCTATCCGTGGCTTTGGGCTTTGCAGCCATTGCTTGAGCTAATTAACAGAGTCTGGAAAGAATAAAACTAATTATATCCAATTTTGAGAAACATCAACACTCCATTATTTATAATCCTCAATTAAATTTAAATCCTGTAATATGCAGTGAAAAACCTGCTTTTTATTTCAGTATGTGTACTTTGTAGTAGACAGCAGCTGAACATTGTTGCTTGGATTTTCTGTCAAACAGTTTAACTCTCAATATCAATCACAACATCTGTTCACTGCAAATTATATGTAATGTTTGTGTTTGCTCTGTTAATTATTCAGTGCATTGGGACCCCGTGTAAAATGCGCTTTATAAGAACGGTTTATTATTATAATTATTAACTTGAAAAGTTGTACACTCTGCTCGGAAATGACAAATTTTGCCCAGATTTTGAACAGGTTTGCCCAGATTTGGGTAAATTTCTAAAGTTCTTGTGCCTCTGTTGTCTGTATGTAGTTCACATGGAAGGGTTTGGTTTTAAAGATTAATTTCTTTTTAGAATGGGAAGTCTGTACATTCCCTCCATATTTTGCTGAATTGGCAAGTCATTGCTCTCAAAGGAAGTAAAAGATCCAGTACAGTGCCCCAAATTTTGAAAATCATGGAGGAAATTGTCATTTTCTGTGGTAACCATAGAGTTCAAATTGGTTAAAATAGTTTATACGGTACCCGCTGCTATGTACATCAGATTCAAACCAGCCAACCGATCCTGTTAGCTCGGTGGTTGAGTGGTAAGACATCTGCACTAGAAAGCAGGAGGTCGTGGGTTCGAGTTCCACCCAAGTGATTTTTTTTCCAACTTTCACTCGGGAGGTAACGCACCGAGTATACAGTGTTTAAACGTCGGTGAAGGGCAAAACCTAATTTGATTTATATCACCCCGACGCAAAATTCCATCTTATAATAACCATAGAGCTATATTAAATAACCCACCATCTTATAACATCTTCATCCTTGGAGGCAGATCTTGGACTCAAGAAGGAGGCGAATCCCGTCTTGATGAGCTCGAATGATCGTATCTTGCTGCAGCCTTTGACAAGTTGGGACAGGTCACTGGTACAGTAGGTGCAAACCTCTTGCTTTGTTGACTGGAAGAAAAAAATGAACAAATTTCTGATTCGAACCAGCCAGCAGAACCCAACAAGCTCGAGTGGTAAGACGTCAAATCCCACCGAGTGATTTTTTCTCACCATCACTCGGGACAAACAGTGTTTATAAAATTTGTCAGTGAAGGGCAAAAACCAGTATTGAATTTATATTTGCGCACTCCGGCGCAAATTCCATCTTGTGACTTGACTTGAGACATGAGGACTTGTGATGGACTTGTGATTGAGATGTGACTGCAACTTTGATGGGTAAACATTTCATCATTAATACTAAAAAAAATTGGTTGTTTTTTTTTAATCATAATCAGTGGTATAAATCACAAGACTAGTGGGATTCCAGTCCAAACAGGAGTTTTTGTGTCATTAAAAACAAATCTCATTGTTTATGCTTGGTAACACTTTTTATCTGGAGAAAATAAATTGATAATGTAAAACCATGTATTATTTGTATTCTTGAATGCTAAGTTATTGGGAATTAAAGAATGCTTTCAAGTCCACGTACCTCTTTTGTGATACTGGTACCTGGGCTACCCCATTCATTTCTTGAGCAGTGGTCACATCTGATGGAAAGGAACCAGACTATTCAGTGAGCGCAAAGGAAAGACTTTGTCCACATTAATTGGCTATGGCTAAAAATAACATGCGCACCTATGGAAGGCCGGCCGAAGCCACTGGCTAGCAGCTGCAGCCACTTTCCATAGTCTCATGTTTGTTTTTAACTCGTATGTTCTGTTCTGTAACTTTTGTCTAATGTTAGATTATTAATGTTCCATGCGTTAATCATAGGTAGGGTAGCTTACTTAAAATCTTCAGCACCACAGCTTCTAGTTCTGCTTCGTATTTGACTGAAGGTCAAACCATCCACGGGTACGGAGACTTTCCTCTCTGGCAGTCCACAGACAGGGAGTGAGATGGATACCAGACCTGCATAAATGGAAGAGATGGTCTTGTTTTGAAAGTTTCTTGAAAAGGTGGCTTAAATTTAACTCTGTCTGAAATGGTATTGCGCCTTGATATTTAAGCTGGTTCTATAAATATACTTGAAATTGGCCTTAGCCACATGACACATTATCAGACCCCACAAAATGACAAACTATTTAGGCATCTTGTCTTGCAAGTTTCTAGTGCACTTGATCTTTACCAGGCAGTAGTGCAAGCACTTCGCACAGCTCATTGTCTGGGAGATGGGGATGCAAGCCACTGATGTTGAGATGCTTTAGGGGAGTCTTGGCTGCTGCAAAGATGCGGAAAGCTGAGAGGTCTGTCCACTCCTCGCACTTGTAAACCTAGGAAGCAAAGCAAAACAAAAATGGATGAAGATTTGGCAGCATTTGTACAGAGTGTGGAGTTTTTTAAAAGGATTTTTCAAGATTACCATTTCAAAGTGTCAGTGTCACACCCCACACCCCCTCTAGCGATGCCTATGTGCTTACCTTTTTTAAAGCATCTCTGCAGAAACTGAGGTTTAAGCTTTCCAGGAGGGGGCAGTTTCTGGCCACTGTGCACAAACCTGTGAATTCAACACTCCCTGCAATATTCAAGTATCTGAGACTTCGATATGATGGCAGTTTGAGGTCGGGCACATGAACCATTTGCAGTGAAAATATCTTAGCTTGAGGAGCTGTGGCAGACAGGTGATCATCACCTTGAGACTTTACGGTCCTGAAACAGCCGTCTGTGAACAGCACAGAACACTGATTGGCTGTCAGACTGACAAAGTTAAAATCCACGCTCCTGCGGTGCGCATCGCGCGCGCCTTGCCCAATCATAAAGTGTTTGAGATTCTCAAACGGGATGACGTCATCAAGACGTGCGCCACACGAACATTCCATGTCGACATTCTCCGTGTACCCGGCGTCCACGCCAAAGGCCTCCAACTTCCTGTACTTTTTACCGTACTCCAGGAGGGATCGTTCGCCGTTCTTGCCGGCGCATATTCCAGGGATGTACACCACGTTCAACTCTCTCAACCTGTGGAGCGTCCTCACGGCTGCTCGGCTGATGTCACAAATTTTCACCCCACAAGTCTGGTCGTAAGACAAACTCCGCAGCGATTTAGTGTGTGCGAGAATTTTGTGAAGAGTCTTGAAGGGTAGATGCGTATGACGGGCGTCGAGGTGTCTGAGGTTCGGCAATCGGAAGTCTAAAGATCCAAAATCTTCAGGTGCAAGCCAGTAGCAGTTCGAGATGTCCAAATACTGAATGTCATCCCTTCGTCTTGCAAGCAAGAGTTTAAGTGTGTCTCTAGTAAGATGGAAGCATTTACTCAACGTCAAATTCCTGGAAAGAAAATCGGTAATCGTAATTAAGATCGCAATAAAAAGAAATCACAAGAAATTAAACTAAAAATTCATATTTTGATTAAACTTGTAGCCGGAACTTTTTTTCTGAGACTTAACCCAGTCTACATGTTGGCCTGGTCTCTGAGGTGGGAACGAGGTACCTCATCGCTAATCTGACGGTCCCTGCACTGCTTAACAAGGACCATTATACAGGGTGGATAAAAAAAAAAACGAACCCGAGATATTGCTTATTGGAACAGAAGTACGGCACATTTGAATCAAATGGAGATATCCTCTGTTAGGGTTGAATTTTCTCTTTAAAATGACACCATGATCATGTCATTACATTCAAGGTTGACTGAGGAATGACCAATTTTATGAAAGGGTCTATTTAGAAAATTGCGCCATTTGTCATTTGTCATAGAGTGAAAGGCTATGGTTGCCAATCAAGGCAGGTGGGGGAAAGAGATTTCACCATGAAAAGTGGCGCAATTCTCTAATGAGACCCTTTCATAAAATTGGTCACTGCTCAGTCAACCGTGAATGTAAGGACATGATCAGGGTGTCATTTTAAAGAGGAGATTCAACCCTAACAGAGGATATCTCCCTTCGATTCACATGTGCCCTACTTCTGTTCCAATTAGCAATAATATTTCGGTTCCGGGTTTTTGACCCACCCTGTATAGGAACCATTATGGTGCGGGTGTGCGGGATACCTATACCTGGCTCGGAAAACTAGCTGGATGCATGACCATTTTGTTGGGTTATTTCACCAAACCCATAGTATCTTGCAATCGATGTGAAATGCACATTGCCTATTGTTGTGCCACATTAGATAACAACGCAAAATGGTGAAGCAACTTTTTTCCCGAGCTGCCTTTATACATACGTATACCGTACGTGCAGGCCCTACCATTTGGAAACGGAAGTTTGAGACTGATGAGGCCTCCGTGAACTTAAGATATTTGGTTAATCCTGCTGATTGGGCGTTCGAGCCCAGCCTGGGGTTGCTGTGCGCGTGTCCTGGGGCAAGACAAGAAACTTTGTCACTCATTGCTCCTCCCCACCCAGGAGTAAATGGTACCAGTGAGGGCCAGAGATGGTCACTGTGATAGGTTATAGCTGCTTGGCGCTGAAATGGTAGAATCGGGCTTTTTACTTCTCGGAGAGCTGAGATGCATCTTTGGAATTCCAAATGAGCTGGGTTGTTGATGATGTAGAGCCTTAAAAGTCATTTCTGGTGAATATGTGCGCTTTATAAACATGAATTGTTATCATTGCATGTACTGATATACCTGAACACGGAAGGGTCGTTGGCAATCCACCCAAGTCTGCAAGTGGGCCCCAGATCGGCTACGGACAAGATGTCCCGAATCGGCAGAAACTCTAGTATCTTGAAGATGATCTCGGCAGGAAGACTGTCCAATGTCAAAGCGGTCATGTCCGTATCGCGTTTGGGTCGCGCCATTTTTTGCAGTGTCACCTGGCACCTAGCACTGTCGTTGTCAAAGTCTTGCTTTTGTTACGGTCGGTCAGGAAAGAGTGCGTCACCAATTCGCGCGAACAAACAAGCAATATTAAAGGGGTATGTGTGCACGTATACAGGGTGAGTAAAAAAACGCAACCTAAATGGCGGGACCAGTGTTTGAATGAAGTTTTGCCTGCAGCACTTTCAAAATCTAGGACATGAAAGCCCAGTCATTATACTTTCTTTTAGTACAAGAATCATTCAAATGACTCATGTAAATTAAAGTTACGGGATTTTGAACACAAACACCTTTTTTAAAGTTCTGTCTACATATCACACAAAAAGGTAGTGTTTTTTTCGGCAAAACGAAACAATTCTCATAGAGATGCATGTGAATTGTTTTCGTTTTGCTGAAAAAACACTGACCTTTTTTGTGAGCCGTGGACAGAACTCTAAAACGGTGTTTGTGTTCAAAATTCCGAAACTTGAAAAGTACAATCCATGATTCTTAGAAACCTCAGAGATTGGGCTTTCATATCCTATATTTTGAAAGTGCTACAGGCAAAACTTCATTCAAAAATTGGTCCTGCCATTTGGGAGGTTTTTTTTACTCACCCTATTGTCCAATATCAATGAATGATTATGAGTGGGCTATCATAGGAACAGGATTCCGTAAGTTTTTACCCAAAGGGACCGAACATGTGAAACAAATTAGTTGTCATTTGCTCAGTTTAATTAGACATGCATGTCACTCTGTTAAAAAAAAATGACAAGGCAAACCTAGTAAAGATGGCCACGTCACAGAATGCACAAAATTCTGTTAATGATCGATTCAGAATGGCAATTCACTTGAAGTCTGCATGCATCTGATCTACACAAAGAAAAGGGGAGTCAGGTTGGCGTAGCGATACTTTCCTCGCCTTCCACCGCTGTGACCCGGGTTCGAATCCCGCCTGGGCCAACATGTGGATTGGGTTTTCAGTCCCTACCTGGTTCCGTGGGTTTTCCCCAGAATATTCTTCTGGGCTTTTCCTCCCACCTCTGAAACTGTTATTTCCTCTCATTGTCTTCTCTCCACAGGCTTCTTCAGGCTTGCGAGCTACAGTGCCTAGGCCTAGGGCCCTTTTTAGCCTCCTTGGTTTCATTAACAGAAATAATCATTATTAATAATAATAATAATAATGGGCCGGATTTAGCGAAAATTGGCGTGAGGGGTGATGTTTTACTTTCATAATCATTTATTAAAAGTCATATTGCAATGAAACTGCCCTTTTTGCCAATTGAATTTTCGAGCTAAAATATCGCAAAAACAACTGCGATGATATCTGCTTGGGAATCAGATATCCCTTTAACGCGCAACGAGCCTTTGTGTGTACACAAGTTTCAATGATGTCAAAAGTCCAAATTGGTATTTGTGTCCATTTTGTAAAATTAATTTCTGTCAATAATTAATTTCTAACTGCGATATTAGCTGACACAGGCTGCAATAAGTATTTGTATTTGTTTCTAAATAATGTTTGAGTATTCTTTATGTGTTCTTTGTTTACTTGAATCTTCTTAAACGTCTTATTTTTTAAGGGATATATGGTTGTTTTATATTTTATACATATATATATATATATATATAAATTTTTCCCGTAATGAAGTCCCTCTGTCTGTTTGTTTGTTTGTACACTCCTTTTTTGCGCTCTGTTTTAGTAACGTTATTTTACCGAGAGAGTGTTGATTTGTTTTTGTTTTTGTGTTTTTGTTGCTGGTTTTTCTTTTATCTTCTCTTAGTTTTTGCTTTTTATTTGTGTTAAGTGCATATAATTTTAACCCTTCGATTATTGTAAATTTCATATTATTAGTTTATTTTAATGCAGGGCCCTAATGAAAACCACCTTTTAGCTGTTTGGGTTTACCCTGGATAAATAAAGGTATTTAAAAAAAATGGACGCGTTAAGAGAACAATTGGTTATTATTTCTTACAGAAGTTGATATGCCATATCTTTTTCTAAATGACTTGTAATTATGATAATGATAATTTTATTATACCTTCACAAGGCCAATTCATTTAGCGTTGAGGAAGAAGAACATACATTTGCCGACATGCATACTTGTTCTTTGTCGTATGATAATTGGTATACCGTACTCTTTAGCAAATTTGATATTGTTTTCTCAAGTTGTACGTTTTATTTTAACGAAGAACGTCTTGTTGTTTCCAGTTTTGGGGCGTCTGCAACCCTCTGGCAAAAAAAAGTTTGTGTTTTTGCGCCCTAATGCACAAAAAAAATTGCCTGACTTAATGTCCGATGGCCACTAATATTATTCCATAAGTGAAAGTGATGGGCAGATTTTCTCGTTTGATGCCTCTTTATTATCAAAAAGCTTATTTGGATGAAAGATCGTATACTGGTACTAAACACCCGGTGAAATTGCTCCGTCTGGTGTGCTGTTATTGAGAAGAAATCAAGAAATGTAGGCGATTTCCACTGATTAACCATCAGTCAATATTTGGAAATAAAGTAAGCTATTGACGAAATTGTTTTTTCGTGATCAAAAGGTTGTGCATAGTTTTTAAGTTGTGGCAGGAGCTGCTATACATGTCACTTGGTGGTCGGTCTGTCCGTCTGTCGGGCTGCCGTGGTGTCTGTCTGTGTGTCTGTCTCAGTGCGTCTGTCCGTCCCCAAAAATTAACCGCAAGTATGGTGTTGCATAATTTTATGTGCCATCGGCGTCGCGTTTTTTCGGTGTCGCAATTGTAAGCTCGGGCAGGGATCATTTTGATCGATTTCATGCAAGACGTTCATGCAAGACTTCTTGCAACACGGCCGGAGCTTACTGTGCCCTTGCACTGTCTTGGTCACTGTAATGTAATAGCCACTGAGCTGGAATTTATAGGTTAGGTTTTGAACATTCTCCTTTGGATTTTGAGTGGTGTTATTATTGGAAACGAACAAAATGCATGAAAAGCAAAATGATCCTATTATGCCTGTAACCATTCGAGTGTTGTTTTGAGAAATGTCCTACCGACGAGTAGCGTATCATGTTCGCATGAGCTGTCTGGCGTTTGTTTTGAAAGAAAATAAGGGGTCCGCTCATAAGTCCGACGCCTCATAGGTCCGACGCCTCATAAGTCCAACAAAATCGCATCCCCTAACCAAATAAAGGCCCATAAGTCCGACGCCTCATAGGTCCGACGCCTCATAAGTCCGACGCCTCATAGCTCCGACGCCTCATAGCTCCGACGCCTCGTAAGTCCGACAAATTAAACGCCTCGTTTTTCTGTTGTCGGACTTATGAGGCGTCGGACTTATGAGGCGTCGGACCTATGAGGCGGAATAAATAAATGTTATGCCTCATAAGTCCGACGCCTCATAAGTCCGAAATTTCGGACTAATGAGACGAAAATAATACCTCAGTTGGAATCTTTTTCGAATAACCCTGGAATTGTGAATGCAAAATAACACTGCATAGGCAGGAGTTATGTGAAAATCATATGGATATACATGTAGCTGGATATAACTAGTAGTGTGGCATTCATTGTGAATAACACAATGATGGTACTTTTCATCGGTTGCATTGTAACACTCGACTGATAGCAGCTGCTTGAACGATTTCAGAAACCACCGTGTTCTTTAAAACCAGACCTGGAACAACATCTGCTTGGGCAGCTGGCTCGTCCTATTTTATTACAATTTTATCATCTAATAATTATATTGTCCTTGGGGGGGGGAATATAATGGATCGCTTCGTTTAGTAAAATGATCTCTTTTTGCTATACTATAGAAGCTGGAACAACAGATGTTGCGATGTTACTAATGGTTGAGGTCTACCTTTCCATTACTTGTGGCCTTCCACCTGTGAGCCATAGGCGTTGTTATTCAACTTTCTCTCAAACCAACTGATCCCCTCACTCATATTTCAGAGGTATAACTTATTAATTACGTTCAAGATGGGACGAAGAACAATATCGAGAAGGGTTTTTTTAAGCGGCAAGATTATACAACTGCGTAGAAAGTGTGTAGAAACCCCATTTCTAAAATCAATTATTTCAAGTTTCATTCTGGGCAAGGAAAGTACTTTGAACCCTTGAACTGCGTGCGAACTGTAAGCCAAGCCAGATTTTGGAATTGAGACAGTAGATTTCCGGCCGTGGTCTCTCTTCTGGACAATCTCAGCCTACCTGCATGGTGCACTCATTATTATAGCCAAGGCCCTGTATATCGGTAGAATTGTTAAAGCCTCGAAAAGAGGCATTTTGTTTCCGTCTTGACCGTCTTGGAATGATTCAGCCTTCTGAGACATGATACATGTCACTAACGGCTGTTCATGAGCGGAACATCGAGGTAATAGTCATCGGGTCAAACCGGTTTAGTGTGAAACTCTAATGAAATACGGACTCATTGGATGTACATGTATTGGGCAAGACTTAGTGAAGATGCGTATGTTACGTGTCAGGTTCGAGGCCATATAAGATAAAACAAATCAGATTTGATTGGAGTTCAAATTTCATATGATACCAGCTGAAAGTGGGTAATAAGCTTCTGTTCTGTGACGTCACACTTTGTTTACATGTGTGCTTTCCTATGGTGCTCAGTGGACCGTGGGCCCCCACTGGCTCCATAGGAAAGTGCACATGTAAACAAAGTGTGACGTCATCAGTACAGAGGCTTATTAGTCTCCTTGCGATAAAAGCGACTGGCGATCCCATATACGCGTTTACTGAAGCATAACAATAGCCGCCTTAATATAACACTGGAGCCGCTCTCTGGGATTCCAGTGGAATTATTCAAATTTGATACATTTTATAAAAATGTTTTATCTGCTCCACAACTGTTGTCAAAGAGCAGTTATCCTTCCACGGGAAAACTGGGTAAAATTAAGTATTGGTCCAAGAATGAATTCCAATTTTTGTTTCCCAGCACAGCCAGACCCGCCACTCTATTTTCATAAAACGCTCTGATTTTCTAATCCACTCATCATGAGTTGGTAATCGTCCCTCTATAGGCATTCCTTTGTGTGAAAGTGTAAGTGGTGCGCGCTTACGTAACGCCTACTCTGCGAATGCC